TGGGAGAATCCTGGCATCTTGCACTCTAGCCCCTAGCAAGTCGCGGCCCTTCTATGGTGTAGCGCCATCTTGGCTCGACGGGACAACCGCCTTTCTGCAGAGCGGAGTCATGGTGGATAATGGGCTGAGCTCGCTTCTGCTAGTTATCCGTCCGCGGAGCAAGTTGTGCGGGCTATTCGACTGGGATGCTTGGATACAGACACCAAGACGACGCCGTGTGAAACAACCATTCAGACTTTACAGAGCTAGAAGGATCAAGCGGTGCATAGTAACATGGTCAGTTTGGGATGACCCGGCATTCCGTGACTGCAATGTTGACCGCCGCGGCGGGTGGCTGCAGTTGATTCGACTCAAGAGGGCGCCGTCTAGGTCCCAGGTCGAGGTTTGCTGATGACACCATTTCGACTTGTTCCTTGGTGAACATGTGCCCGAACGCTACCAGTAAGTCTAACCAAGACCTTCTGGATCGCAGGAACTTGTGCCGGGCGCTGAGCGGTTGCGACATAGCCGCCGTTGGCAATCGCCAAGACGTATCTAGAAGAACTCTTGTGGGCGTAGGTCCGGGTTCGGTGCATCTTCGGACGTGGGTTTGGCGGTTTGGTATAATTTTCCTTATCTTGGAGCCGTTCATCCTAGTGCGACGCTTATTGGCTGCCAGCCACCAAAGAGGGGATAAGAGTTGCAGTTGGAGGAAAAGCAGGGTTGAAGGCGCCATGGCCAAAATTTCAGCGAAGAATCCACACGGTCGAGTCGGTGACAGGTCCATTGCTCCCTATCTCCTGTTGGTTCTTGGTGGAGGGGCTGAAGGCCTTCGGAAAGGGAGAGAAGAGTTGCAGTGCAGACGGTGTTAGCCGCCGATCGTATGGTTATGGATTGATTTCGGGCTCAGGTTCATACGATTTCTCATGCAGGGCCAAGTATGGACGGAAGCGCTGTAACCACGGCATCGTGAGTGAATAGGCCGGCAGTCTAGAAGCAGGACATTCGGTCTCGGTGCTGGGATTCGGAAATCTCAGGAGTTTGCTCTTCGCTTCGAGCTAGAACCTGTCGGTGGAGACGTTGGCAAGCCCTCAGGAGTTCAGAAGAACGCCTCCTGTGCGTGCTCTCGTGGCAGGGCTCGGGATCAGGGCCCTCCAGTTGCCAGAGTGCTTCCGCTTGTCTCCTGGCGACGATCCCACTAGATCCCGGGTAGGGGTGGGGGGGCTTGGAGAGGACTGTGGGCTCAGCGGATTTGAATGGACGCTAGATCCGTAAAAGATGCGATGCCCAGACCATCAGTTTAACTGGGCGTAAGGCCTGGAAGTGGTCTGAAAGACCTTTGTCTGCTGAGAAGGCTGCATGCGGCAGACCGACCCGTCTAAACGCGCCTGCCAGAAAAGCTGGATAAATTGACTTGCATCGGCCTTCCGGCAATCGGCAGGTGCCTATACGGAGGTCTCACGCCCCCCCAACCGAGACCAAGACGGCCCTTCATTCAGTAAGGAGCGAGACCTCCAAGGCTGTCATGAGGCGCAGGGTCAGAGACGCATAAGAACAGCGATGGTAAGCTCCTCGTATGACGGTGCGCGGGATGCCGCAAGCATCAATGTCCATTTTCCGACAAAATCGTGAGATTTTGACCATCAGGTGCACCTGGTGCTGCGGGGATGGCCTGGCCGTTGCATTCGGCCTGCCTTGTGCCATACATTTGAATGCAGGTCTCAGTGTTGCACATGCTGCTTGAACAAGGCAACGGCGGGACATGAAGCAGACTGTCATCGCTCATGTGCGGGCAGCATTTACTCCGCGGTGGCCCTCTGTCGTCAACAGCGGTTGTGGGATATTTGCCAATCTTGCCCATTCAGGGCGACGAGGGGCGTAGCGTATTAGAAACGGGGTGGGGGGCGATGGCTTTGGGCGAGACGAGACTGCAGCAGGCCAGTAAAAGATTGACTTGGTGATCGAGTGCACGAGTCTTGGCGACGCGTATAGCTTCGTGCATGGAGCTGGATGCCAAAGCCACGTTTGATGACGAAGGCGTTTTCGAGGCGGTCTGCTGGCGTATTCCTGCTAGGTGGTGTAAGCTATATTAGCCGCGGACTGTCGCCGAGGTGAGATATCGGGCGCACGCCAACAAGCAAAGCTATACGCAGCAAGGCCAAGGAGACAATAGCCCTACCTAACACTATCTAGTAGGTAATCAGGTAGTGTAACAAGCAGTCTTCCGTGTTCCTGTTCCGTAATGGACAGAGGGAAGACCGCCTGAATCTGCAATCGCGTACAGGGTCATGGGCTGGAGGCCCATCCCACGCGAGGACCCACTGGACCGGTGTTGCCTCTCTGTCCAAGAACGGGTATCTCGTTCCCTGATTCACACCAGGCACCGTCACTCTTGCAGGAGGCTGTGAGGTACGTACCATGTAGGATTGGATGTGTGGCGGCAGACAGTGAGCGACTTGGAATGAGGCGGCGGCACACACACGCACATCACAGCCACAACCACCACAAACCACCACAACCACAGCCAACAGGAAGGAGTGCGGGCCCATAGCTTCTATTGGGCTTCCACCCCACCCCGCGACTCATGCAGGCCCAATCAGTGGCGTCGGGCGGCCTTCAGTCATCCATCGCCTTATCCGCCAGACGAACGGCGGGCGGCGGCAACGCCGTCATCGCGATTTCCATTTTTCTCTCAAGTTAGCTTTACTTGTCCCAATTCTTTGTACTTCCATCGCTTATCACTAGCCAACTCTGAATCTTCCAGCTCGGCGCCGCCATGAGCCTTTTGTAAAAACATACCAACCGACCATCATAGCGGGCGTCCGTTGGAATTGCTACGCAACGAAGCGCAATGCATCGGGCATTTTTGGTTCTCTTTCGCACCAACTAGGTACAACAGTCTGAAGAATGGGCAGATAATCCTGTAGCTATAAGGTATACGGATACAGATGGCGGACACCTTAATTACCACATGTGGTATGTACCAGCAGCAATGCATGCAGATATTGCGCGTAAATAAGGTGCATGCGGACTTTACCCATCGTTGTTGTAACATCTGTCGTCTCTTTTTGTGTAACCGCCTGGGTGCAATCCGAGCAACAATGTGCAAGTGTAAGCGCTTGGACCACGAGTTGTGATTCCAACTTGATTTTTGTCTCCCCCTACCCCTGCTCCTCTTCGATGCTTGTTGCTACCCATCGGTCTTCACCCCATGACATGCCATACCAGTATCTTTGATAGTTTCCTGTTTTCCTCCAGCATGTATGGATCGGATGACCGCCCTCGCAGTCTCGGAGCAAATCTAGCCGAGCTCCCGAAGAAGAAAAAGAAAAGGCGAAATCATGTGGTTTGACGACGGTCCGTTGACAGACACGATGAGTACTAGATAAGTGCTGTTTTTTTGCAACGCAGGCACTCTTGCATCATACCATGGATTACACAAGGACGCTGCCAAGCCGGCCAGACAATCCGCCAAACCAAGTCAGCGGGCGCCAGGCGTTTTTTTTTCCCTCTTTTTTTCTCTTTTCTTTTCTAACCGATCCAAGACCAAGCCAGTCAGTCATTCTGTCAGAGAAGAGCGTGAGAGACCGACAGCAAGCTCCAGTTCAGATGCAGCATCAGCTTCAGCATCAGCATCAACAATAGCATCAGCACCAGTCAGTCAGCTTAAACGCCCAATCCGGATGGAAATGAGCGGCCGGGTCATAATCACTGGAGATATACAACGAGGTTTAGCTTGACAAGGACCAAGCCAATTCAAGGCACGGAAACATGGCGAACGAATGAATTTCGCGCATGATCGTCATGAACTTGTCCTGATGCCTGGTTTGACCGAGAGACTGATCATGCGCAACCCCCCTCTACTGTGAATGAACCACGAGCACTATCTATCGATACGGGCGAGGAATCAGCCCTGAGGCGCGCGCACACACAGAGAGAGGAATCCATCCCACTTTCCATCCACCAGCGGCAGCGCCAGGACTGAACCCATGTCATGGTTCCCACCTACAATCCAAACGTAAACTACCTAGCCTACCGATGCTCTGCACAGGGCACAAGTCAGAAACACACCCCCGTGAGAGAAAGAGGGTGTGTGTATGTTCTCCCTCTGACTCCAATCTGACAGGCCTATCCAGTCCGTCAATTGGTCGGTGTAGAGTCGGGATTCTTTTCCCGTACTCCGTACAGATACGGATACAGCTTCCCTTTTCCCAGAGGTTGGGTACGAGGTACATGGCCAGTGACAGGGAAGCACGGCAGGACGCACGTACTACCCGTACCTTACCTCATTCTCGCCTTGCACCTAGCGCATCGAACCAGCCCTGCACCTAGTTTTTTCTTTTTTTCTTTTTTTCCCCTTTGCATTGTTCCCATGCCCTGGCCCCTCCCGGCTCCGTTTTGGGCCCGCCTTCCTTGCAAATCGTGCCAATGGGCCCGGTGGCTGTCGCCTTCTCGACTGACCCTCATCATCCCAAGCTAGAATCTCCAACGACGGATCCAGTCCAGTACGTACTCCCGCCGTTCCTTGACCGGGCCTGGGCTACCCTTTCCTTTGCTCTGATCCCATTTCTACATACGAATACACGCACTACTACTACGTAGTAGGTAGTGTACGGATACACTACGAAGTATCCTTATCCTTACTCCCTTCAAGGTCCAAGGGGACCCTGAACAAGGAACCTCTTCACCCCCTCGCCCAATCTTTTATCTCGGGCCATGGATGCCACCCCCCCCCCCCCCACCAAGAGCGAACCCGCTGGCGAGGGGCGTGGTCTTTGTCGTGGCGGGCGTGGACTTTAGACGAGGGTGGGCTGCCTATTTGTGAAGATGAAAGCGCGAACTTTTTACTTGCGCTTGCTTGATTGCCCTGCCCACTGATCAGATCGATGTACTACGTACCCAGGAAAGTCGCCCCGTCGATAAATACAAGCCCTTCTCCAGACCTCCCTTTTCTAGATGTTTAGGTTGCTTCTCTCTGTCCAGGCATACTGCTTGGTTCACGTCATCCACAACGTCTGAAGATGCCGTCATTCAATCCATTCTCAACCGTCACGGGCAAGCATGCCGCTTCGCTTTTCGAGATCAGGTATGCGCCTTCCCCACGTCTCTCTCTCTCTCTCTCTCTCTCCGTCTGCAGCATTTTCCCCTTCCCATCGTTGGATCCTCATGTCTCACTGTGGCGTCGCTTTCTTTTTTTTTTCGGCGGCGTTCGCTAACGTTGCACATTCCACAGGTTAGACAATGACTTCATTGTATTTCGTGGGGGAGAGGATGAGTCTGCTGGCCAGGTTCTCAAGGGTGTCGTCGTGCTGTGTCTACCCACGCCGCTGAAGATCGAGGACGTCCATCTGCGCCTGACCGGCACCCATCGATTAACGTATGAGCCCCTCAACGTTTGCTTCTCATTGCACACCAGTCGGCTGACCTTTGCGTCGAAAATAGATGGGAAAACTACAAGACCGTCGCATCTGGCGTCTCCACCCAAAAGGTCGACAAGACCACCACCCTGCTCCATCATCGCTGGGCTCCGTTCGTCGGCGGTCCTGGCGGCAAGAACACCCTCTTGCCGGCCGGCAACTATGAGTGGCCTTTCGAGTACACCTTGCCGGGGAATACCCCCGAGAGCGTCGAAGGCATTCCCGAAGCGAGCATCACCTACAAGCTCAAAGCGACCGTCGCCCGCGGCAAGCTCGCCTACGATCTGCACGCCTACAAGGCGCTGCGTATTATCCGCACCCTCGAACCAGCTGCACTTGAGTTCCTGCATGCCATGAGCGTTGAGAACATCTGGCCGAACAAGGTCGACTACTCCATCATCATCCCGCAAAAGGCCGTCGTCTTCGGTGCCACCGTCCCCCTCCATATGCGTTTCACGCCCCTCTTGAAGGGCCTCGAAATGGGAGAGATATCCGTCAAGATGTTGGAAATTCGCGAGTGCACATTACAGGGCCCCACGGGCAACATTTTTAAGGAGCACAGAACCGAAAGAGAAGTTTCCAACTGGAAGTTCGAAGTCGACCGAGAGGAGCATTGGCACGACACAATTGAAGATACTGGTCAGGAAGGGTGGTTGGTGGAGAAGAAGTTGAGCCTGCCCAAGAGACTGCGACAATGTGTTCAGGACCTGAATCACAACGGTATCAAGGTCCGCCACAAACTCAAGCTCGTTGTTGCCCTGAAGAACCCCGACGGTCACATCTCAGAGGTGAGTTACTGCATGCCACTCCCCATGACCGTTAAAATCAAACTAACGACATCTAGCTGCGCGCTACACTACCTGTCTCAATCTTCATTTCTCCCAACATGCCTCTCGATGAGCATGGTGTTCTCGTTGACCAGGGCCCCGGGACACCGGTTCAGGCCGAGGCCACCACCAGAATTGCGCCGCCTGGTTACGGCGAACACGTTCTCGACCAACTCTACGAGGACGTCGACATGAGCGGTTTCCAGACTCCGAGCGTGCAGTCTGGTTTCAGCAGCCCTTTCTACGCCCAATCTCGTGCAGGCTCGTCAGAGAACCTTGCTTCCCTAGCTATGATGGGCGGCCATGGTATTGCCCCTGCCGCTCTCTCTTCGCGCCTACAAAACGTCTCTCTGGATCCTACGCATCGCAACACTTCGTTCAACTCGCTGAACGCTATCACGGAGGACGTGGCCGTTCCAACACCCATCCTTACGGGAGCAAGTTCGCAGTCGCATTCGACTGCTCTCACGCGCCAGAACAGCGCCGAGGACCACCCTAATGCGCACTCTTCGGGCCGCGCTTCGCCGGAACATCTCGATTTTACGGACATGGCCACGTTGAGCAAGGTGCCTAGTTATACGACGGCCGTCAAGACCCCTCTCCGACGAGGTGCCGGCAGCAGCGACGCGCTGCCAGATTACTTCTCTGCGATGAGCGCTCCAAACACACCACCTGCGAGCGAGGTTCCCGTTGCGGATCCGCTGAGCATGATTCCCGAGTCTCAGGAGAGCGCTGGCAGTGAAACCACCACACCGGGCGGCTTGCGCCGCTCGTGGCATCGCCCTGCAAGCATGAGCAACTTGCTCCATGCAGTTCAAGGCAACGACGACCGGCGGCTCCACCTTATCCAGGGCCGCGAGAGAGTGTACTAAGCGTCACCGGCACGAGGCAATTTACTCTACTCATTTCATTATATTATGGCTATAGAGGGTGGTGATGATTACTCTAGGCATGGGATTGGCGTTGAAAGGAAGGAAAGGGAAACCAGTGTGGGTGGGGCTCTTGGGTTTTCACGGGTTATAGATTTGCGCCCTGGAGAGGCACCAGAATTCTTTGGTCGCTCGGACACGACACGCTAGTATACGGAGTGGTTGATATTTCAGAGAGGATCTGCTGCCGGGGCTGTATTTGGGAAGGCATTCATAGTTTTACGGTATACCCGCCGCTTAGACCGCGGCATGTCTAATGCGAGACAACAACAAGATGACGAAGATATAGTACACATTAAGCTTCGATCCTGCATCCCCTCCGTTGCTTGTCTGCCTCGCCCGAGTTAGCTTCCTTGTTTACTTGCATAGCATCGAAATGGTCAGCCCTCGCTGTCGACTCATTGCCGTCTTCGCCCTCCTCGGCACAATGAACTCGGACATGGAGTCGCCGCTCGCAATACCGAGGTGGCGGCGTATCATGGAGGCCCATGGTATCCACCACCTCGACACGGCGTTGAGATGGTGGTCGCCGGCCGATTTCGGAAGCTCAGACGACGGAAGTTGCTTAAGCTATCACAGGCTCGCGTCTTGGGTGCCCCACGGCACTCTGGGTATCGGCGCCGTGCAGAAGATGCCGTTCGGTTCGGCCGAGGAGGGCCAATGTGCCATTGCGTCGCGCCGGATCTGGTCAGGCACTCTGATGGATTCATGCCCGATGCCCGAATCCGACCTATCCACTCTGGGATAGACTTCTCGCCACCTTTTCCCACTCTTGTTAGTGAGATGTACCGGCATAAGGTGCATGAGGTTCGCGCATGGTACCACTTGTCGTTTATTGCAAGCATTATGTCATTCGTGCTTTACTTACGCCAAGGGCGGTAGAGGCACGGCAGGGTCTATTGAAAGAAGATGAAATATCGTGGAGACCCCGAGACTCATGCGGTTGAGAGGCACGTTGCGCCCAAGCGAGTATAGAAGATGACGCAGGACGAAGCGTGTCGAGTCGGCAACTCTTCCTGTAGTCGGTGCTAGGTAGGTAGTCTCCGTTTGGCAGGATAAGCTACCGTCCGCGCCCAAGGAGAAAAATATGGAGCGCTGTAGTTTGCGAGGGCCGTAGCATACCACGAGCAACAGTCTCGCCCTTCAACGGCGCGTACCCTCGATTCCACTGACATCACTCACAATTTCCATGTTTTGGGTCTGGAACATCTCGAGCGCAGGGACCAATCAATCCACACAGATGTCCGTTGTAAACAACCACCCAATACCAGTCAGTGTCCGGGCCGCAACCCTGTTTTGCTATCATTGCAGCCGTCACCCAGCATCGATGTCGCTGGATGACTGTAAAGCTTATTTCCATATAGGAAAGATAACCTTGTGAATGTGGAGATATTGTACCGGTATTTGTCGGTTAACAATTGTGCTAGCCAGCGCGTGAGCTCGACGTGGCTTTCTCACTAACATCGCCGATGACAGGCCAAACGGGGACCGTAGCGCCACCATACGTTAGAAAACCAACGGACCTTTCAATTGACTCTTGACGTCATGCTCCTCCCTAAAAAAAAAGCTCGCCAGCCCTTAGTTCTTTGTGCAGCCGTCGATGATGCCACAAGTACACGTGTAGTCTAGGGAACAGTAGTGAGGGCCCTGTCCAGCTGAGCTGAGAAGCTCGATGAATGCCTTGTCTCAGTGCGGATACAGGGGAAAGCAATGCTGGACTGTTCAGCTTCCGACAGGAGGGGGGGGGGGACCGCTTGGATGCGTCTTCTCTCGTACCTCTCGTTCCTTTAACAGTCGAGATCGTCACAGGGGGCGTGGTTCCCAGCTAGTTCCACAATTGAGGGGAGCGCAAGCCAGGTCTCTGTGCATGAGCCCGGCGCTAGTGCCGCAATCTGGTTGCTGGCGCTGGTAGAGAACGTCATTCGTCTCTTTTTGGCGCAGAAGCTTGGGCGGGTGTTGAGATTACCAGCTGTCACCGGCGCGCGGGGGTGCGTGGGTTCGGGACGGAACACATCCAGTGTCTCGTGTGTTGGACCCGCGATATAACATCCTTCCTGCCCTTTCTGTCGGATTCCCTCCACTTCATCCCGAAGCAACGGTTGAACACAACTTGGACGAACACCCCAATCGCGGTCTACGACCCCACACTATTCGTCTCGCACTTTGAATACGCAAAACCCAAACCCCGTCTCTTCTTTCCCAAAGTCAATTCAGCGCATCACGACCATGGCCGACACCAAGACGCTGCCCCAGAGGTCGGGCACCATCATGACCAACACGTCCAGCGACGAAGCCGTTCCCGAGGTTGACCCCACTAGCGTAAGTACAGCCGTCATGCATTTCCCAACAAGCGAAGGTCATGACTTGTTTGGATTGGTTTCTTGGGTTCTGCAGAATCGTGAGCACCGTTTACGGATTTTGACTAACAGAACTTGCGCAGACCGCCGGACTCCTTGCAGAACGACTTCAAGCCTGGAAACATGCTGTCGGATACCTGGAGGACTACATGGAGGTCGTTGAGAAGATCCACAGGGCTCATGCCAAGGAGTACGAGAAGGCTCTCAAGACCATATCCCACCCCTTGAAGGAAGGTCACCATTTTGATCAGAGCCTCGGCGGTGTCGCCGGCTACTTCGAGAACATGCGTTCCAACACTCAGGCGATTATTAACACCAATCTTGAGACGGAAAAGAGCATCAAGGGATCCGTTCTTCCCGTTCTTGAACGCCTGCACAAGGAGATCAAACACAAAGGCAAGGAGCTAGCACACGGTGCCAGCAAGGGCGCCAAGGAGGTTGAGAAGGCCCGCAATACCACCCAGAAGCACATTGAGCTCCTCGGTCAACAAACTGCCGCCTTCGAGTCGGCTGGCGGTAAGATGCACGGAACTGATGACCCCTACGTCGTCCACCGGGGTGTCTTGCACAGGCTACACAAGCAGGTCCTCGAGGAGAACAACAACCGCAACGATCTCATCGCTATTCAGAACAATTTTGAAGCCTTCGAGGCTCACGTTATCGGGGTCATTCAGCAAGCGATGGAGGCATTTATCCAGCTGACCGGCAGCCAGGCTGAGAAAACTCGCGCCCTCTACTCGGACATGCTCGGTGCGATCCAAAGAGTCCCGGCCGACTTGGAGTGGAAGGGCTTCGTCGGCCGCAGTGGCGACCGCCTGGTCAATGCCAACGATCCTCCCCGCTCAGTCGAGTCCGTCACTTTTCCCAACATGGATCACTCCGCTGTGAAGCCTCTCATCGAGGGCTCTTTGGAGCGCAAGTCGCGTAACAAGCTCTCCTGGGGCTACTCCACCGGCTACTATGTTGTTACTCCTGCCAAGTTTTTGCACGAGTTCAAGGACTCTGATAATGCCCGAGCTGATCCCAAGCCGGAGCTTTCCATCTATTTGCCCGAGGCCATTATTGGGGCACCTAACGGAAACAAGTTTAACGTCAAGGGCAAGGATAAGAGCAAGTCCATCAGTTCCAAGCTCACCGGGTCCTCGGAGTTGGCCTTTCAGGCACACACTCCTGCCGACGCACAGAAGTGGTTCGACGTTATTAAAAACGTTGCGGGAGCGACTGGACCTGCCGAGCCCAACTCAGCGCCCACTTCGACCCCCGTCTCTCCTGTTGTCGGATCAGACGAGAAGATGCCTTCAATTGCGCCCGCCGCAACCACCCAATCTGGCCACTCAGTACAAGAGGCCGGCGTCACAGGCGCTGACCCTACAGCAAGCCCGGAGCTGCTGAGCCCGGTCGATGAGCCTTCTTCCAGTGCTGCGGCTGCTCCTGCGGCTACGCCTGCTGCGACGGCGCCGGTTGGCGAGAAGAAAATCTAGAACACCCTCAACTTCTGGGATCTCCACACTTGCAGGTACAGTCCACCACCACGTCGAGAGCCCGGTCAACAGCCCTGCTTTTATCAAAGTGAGGCGGATGCCATGGCGCTGGTGCGAGTTATATGCCCTTCTGGTTGCCTTAATGCCCAGTCCCCAAGGCGGACAAGCGTGGATGGGTTCGATAACACGACACACCATTCCTGATTGGCTACGTTAGTTCCCAGCAACACCCAGAGCTTTACGTCCATTTGCTTTTCTGCGGCCACGTTCGGCGCGCGCGTTTGGAGGATACCATTCTAGTTTCATGGTTATGATATATATGAGCCTTAATCAAACACCTTTCTTGATAATTTGCCTTTCCCGGAGACGATTATTGTCAGATTCATCGCTGTTCTGTCGCTCACAAATGATACTAATGACAGTGACTCGCTTATAAAGGGGCTGTAGCTGCCTCGTCAAGGGCTGCGCCTCACCACTGCCCTCCTCCCGTTCGAGACACGGCGCTGAGACTCGCACAAATCTTGAGTTCAAACAAGTCTTCGGCATTGATGGTCTTGCACATCTGAGCAAGGAAGGCGTCCGCTCAAAACAGTGAAGGTTGCACACCTCGCTGAAGTTCGGTGAGGGTTCGCGGCATGGTGGTGTGGTACACAAGGCGTCCTAGGCTTCTCTCACTCACCACTACATCCCTTGGATCTTTCTTAGTCCCCGTTCGGAAAGGCAGACTTTGCCTGTTCGCCATGATCTCCGGACCGTATGTGCTATCGGGCATAGAGTGCGTTGTTGGCTTCTTGTCAGTAGAGACCGGTTGAAGATGAAGTTGCATCTTTGCGCACTCGAGTAGCTCGGTGATCTCGAGGATGCGGAAGGCGATGATGATTCTTCAAGGCAGAGATATGCTGAGACACGCAGAATAGTTCCCTTTCGTCAGCCCTGGAAACCCAGGGAAGCCCCTATCCCCCAAATCGTCATAGACCATAGCAGTGCATACGGGCAAGTGTCCAGCCTGGTCGTCAGCGACATATATACGGAGTTCGCAAGCAGTTGCCCGTTTCACTGTGAATAAACTTGCTTGAACCCAGTCAAACTCTGTTGATCGTCATCAATGTAGCCAGCCTTGGCCTATCATCGCGGTTCCCACAGCCTCATCTTCCTTCCAATGATTCAGATTCCTCCCAGACGTGCCCGTCTCCATCCTGAATAATGACGAAAGCGTGGGGAGAGAAGCGGGCCGATATCACGAGGCTCTACATTGACGAGAACAAGACCCTGAACGAGGTCAAGGCGATCATGGAAGAGCACCACGATTTCAAGGCCTCGTCAGTCATTCCACGTGCTCCTTTGCCCCCGCATCTCGTTCCCTTCCCCGAATTGGTGCCCGTTGGATGTTCCCTCCTCGTTGAATACCCGCAGCGTTCGTCTATGATACCGATGCCGAGTCCACCACGCTTTGGGTGGGACACAGGGCATGAAAGATCATCCGCATAACGCATGCTAACCTGCTATCTAGGACCCGATCATACCGCCAGCAGTTCGACAAATGGGGTCTGGCCAAGTATAACTGCAAGAAGCGGACGGCGCGTCGTCGGAGCCAGGATACCAGCGGCCACCAACTTCACCACCAGAGCGCTGAACAATACCATTCCGCTGAGGAAGTCAGCGGAGGAGGAGGGAGCATGAAATCTGATTTCACCACCGCGGATCTGCATGCTTACGACCAGCCCATGAGTCCTCGGAGCTGTGGCAGCAGCCTGAGCTCCGAGTCGGCAATGGATGCAGGCTTCGTGGATGAAATGATGGACGTTACTGGCGCGACCCCAGGCTCACAAGCTCCTGATGCATCGTATGCAAGAGACTGGCCGCCGCAGCTGCCGTACAGCGGAGGAGCCCGACAGCAGCAGCAGAGCATCTCGTACACCCAGTACACCCAGCAGCATCAGACACAACAGGACCAGCAGCAGACACAACAACCGCAGCAGCAGCAGCGCCGGTGTCGACCATCATGGAATCAGCAAGGCATGGCGCAGAGCCCCTATGGCACGCTGCCCAGCCCGCCCGCGGACCTCCGCGACGACTCTTCGTGCTATCTGTTGTTCGCCAACGAGGCGGGCGTGTCTCACCGGCCCGTCCGCCCTCAGACGTATCCCGTTCTCCATCCCGGCCCCCATCGTCCGAAAAGCTACTCGCATCAACAGCCCCCATCTCAGTACCGGTACCGCCAACGCCAGCAGCAACAGCAGCAGCAGCCGGTGCCCCGGTCGCAGATGTACTCGCCGCCGCCGCTGATGAGCGCGCCTCGGGACAGCGTGCAATACCACGTCGGCGTCGAGTGTGCTGCTGTTCGCCAGCCGGGGCAGCAGTAGATGACGAGGAAGGTCTTGATTGACGGCGTTGATTTCTTTCGGCTTTCCTGGTTGGATGTGTCCTTTTTCCAGCCTGCCATTGTAACCTTAATCAGAGATACAAAAAAAAAAAAAAAAGCATAAACAAATTACAGTGGTTTGTTTGGATATCACGACTGTACATTCTTTTCCTTTTCTCTACTTTCGTAACTCACGTAGGGTGGTTCATGGTTTGTGGTTTTTGGCCGGAAAGGGTTGAACGCATGTTTTTGGTGGAAACACAGGACACAAAACTTGACGAGGCCTTCTTCCCCGCCTTTTTCCTTTTGGGTATTCTTACTCGGTAGATTCTCGCTAGTTTAAACGTTGGCTAGATGCTAAGGTATTGCGCTCGTTGATATGAAGTTATATGGGAGAAAATCTGAGCCTTCACCCCACCTAGATCCTGATACGACCTGTTCTGTTCCTGATAACCTGAAAGAGAGAGAATGATTCTTTCTGTTCTTTTTCGTACCGCTCTTTCAGAGCCCTCACATGAAGTCATCGTCAGTGAAGGGCTCGTTGCTGGCGTTGGACCGGATGTTCATCTTCGCCGCGTTTTCGGCCAGTCCGTACGGGTCGTGAATATGCTGCCGCCCACCGCCGCCGCCCTCCTGGCCCTCCCCGTCGCCGGCGGGGGCCGAGTTGGAGCGCACCTGTACCTTGACCTCGCCCTGGATGCCGTCAACGCGGATCGTGGAGACGGTGGTGCCACCGGGCGGCGGGCGCAGGTTCTGCGGGGCGCCGAGGTTAACGAGCTCGCGGAAGAAGTTGTTGGCGGCCTCACAGCCGTCGAGGAGCCACTTGAGGCAGATTGTGACACGTTCCTTGGCGAAAGGATTGTGGTCGTCGTAGGCGCAGCAGTTGAGGAGCGGGACAATACCGTTGTGGTTCACCATCTGCGTCTGTACGTCTGGGTTGCCGGGCGTGGACTGGCCGGGAGGTGGTTGGAGGAGGGTGGCGAGGATGGTAAAGATTTGGCCCTTGATGCCGGACCACGGGTACTTGTGGGCAGGGTCGGATAGGGACGGAGGCGGAGGAGAGGGCGGGAGGGACTCGCTGGTGGAGTAGGGGCGCTCGACGATCGGGGTCGTCTGGGAGGACTGTGATTGTTGGTCCGAGGGGGGCGCCGAGGGGCGGTTGCGGCTGGGAATGGTGTCGACAAGAGGCTTCTTTGGGACGCCGGCCTCGAGACCGTTGAGGAGGGTGATGAGGTCGTAAACAGCCTCCCATTCGATGAGCTTCTTCCTCGACTCGGCGATCTCCGAGGCGGTGGTGAGGAAGTCGAGGTATTGCGCAAGGCCGTCCTTGGCACGCTCCATGTCCCAGGTATCGACGGGGAACTCGGCCGGGTCGACGTTGTCCTCGCGGATCTGGGCCTGGAGGTGCATTAGGGCGACGCACTCTGGGACGATGCGGCTGCGGAAGAAGCTGAAGAAGAACATGACGAGCTTGACGTCGCGCTCCTGATCCTTCTTGTCCTGGGGCGGATTGCTGATGCGGCTGCGGAAGATGTGGTTGACGAGGCGGAGGAGAACGGTCTGCGCCGGCGAGATAATGTCTTTGGGGATTCGGAGGGAGTTCCAGGCGTAGGGCACCAATGCGGAATGGTGGAGGGCCTCGATGAGCTGAGAGGTGATCTGGAAGATGAGAGACTGCTCATCCTTTTCCCAGACGGCGATGAAGACAAGCATCTCGCGCAGCAGGGACTTGCCGCAGTCGAGAGCAAGGAACATGCGGCAGCGCGTCTTTTGGAGGTTCTCGCCCGCACGGGTGAGCCCGGTGCCGGCCGAATCGAGGATACACGACTTGACGATCATGTGGAGGGCCTCGATTTGCTTCGGGTCTAGGATGTTGGGGATCTCGGTCAGGAGACCAGTCAGGGGGCCCTCGCCGTAGGATTCGTCGTCGTCAATGTCCTCGTCATCCATCATGTCGTCATAGCCCTCGGCGTACTCCTCCTCTACCGACGCGCTCGTCCCGCCCACCGGGCCCCCGTCGTCAGGACCTAGGTCCTGCTCCGACTCCTCGATCTCGACAACTTCGTGATGATCCTCAGTGCGCATGACGGGCGTGTAGCGGTTGAGGAGGTTGTTCTTGCAGTGCTCCGTCCGCGTTTTGGCGAAGTCGACGGACGGCATCGGTACCACCCATCCCTCGTAGTTTGCATCGCGCGCGCGCATCCACCACGTGTCGATCTCTCGCGATACCCGGCAGTAGGCGCGGTCCTGCTCAAACTTGTCCTGGATCTCGGGGTCCCACCTAGGGTTCACCTTTTCGCCCTCCTTGTAGTTGTCAGCGCGGACCTTGACCTGGCCCTCGGGGAACCAGTTCCAGGCCAAGGGTGCGATGGGCGCAAGGACGCCTGGCGGCTTATGAGACTTGTTCTGGGAATAGTCCGTAAGGAGCTTCCGTGCAGTGTCGCACATCCTCGAGTTGCGCTCCAGCCAGTGCTGGATTTCCGTCTTGGCGATGTCGACGCGGAACCCAGAGCCGTCGCCCATACCTTCTTGGGGGTCGTCGAGCTGAGCGTCTTCATCGAACAGCACATCGTACCAAAACGACATCTTGTTGCGATCATTCTTGGCCGTCCAGTTGTGTGCTTGCTGGAGGGATGTGACGAGGAGCTTTTTGTCTTTTAAAGAGTGAGCGAACAATCTTGGCATGATGGACGAGCAAGGACTTACACATATCAGTGATCTCATTCAGCTTCGCCCGTGATGTCTCATCCAAAATTTCGCCATCGTATCCCTTGCTGGTAACATTCACACATAGGATTATGGTTTGATATACCATCTGGTCAAAGTGAACGGCGGCACAGATGTCTTGAGGCACCTCCGGTTCCGACGTCACCAGCAAATTCCTGGCAATGTGCATGAGCTTGTTCAGAATGGAAAGGTCATCCTTGAGGCTGTGATGGTTCTTCACGATGAGAGCAGTGCTCTCCTGGGGGGTAACCCCTTTCTCAGGGTCATTTAGGCTTGATAGGGGGCCTACTGAGCGCGTAGTGAGGCTGGGGATGGCGGCGCCAAAGATTTTTGTCAACCAGATCCATATCTCGACGTTTCTTGAGAGGGTTTCCCTGATTCTTGTTAGGCAAATGAGAAAGCACGAAACTATGATGCGCGGCGAGGGGGAGCATACCTGACGTGCTTGAAGGTGTGAGTTTTTTCGAGGGTTTTCGCGATCATGGATGAGACCCTCGCGGCGGTCTGTGGTCCCATGGGTGGGATGGTGTAGTGACCCTCGAGGCAGATGAGGGCGGCCGAGAAGCAGCGCTCCTCGATGGTCTCATATCCGGGCGTGCCATCCTCCAGGTCCAGGTCCGGCAGTGATGGCGGCGGTGTGTCGGCCGTCATGGTGGGGGTTTCTTAGATGACGGCCGTGGGATTCGACGGTGGTGCCCAGGGCACGCGTGTGAGTGAACGAGGTAACGACCAGTGGATGGTACAGAGACGGTTGCACTTTGGGTCAGAGTATCTTGGAAATTCAATTTCGCTTCGGGGAAAGTTCAAAGTTATATCAGAGAAGAGAAAGAGAGACTGGGATTGTTGTGTTGCTAGGAATATTCTCTTGAAGAATCCAAGGTGGCGGCGGCACCAGGATGTCGTATGGTCAGCAAGGAAAATTTCCGCCCGTCCACAGCTCCGAAGTATCTCTGCACCACAAATTGGTCAGCAGATACACACAGACCAACTGCCCATTTCAGACTTGCGCAGTTGGCCTTGGTTGGACATTCATGGCATCCTTCCAGGTCGTCAACGCTTGATATACGTGGAACCTAACAAATCAAAGGTTTATGGGAGCTATAAGGTTTTAAAAGTCAATTCTCTGTCATCTCCTTGCTATGCCGGGCCGGGGGGGGAGGGCAGCTAAACATGTCAGGATACAACTGCTCCTCCGTCGAGAGCCCTACGGAATTCTGGTGCTAATCCCCCTCCACAAGAACCCCCCCCCCCCTAAACTCAACCAATGGTTCAGGGATTGTGCGCCGTAGACCCCTCTATCGGCTGTGTCCATCTTTGCGCCCCGACGACGTCCCCTCGGCGGGGTAGTCTTTCCAACGCGGATTTGGTGGCGAGTCACGGTTTGACTCACTCTGACAGAAACCTCCCCCACGACCGCCAAATCTCGACCGACCCCGTCGCTGCGACCCTTCCGGTACTTCGCTTCCTTGAGCATACACGCACTGCTCCGATTTCGACTTTCGTAACCCAGAAAACCAACATCAACATGGCGGAAGGTACCAAGGCCCAGGAGAGGTTTGCCCTCATCCAGGAGAATCTGGCCGAGGTCATGAACCCCGAGATCATCGAGAAGATCCTGGCCGAGGGACGCAACCCAAAGATTTACTGGGGTAAGTGTCACCCCGATCCGAATGCAAATGCCTACCGTTGCGCATCGGCTAACCTATGCGTCTTTCTGCGCTCCAGGAACCGCGACAACGGGTAGACCGCACTGCGGCTACTTCGTGCCCGCCATCAAGCTGGCCCAGTTCCTCGCCGCCGGCTGCGAGCTAACCGTTCTTCTTGCCGACATCCATGGCTTCCTCGACAATCTTAAGGCCCCGATCGAACTCGTCGAGCAGCGTGCAAAATTTTACAAGTTCGCCATCACGAACATCCTCAACGCCGTCGGCGTCTCCACCGAGAAGCTCAAGTTCGTCCTGGGCAGCTCTTACCAGAAGAGCCCTGAATACATTATGGACGTCTACAAAATGAGCTCGCTTATCAGTGAAAGAGACGCGAAAAAGGCTGGTGCGGAGGTCGTGAAGCAGTCTGACGTAAGAAATCTGGCAAATTTGGTACGTGGACGAAGCTGACCATTTGACAGAACGCCCCCATGAGTGGTCTACTCTACCCTGTGCTCCAGGTTTGTGATGAGGAACACCTGGGCGTTGATGCTCAGTTTGGAGGTGTGTATCGGCGGTTAGAACTTGGACTTGCTCTTGCGCTGACCCTTTCCAGGCATGGACCAGAGAAAGCTGTTCGCGGCGGCAACTGAATGGCTGCCCAAGGTCGGATACCAGGTGCGCGCACATCTATTGAACCCCATGGTGCCCGGCCTCAACGGCGGGAAGATGAGCTCGAGTGACCCTGGTAAGATTGGAGCCACCTTAATTCATGACCTGCCTCTAACCTACATTGTGTAGACAGCAAGATTGACCTTCTCGATGCGCCTGAGGTCGTGCAGAAGAAGCTCCGCAAGGCTGAGTGTGTGCCCAAGGTTGCCGAGGGCAATGGTGTTCTGGCCTTCGTCGAGTACGTGCTGCTTCCTGCCGCGGCTCTGAAGGGCAAGAAGGAATTCCGCGTCGAGCGCGAGCGCGACGGTCTCGAGCCCCTGGTGTACACCGACATCGCTGAAATGCACACAGACTACAAGAACGACGTAGTAAGTAGCGCAAAGCATGGGTGACAGCAATCAGGTACTAACATCAATCAAGTTGACGCCTCAGCTGCTAAAGCCTGCCGTAACCAAGGCTCTTAACGAACTCCTGGCGCCCATTCAGAAGGCGTTCCAGGACTCGGAGGAATGGAAGGAAATTACGCTGAAGGCTTACCCCGTGGTAGAGGACGATAAGAAGAAGAAAAAGAAGCAGCCCAAGGACAAGGGCTCCCGCTACCCCGGCGGAAACAAGGGCGGCGCTGCCGCCCAGGATGGAGCCGCCAAGGAGTCGGAGCTGCCTGTGCGACCAGCTGAGGATGCCGCCCAGTGATTTTCATTTCTTGCATAAAGAAAGCGTTTTTTGTCTGTACGTACTACTATGCATTGGAGTTCGGATGAATACTGGCAGAAAAAGGAGATAGAGTCTAGAAAGCTAGATACCTTGGATGAAAAGAACATGCCAAAGAACCAAGTTCCGAATTATACCAAAACCAGGATATCTACAAGTAAATGTATTCATGATTGGATGATACTTCTTATCTGGGCACCAGAAAATCACCAAGGAGACCTTTACGATAATCTCCCACATGGTGCAGGTAGTGAGCTTGTGTGGGGGGGGGGGGGTTTCAGAGAGCGGGACAGCTCGGATGCTGACATGGCGGGGCACTGAAGAAATGTACACATGTAGACCGAGCATGGGAGGATGGCGGGGTAACTTTCGGCGGGGTCACTCGAAAAAAGTGTCAGAACTCCAAGGTATCGCGATCCCAATCAAGCTTTGCGCCGATCGTCATCAGCTCTTAGTTCCCATTCTTTCCTGCTTTCCTCGCTTCTTCCCTCTGAATCATTTATACCCTCTTCATAACGACCATATCAAGAGACGCAATGGCCAGCCTTCCTGAGACCTTTGACCGTAAGCATCCTCAGGGTTTACTACAAACCTCCAAACCGCGCGCGCGATCTTGCGCGTGCATGACGCCATGCCTTGCCAGCTAACAATTTATTTTCTTTAACAGGACCTGTCCACATCGCCGTCATCGGCGGCACCGGCTTGGGCAAGCTTGAGGGCTACACCCCCGTCGCGTCCCTGACCCCGACGACGCCATGGGGCAAGCCCTCATCGCCTATCCAGATTCTTGAACATAATGGAGTGCCCATCGCCTTCCTCGCCCGCCACGGTCTGCACCACCAGTTTGCTCCTCACGAGGTGCCCGCCCGCGCCAACATCGCCGCCCTGCGCTCCATCGGCGTGCGCTGCGTCATCGCATTCTCGGCGGTCGGCAGCCTGCGCGAGGAGATCAAGCCCATGGACTTTGTGGTCCCGGACCAGGTCATCGACCGCACCAAGGGCGTGCGCCCTTTCACCTTCTTCGAGGGCGGTGTCGTTGGGCATGTCGGGTTCGCGGACCCGTTCGACAAGGGGCTCGCCGAGATCGTGAAGAAGTGCGCGGCGCACATGCAGGGTGACGGAGTCGTTCTACATGACAAGGGAACCATCATCTGCATGGGTAAGTTGCTTCTGTCATGCGAGGCCGCTGTCGAGTGTGAGCTGTATACTGACGAAACGATACAGAGGGCCCTCAGTTCTCCACCCGCGCCGAGTCGCACATGTACCGCTCCTGGGGCGGCAGCGTTATCAACATGTCGGCTCTTCCTGAGGCCAAGCTCGCCCGCGAGGCCGAGATGGCCTACCAGATGATCTGCATGGCTACCGACTACGACTGCTGGCACTCATTCGAGGACGTCGACGTCGCCATGGTTATGAAGTACATGGCCGCCAACGGCGAGAACGCCAAGCGCCTCGTCGGCGGTGTCCTTGACGAGCTGTCTAAGCAGGAGAACAGCAACCTAGTTCTCGCCAAGCAATGGGAGGGTTCCTCGCAGGGCGCCGTCAAGTTCATGACCAAGCCCGAGGGTCGCGACCCTGAGGCCATGAAGAGGGTCGAGTTCCTCTTCCCTGGCTTCTGGAACTAGAGTGCGACCTACGTTGTAGCTCGTACAGCAATGTGATATTGTCTTTTACGATTGTTTGAACGATGAAATATGGGAAGAAACGGTGTTCATATGGGAATATAAAAATGAGCTTGAACACCAGTCAATAAGCGACGCTTTCATGAGTTTGCGATGGCATGTAAAACCCTCTTGGGCATCAGCTGTTCGGGGTGGAAGCGGGATAGGTCACAGAATAGGAGCAAACTATATGCAACAAGTGATGCAACAGCGTCGACACAACGGTCGATGGGTTTTCTGTTTAATGCGATTTGTTCTCTGCGCCAGCAACATTCCACTACATGCTTGAACGCCACGCTTCGCCACCTTCTTGTTCTTTAGGCTCCAGAAAAAAGAAAAAGAAAAATCTACATTTACACTTCCGTCGTTGTTTCCTAATCACATCAAAAGATACAATGCCCGAACGCCCTTTTCCGCCGCGGCAATGTGCCAAGGCCGGACATCCGTCCCCCTATCTATAACGCCCCTCGCGCGAGCCAGGGTGCCGAGGCCCCTGAAGTAGGTGAGCATCTCGCGCATCAGTCCCTCGTACATGCGTGGGTTGTTGTCCGCGTGTACAATGTTGACCTCCATGACCACGGGTGGGTCTTCAAGCTTTGTCCCGCCGCGCTTGACGAGGTAGCCGCTGATGAGAGCCGGGTTCAGCTCGCCTAGCGAGTATGAGTTACTTAGTCGGTGCGAGAGGACGGCGCCCCATGATTGATCCGTGACATCGAGGAGGATGGCGTCTCCTTCGGCTGGCTCTGCGTTACCATCACCAGGAGTGCCGCCCGGGGTCGCAGCGTTCGCCGGGTTGTTCTCCTTCATGGGTGTTACAGGGGTGCCACTTTGCTCCGGCGATACGATGGACGCCTGTGGGGTGGAAACAGGCGTTGTGTAGAAAGCCGATGGCGCTGTTGCCGAGACCTTGATAGCGGGCGGAACCAACTGCATCGACGGATTGGTATCGACCGATATCAACGTTAAGCTCACAGTTGCCACCGACTCCGTCTGCGCGAGCCCCTGCCAGAATCCAATCTCCTGCGCATCCATGAACCCGCACTTGGATATGACCACACGCCAATGGACCTTCCATTTGGAGATCAAATCATGGGTGGTTTCCCATATCTCGTGGCAGACATCATTAAGCGACGTCGAAAGGGCCTTGCCCTTGCGACCAAGGTTGTAAGACGCTGTCATCTGCTGGGAGCCCCTATTGTCGGTCCATGCAGCGGTGATCCACCTCTCATCGATGCTTTGGGCGTAGGCGATGTGAATGCAAGTGTTCTCATGCATGAGCGACGATGACGATGTGGCGGACAGTTTGAAGTCGATTCCTCGTGGGAATGACTGCTCGAGTATGATGGCAGGCGACGGCATCGGTCCGCCGAATAACGTGCAACGATCGTATGTCTCGATCGCCAACTTGATCGCGTCGTTTGGTGTCGGCTCCACCATTCCTTTCGAGGAAGTCAAGAAGTCCAAGGGTACCAGCTGTAAAACTAACTCATTGGTCGGCGTTTGCCTTTTGTCGGATAGAGACCTTTTGTGCATCTCAAAAAGTTGCTGGAAAGCGGTACAGGCCTCGACGATGGAGCCAGGATGGTCAGGAGGATATACAAAGTATATCACAAAATTCTTCTCCTTAGCGTTAGCCAAAAGGAGGCCTTGATTAAGGGCTTCCATACGATCGCCCAAGCCCGCAACAATGTGAGGGCTCACGGTGCCTGGCGAAGTTGCGACCTTGTCTGCTTCGAAAGGCACCAAACCATCAGCGACTTTAGAACTGGACGGCAGACGCTCAAAGGAGCCCAGTTTCAAAAGTTCGTATACGTTTCGCATGCGATCCAAGAATGCTGCAGCAACATCTGACATCCCGTCCCAATGAGGGAATACGCACACAACGTTGACGTCCTTCGTCCCTTGAGCAGGACCAAGTCCCAGGCTTTCCCAAAACTGAACACTTACGGGCAGAACCGACAGCCTGGCTTCTGCACGACGAAGCTCCATGTGAGGAGCTGGAATTTGAAAGAGGTTGTTCGGCTTTGGTGGCTCCGCGTTGTCTCGCGGGTTGGCCGGCCTCGGATGAAGCCGGCTGGGCGGTCCAATCAAAGGAACATCGGGGACTTCAACAAGGCCTTTGAAGTTGCAGGCGTTGAACTCTCCGAGGCAAGGGGGAATAACTTCGCGCAGTGCCTGTAGGGCAGTCCGGCCAAGGGAAGACAGCTGGCGCCGCGTATCTGATACAATGGCTGTATTCAATGTATTCGCAAGCGCATCCCGTATTCTCAGGCTACCCGTCGCGGCCTGCTCGGTCACGATCTGCGCAATCGTAATTGCATCTTCGTCCGGGAGAGAAAGATAAATAGGGAGCGACTCTGCGTCTTCAAAGTATTTAGGTATCAGTGTTTCCGACGCCTCAGCCTTGGCAAGTTTCGGGAGATCCAAAGCTAACGCCGGGTCAGAGTCATCCACGGATTCGATGTCTTTTAAGGAGGTGACATGGGAGGCAACGTCATCGTCCAGGTTGAGTCTTCGGATACTAGACTTGAAGGGCGATGCTGGCTCATCTTCTGACGTGCTCGAGTCATCCTGATCTGATACCAGACTAACATCGTCCGCATCAGATGCCAAGTCATCCCCTTTTCCGGGGCTCGCAACAAGGGGGCTGTTCTCGAGATTACCCGTGATCGTACGAATCAGCGCATTTGTACGTTCCGGTTGTCGCAAAGTTTTCCTTTGTTTTCCGTGTCTTCGCAGATAGTCAGTCGTTGGAGGGCCCTGCGAAACGGTCTGCTTGCTTGCGTCTTGCGAACGGCCTTGGAATATCGGGGGACAGTCAAAACGTCCGCCTTGTTCATACTTCTTGTTCACAAGAGGCAGAACCGGGTCGAAGTCCACACTATCGAAGACACTGCCCTTCCGCGCTGGTGTTCTCTGTTGAGCAGAGCGGATGTCCGCCAGGGAAGCCCGAACTCTTTTGTAGACAGTATCTGGATCGAACGGACTTGATTCGCGTTTGACGCCAGCTGTCTTTTCCACGCTGGACCTTTGCTTCCCTTCATCCAACAGCGTGCTTCGCGCATGCTTCAATTCCGGTTTCGCGAATATCGGAGGACTGAGTACCGGCTTAGCTTCCTCTACGGGAAGAATTAATTTTGCAGGCTCGGGCACAGGTGCCGGGATCGCAGGTGGCGCAGGCGGCGCGTCAGGCATACCCAAGTCAGGCAAGCCCGACAGATCGAGATCATTGCCGCCCTCTTCGTCGAAGAAGCTGAAGTCAGCGTCGGTAATGTCCGTATCCCCAAACATGTCTGGTCCCATATCACCAAACAGGTTGTCGTTGTCGCCAGCCAGAAATGAGTCGGCCCGGTCTCTTTTACTATCGCTCGAATGCCATCCGTCGCCGTATGCTTCGTTGTGCTGGCTAGTGTTCATCGCGGATACGTCATGCGTGCCTGTGTCAGTCATGGTCGTATCTATGTCAACTACCGCCATTGTAGTCCCTGGGGCACCCGGGCTAGAAGTCGTCCCGTCCATGGAAGGTGTTATACCCAGGGGATTTTGAACTCCGTCAGGCGGTGTAGGGTACATCGTACCCGCGGCAGCGGCGTTGCTTGCACGTCTCAATCCTAATGGTGAATGCCCGTTTGCTTGTTGTGCCGGGACTGCCGCGACAGCCTCTCTTGAAGCCGCGATTTCCCTCTCCTTTTTCCGTTTAGAGACTTTTTCGTCCCGTTCAGTGCCGAGCTGAAACCATGTCCTCGCTTCGTTCAAGAAATCAGACGTTTCGTCTTGGGCTAGCAGCACAGGATCCCCTAGACCGCTATTTCGCGCAAGCATAACGGACTTTTTACGGAAACAGAGGACTGCAGGCCAAGATATCGTAGCCAATGTGGAAGGAAATGGCGTCATTTTACCCTCAATCTTATGCTCGCCAGATTTTCGGCGAAGCATCTGCAATGCGATCCATGGACAAGACTGAAGGAGGATGGGGGACAGCCCGCGGGACTGGAAAATTTTGATGCAGGTGTCTCTCCATTGTGAGGATCTAGCGTCCGCGCCTCTCCAAAGCTGCGTATCCGGCGTCTGTCCTAGGCCAAGTTCGGGATACGATAAGCCTCCGCCTACGAATCCCTGATAGTTTGCCAGAACACCGAAGGGGGCGGCCAGAATCTGAGAACCTAGCACAAGTTGACTCGGCGAGGATGGCTCGTTCACCGACAAAAGACCCTCGCAGCAGGACACAGACAAACTCATGACCAACGCCCCTGTCGTGGTAAGGTAGATCCGGAATGTTCCAACAACGGCGGCTTCAGTGTCTAGAGCCCGTTCAGCTTGGCCATCTCGCATGACTTTTGACGGCAGCAAAACGGTTCGGTGATTTAGGGGTATCGCCGAGACGCGACTGCAAAAGGCCGCCGATATCGTTGATAAAATTGCCGTGATGAACTGCTCATATATGTCGGGCAGGGTAGCCAAGCCTGTGCCCTTTGGTTCGGGGTCAGAAGAGGTTGGCAGTACAGAGATCCCTGTCTGCTGGTTTCGAAGCGACAAGTCAAGAGCCGAGTTGCTCGACGACGAACTCGTCGGTGTATTCGCGGGTTGCTGCCCTGGCGCCCGCCCTTTGAACAAACTGACTGGCTCGAAAGACCCTTCGTCAGCCGTCAACAGTGTTGCGCCAGCGATACTGACACTGTTGCCCAGTATACCATCGCTTTCGTCGCCCGAGACCGCATCTTTACTCGAAATGTAAAAGTACCACAGAACGCGTCTGGTTGCGTCGTAGTAGACAATGTGGCCGCGGTTTCTTAGCTCGGTCTCGACGTCCGCCGCCGCTGAAGGGAACGTTTGCGCGTGTTCCTGAGACGGTTCATAAACTCGGTAAACGATCGACGAGATGTTATTCTAGCAGTAATTTGTCAGCAAAAGACATACAGTTTCCAGCTCCTGAACGAACATTCAATAAGGTATTAGTATCGTATTCGCTTGTGTCCATATCGACGGTCGAGTCTCGCAACGGCGGGATGTGTTCCGTGTCGCAACATCAACTCGCGGTAGCTAAAGCTCCCAGGGGCCACAGGAGCCGATTCACAGTTGGATATCGGCAGTCATAAAATATTCGTTTCGCTTCGGCATCGGTCGGAAGTTGATATGCGATTGAAAGGGATATCGGCAAAGTGGTTTGTTCGAATTCGCGAAGTCATCGACTCCATCTCCGTGGGTCCAAAGCGCGACCAAAGGACCGGCTTCTCGGCATCAACCGAGTCCTGAACCGTTCCAGAATTATCAAGCAGCGTCTAATGAGTAGTGTTTCCCACTTAACCGCAAGGTGATGGGAACCTAGATGCCACCGATACTCGGCCTTTGTCGTTGTAATCGTTGTCGGACGTTGTTGGATGTTGTCGAAGCTTTGGCAATCATGGCCAGGCCGGGTCAAGATGGCGGAGGGTAAACTGGAGCCACGGAGTGCACTAACAGCAGGCCCAGCCAGTAAGTGCAACATTAGGGGTGGGCGGGTCCTTGAGGCGTGGCTCCCGCATCGACTCGCTTATCGATAAGAAAGAAAAAAAGTTCCTTTGCAGACCCTCGGCCGCAGGATTTCTTACTCTCGTCGTCGAATCGTCGCGCAGAACACACCCAGAAATTCTCGATCGTGGTCTCCGACAAACACGATGAAATTGACATACCCGGGAACTGTCCCGGTCTACACCGTCTCCGGCGCGTCAACAGCCAGACCTTTACCGGACTGGCTGGCGAGACGGAGAAAGCGATCGCTGAAGAACGACCCCGAATACCAAAACCGAGTCGAGCTTCTCCAAGACTTTGAGTTCGAGGAGGCCAGTACCTGCATTCGTGTCAGTGAAGATGGCGACTGGGCCGTCAGCGCAGGAACCTACAAGCCTCAAATTCACGTTCACAACCTCCCCCAGCTATCACTGTCGTTCGCACGCCATACGAACTCTCTTACCGAAAAGTTGACCATCCTCTCCTCCGACTACTCGAAAACTCTGCTTCTCCAAGACGACCGACGCCTTGAGTTTCACACTCCCATGGGCTGTCACTACACAATCCGCATTCCCCGTTACGGGAGAGACTTGCTTTACGACAGACAGTCTACTGAAGCACTTGTCCCGGCAGTGGGCGTGGACCAGGATGGCTTGGGCGAAGTTTTCCGCCTGAACCTCGAGATTGGCAGATTCATGAAGTCTTTTCAGATTGATGTCGGCGGGGATGAGGAAGGGGCTGGTTTGCAGGGAAGTATTGAAGCGGGAAGTGTCAACGCTGCTGCGTTGGCAGAGGGCACCCATGGCCTTGCCGCTTTTGGTACGTCCATCGGCACAGTTGAGTTCTGGGACCCTAGATCGAAGTCCAGAGTGGCGCGTCTTGGGTGTCAGGAGGGTGCCATCACCGCCTTGGACTTCAGTGTTTCGGGACTGTCTATTGCCACCGGTTCCGCGACCGGCATGGTTCAGCTGTTCGATTTGCGTCGCCCTGTTCCTCTCTTGACCAAGGACCAAGGTTACGGGTTCCCGATCAAGAAGCTGATTCATATGACCACTGCTTCGCAAGAGAAGAAGATTCTTTCTGCTGACAAGAGGATTATCAAAATATGGGATGAGACCGACGGCACGCCTTGGACCTCGGTTGAGCCCATCGTAGATCTCAACGATGTGTAAGTGATGGAGTTCCAAGCATATTTAGGATTTCGCTAACCAAAAATTAGCGCTTGGTGCAAGGACACTGGTATGCTTCTCACGGCCAATGAAGGCAAATCACAGCACTCCTTTTTCATCCCCAGCCTGGGACCGGCCCCGAGATGGTGCTCGTTCCTGGACAACATGGTCGAGGAGATGGCGGAGGAGGTCCGCTCAGAGACCTACGACAACTACAAGTTCTTGACGCTGCCAGAGCTTAAGCAATTGAGCATGGAGCATTTGATTGGCAAGACGAACCTGCTCCGACCGTACATGCACGGTTACTTTGTGGCGTCGAAGCTCTACGAGCAGGCACGTCTTATCGCGAACCCCTATGTATGGGAGGAGGAGCGGACGAAGCGCATCAAGGAGAAGGTCGAGAAGGAGCGCGCCAGCAGAATCAGAGGCAACAAAAAGGTCAAGGTCAACCAGAAGCTCGCCGACAAGCTCCTCAAGAAGCAAGAGAACAGAGAGGTTGTGGACACACAGGCCGGCCTCCTCGGCGACGATCGTTTCAGAAAGCTCTTCGAGGACGAGGCCTTCGCTGTCGACGAGTCCACCTACGAGTTCCGTGCTCTCAATCCTAGCACGAAGGTTGCCGCAAAGGATGCTCACGAGGTCGGTGTCAGTTCTGCTGCTCGCCCTGTCGTAGACTCGGGACCCAAGGGTCTCGGAAAGAAGGCTACCCAGGATTACGAAATGAAGATTTCTTCTTCCAACATGAAGGGCGGAAAAGAAAGGGACACTGCCCTGGGTGCCCGGGTACAAAAGTCGGGCCGCATCAATAAGACGAACCGTGGAGATGCGTACGGCGAGAAGACGGTCACATTTGTTCCGCATGGCAAGAAGAAGCATGGTGGGCAACAACCGGATCATCACGACGACTCAAGACCTCGGGATCACAAGAACAACTCGAGAAGAAGCGCCAGCACAAATACATTCCGAAGGCTATAAGTATAACCGCTATCAGATATCCAGGGGCAATATAATAGTACAAAGAAGGGGACTCCTTACGCCGCACGCAGAATCATGTTCATCAATCGTCCAGGCTCGACCGCCTTGGCAAATGAACCCACCCATTACACCAGCACCAAGCCAGTTGGCGGCCCGCAACCCCCGGGTCCTACTACCCTCTATCTTGTGCTCACTTCCGACCCCACCTCATCAACTTGCGCTTCGACTCAGCCTGTGCCAGACCCTTTTCGAGATCTTCTGGACGGACTCTGGGTGTGGGCGGCACGTCATCAGCGAGTCTCGCGAGGCCGCGGTGGCTGCGTGGCGGGGATGAAGACTCTTTGACTGATCGGGGGAACTCGGTCCTCCGCGGCGTGAGGGCAGTGACGACTTTCCTGGCGGACTTGCGCATGGTCTCTCTGATCTTCCATTCACGCTTCTTGGCAACATAGAACAAAATGGCCATGCCAACTGTGTATGGGTCAGCGAAATGGTGTTCCACAGGAGTTTGCGTCTTTTAATTCGTTTCACACGTACTTCCAAGAGCGCCAACCACGGAGACGACTACGATGATAGCGATCATAGCTTCGCGGGACAAGTCGACTGCTCCAGGGCTGTCACCAGATGCGCCTGCCTCGGTGTCGACTCCATTCCCAGATGAGCTGGCATCGCCGGGTGTGTCTGGAAAATAGGTATCGGTCGCCAGTGGGAAAAAGTTGGAGGTTGTGGCTGACATGTTCGTGTTATTGGCCAAAATACCGCTCGCGGAGAGGAAATAGAGTCGTTTTGGAGGATCGGGAAAAGTTCAAGAGGCGCAGGCAAACTAGATGGGTCGAAAAGAAAATGGGAATACGGCGTCAGACTCGTATGAGTAGAGTAAGAAAACAACGTTGGACAAAATCGAAAGGATACCCGGCGCCACGGATGTGGCCCAACTCACTATTTACATTGCTCAAGCGCCTCGAGGGTGTCGTTTTGAATGGTCGTCCAGCGCCAATCGTTGGTCCCCTCCCCCCTCCCCCCCTCGCAAGCGGCAACCACCCAGAAGATGCATCGGGCAGCATATGTGATGAGCTACAAGCGACTTCCCTTCTCTATACAACCTCGTGGGCGTGCGTAGTGGGGCGTACGAAGACAAATGCAGGAACCGTATCAAGACACCTTGTTCTACCTACCACTCTGAGCAGTCTCGAGTCCCAGATGGTTAAGCTAGGCTCGCGATGCTCTCTCATTGGCGTTGAACGGCCTCGAAGCGCCGGCATAAGGCGCTTTCACATTAGGGGGCAGGGGTATGGTGGCCAATCAGCGGGCGGGGCTAGGAGTGAGCGGCTCGGCTGGTTTTTGAGGGGAAGGGGGGGCGCAGGGGACGAAGACGTGCGTTGAAACTACACTATCACAGTCTCCATGGCTGTCTCTTGGCATCTGCATATATGTCTAGAGCAGCCGGTTATGGCAGTGGATGCTATATTAGCAAGTCTAATCGTGTGATCGGGATGGGAATGCGCAAGTGTCAACTTGACTATGCGGTGTGACCAGCGAGCTGCCGGGGCTGATTTGAAGGCCTTTGTCAGCGAGGCACGTTATGTGGCTTCGCTTTATGTGATGGCATCTGCACACCTCGTCACTGTCACGCTTTTGCTGACGAGGAGGAATATCCGGCGAGGGGTCGGCCATGGCCTAAGCCCTCCTTGGAGGCGCGGATCATGCCGATTCCGACGATGATGCCGCCGAAGTGTCAGTTACCGCTTGTTCTCCTTTATGCTCATGCCTTTCTCTCGACGGACATCGGAGTTACTTGGCTTTCTCTCGGAGAGCTTCTAAAATTGGATAGTGGCCTTGGCTTGTACCTATCCTGGAAGATCTTGGTGTCTCCCATGTGACCGCCGCGGGGTTTCGTCGCTGGGCCTGCATCGGCCATTCAGCAGGTTGCATCAGGGAGTAGATCGTAGGGCCGGAGGGTGAGTGTCCTCTTCTGCCGTGCTTCATTGCTCGGAGTTGGAACGGAGTTCTGATAGCCAAATTTGTCCTGCAAGGCCATTACATCGTGGAAATGTCGATTGAGTTGTCTTTGGTGTTATCACCGGCGTTGAGAAACGGTGTCTGGCCCCGAATCGTCCTTTTATTGATTACAGCTTTGGATTCCTACATTATCACTGTCACGGCAGTCCAGTTCCCAACCTGTATTTGTAGCAGCCGATCTGCCTAGCCTCTTGTCGCCGCAGACACAGGACTCGACGGGGAAAGGTGCTGACATTCATTCATGGCAGGATTCCTGCATAGATTCTTCGGTCGGTTCAAGATTCATTAGAGTTCTTCTCCAATCCTCTGTCACTCGGCCACACCTCCCCTCTTTGATCTTATCCCAAGCATGTATTTGAGGAAAGTCGGTTACGCAAACTACTAGTTAATAGGAAGCCGCCGTAGTGAGCGCCAGTACCTCACCTTGTTTCAGTACCATTGAGGAGTGACAGAAATCTCCTTCGGCTTGTCATTGTATGTCAGTTGTCGTGAGCAATGACAACTAATCAAACATGTGTATCTATGCAGAAAGATCCGTCGGTCTGCTGTAAAAGATGTCGGCTTGGTTGTGCAAGACACAATGAAGAAGATGGACTTGTACAACCGGGCAGGTACCGTTTGGTGTCGTTGAAGAGTCAGCGCCTTCCATAATCACTACAGCATCTGCCTCATGGCTACTGCTCCTCGATCCTAGTGATAAGTAGTTTATCACTCATTCTTTCCGGGGGATTAGCAACAGCCCTATCGTAGCAGGCGTTCCGAGCAGTGCTTCCCAGTGTGCATAGTCAAATATTCGCCTGATCATGCATTATGTTGCTCGTGATCCTCATCTGCTACCCTCATGCCCATTTAGCCATCCAACCACAATTTTCTGGCTTCAAAATCCGGGTCTCCTCGATCATCGACGGCCTTTTCCCTTCTTCTTTCTTTCTTCTTTTTGCCAGTTTGATGTTCATTTGATACTTTTCTCTCAAAGCACAGGAACTAGCTTCTACCACTGGCAGCATCGCCCCAGACTTCGCCTTGACCTTCAACATGGCTGGCGAATCCAGCCCTGATCCGCTTCAGGAGCCCGGCTCCAATCACCTTCTGAAGGATAATACTCCAAGCGATAATTCCACTTCCAGCGTGGGATCACAGCGAGGCTTGCCAAACCAGCTCCAAGACTTGCAGTCGACCACCACCTGTGTCTTGCAAGATGAGAAAAAGAGCCAGCATCGCGTAGTACAGTCAGAAAAATCAGAGGAGAAGCAGGTTCTTGAGGCGAATGAATTGTTCGCTTTTGCACCGCAGCCAAAGCACAAGCCTAACCAGTTCTCTGGCCGCAAAAAACATCTTAATTTTGATTTCAAGACCCTTAAATCTCCAAAAGGTGAGGCAGACAGGCCTGTTGTCGACACATCACCTCCTGAGTACGGCACACCAAGTCAATACTGGGAACGGACTTCTCCCAATAACAGTCATGATCAACATCGCCAAACTGCCGGTTCTCAGACAGACAATTCATCGAGCTGTATCCGTCAGGAAAAGCAAAGCCGATCAATCACTGATGATCTGGATCTGAACTCTGTCCAGCCCGAATTGGAGCATGTAAGCATTCGGGCTGGGATGCCGACTCGGCATATCTCAGGTGGAATGAGCCCTCCGTTCGAAAACCATCCAGCTGTAGAAGACGTTTCAAGATCCCGAAGAAACAGTATCGATTACCGTCCGGGTTCCACCGTGGAAGGCCGCATCAAGGGTCGCCCTTTTGCTGATGCCGACGCTGGCCTTCCTGGTTTCTATCGAACACCTGTCCAGGAATCAGGCCGAAGTCCAGTCATTGACAGAGTTAACATATCATGCCTCAACAGCCCTCAAGGAGCAACAAACGGCATGGTCAAGCCCGCGCATGCATCAGACCAAAGAATGGAGACCATGATTTCAGTCAATACGCCACAAGCCCACGATGGGAACACTTTCGAGAGGGTCATACGTGAACAGAAATTCCACACGCCCAGCTATAACAAGCAGCACCTCGAAGAAAATGTGTCCCGTACACGTACTCCTGTTGGTGACCTTGAACTGCCACAGAAAAGTACTCCAAGCACCGTGGGCAAGCAACGACGGCACCGTACTACTCGACAGCAGCCAATTCGGTTTTTCCGACACGAACAACGAGAATCTGTTCCTCAACGCACACTTTCACGGCAGTCAAATGTTTCAAAAAGTCGACAGTCGCGTCTTCGTCATCAAGAACGACATAGTCGGCTGATCCAAGAGGAACCCGGCTCCAATGGCCAGGCCGACCGTCGATACGGCCAACCCCAAACACAGAGCCACGTGCAAAAAAGCCACTTCGATGTACTTCAGAGCATGATAACTCACCACAACAGGTTTCTTGAGGATGCGAAACTGACGGAAGAAAGTATGAAAAACGAGATCGCAGGTCAGGAGCGGGCAATAGAGGCATTAAAGACACACATGGAAATGTCTTATCTACGCCATGAACAAGATCAAGAGCACCAGAAGGCCCTTAATGCCGAAATATCTTCACTGCTGCAGAAGAACGACGAAATCATTGCCATCATGGCTCAACGTGATGGTCGAGAGAAAGAGCTGGAAGCAGAGGTTGCCAAACTTCGAGCTTTGGGAAAGGGGCATGCCGCGGAGATGTCCGAATTGAAAATCAAATGTGAAGAGAAACAATCCAAGCTGGAAAAGTTGAAAGAGAAAGGACGCGGATACAAAGATCATCTTAACAAGGCCATTGCGGAGCACCAGGAGCTCTGGCAGCAATCCAAGGACATCAGCCAGAGGGCAATCGATGACATGAGAAAGGAACATCAGGAGTCCGAAAAGCACTTCCACTCGACCTTGAAGGAGAAAGAAGCTGCTCAAGACAATCTGAATCGCATATTCGACGACAAAAGAGATTTACTTCATCAGGAATTGCATGCTGGTGAGTAAGGTCGGCGCGATAGCATCAGGATGGTATGGCTAACGATAGACAGCTGCCTCAAAAACCAAGAGCTTGGAGTCGGCAATGGAAAAGCTCGAGGGGAATTTGCTTGCCGAAGCAGATAAAACCAAAGGTTTGGAGGAACAGCTAAGCAAGAGCAGAGACCGGGAGGCTTTCTTGTTGCGGGTTGAAGACAACATGAGACAGATCTCTGACAAACTAAACGAAATGCAAGTCAAGTCAGCAGAAGCAAATGCTTTGCCAACCAGTATCATTGAAAGGTAAATTCGGTCTGCTAATTCAATAAACAGTGCCAAACTAACGGGCACAGGTTTGACAAGATCACAGCATATTTGCAATCAGCATCATGGGCGGATCTTGGGGACGAGATGCGTCAAGCCCTGAATAACTTTCAGAGAGAGCTCATTCCACAGTGAGTATTACCTTATTATTCTTCTTGCTCCTCAATTAAAGGAAATTCCCCAGGTTTCTGCAAGAGGTAAAGAGCCTGACAACCGAAAGTTCTACCATTGAAGACAGGCTTCAGAGTCTTGAGAAGACCGTTCAGAACCAGGCGGTGCTAGCTCAAACAGAACGCCAAAAACAACAAGAGCAACTACTGCAGCAAATATCCGAAGAGAAGAAGGAAACCCAAAACCTGTTCCTGTCTCTCCAGTCCAGGGATATTCAAATGACAGAAATTTCCAACGCTGTTTCCGAGCTGACGCGTAAGCTCCAAGAACTAAAGGCATCCGTGGCCCTTGCTTCTCAAACTGGAACAACCTCAGAAGAAATCCGATCTCTGCAGGAACTTTTCCTCAGCCGGGATCATCAGGTTTCTGAGATGCAGGCTGAGCTCAAAATTCAGCGTGAAGCTCAAGAGGTAACGCTTCGCGAGCTGCGAGAGAGGCTTTGCCAAGCCGAGGAAGATGTCCGTCAAAAGAGCGAGCTCGTCAAAGACTTGCAGCGTAAGACGCTTACCGAGAAGGACGGCTACGCCGCAAAGGAACAGGAGAAAAAACAAGAGTTGGAGCTTCGACTGAGACACTCAGAGGACTCTCGACAGAACATCCAGAAGCAACTTTTTGAAAGTGAGGCAGAGATTAAACGTCTCAAGACATTGGAAGACAACTCCGGGGTTATAAACCTTCGGAAAGAGCTCGACGATGCAAACCAAAGGATTATCAATCTTACTCTCAAGCTTCGAGAAACACAGACACCGGCTGTTGGCGCTGGAGTTTTTGATCAGCTAGCTGAACAGCTTGTCCAGCTAAACAACATGAAAGAAGATATCAGACAACTCAAGACAAGCGGCAAGACCTACACGACGGTCAGCAAACAACTTGCAACTATGCTCCTCGAACAAGATAACGCAATAGGCGACGATATTCTAGCCCCCAACAGTATAGTGGTACCAGAGCCAGATCTCCCCGATTTGCAACAAGGCGATCCGGTCAATCCACTGAAGATTTTTGAAGTCACCTCCTCTGAAACAGCGCTAGTCCAACAAAACGGCAAGAAGACAGTGTTCCGCAGACCTGTCGAGGAACCGTACCAAGAGATGCCTGGACCTTCAGCTGCGCAGGAGAAACTTCATCGGAGGGTGTCACAAAACCATGGTTCCCATCCCAAGCCAATCCTTCGTCAGCAAAGAATGGCGACAGGGTCATTGAATGCTTCGACAGAGCCTTTGGTTACTCGGCATGCCGGGCACTCTTCGTATAATCGACCTGTTCAGGGCGCTTTAATGACCGGTCAAACTGCCATCTCAGATGTCAGATCCAACCTTCTGGGTAATCCTAAGGTTCAATTATCCTATTTGATGAATCACGGTGATTGGCAGAAGATGACTACGCACGAGAGCAAAGGCATTCAAAAAGGGACTAAAAGGGGCAGTAATCTTCCACCATCCGCTCAACGTCCGAAACGGTCCAAGGCCAGCTTTCCTGTGGACGATGGTAATGACGGGTCTTCAATGGCTGGAGAGCAAAAGATGGCCAACTCTCAGAAGATCGAGTCATCACAGCAAACCGAGATGGACAGCACTCAGAGTTCCCAAGAGGAGTCCCAAAACAACGACCACACTTCATGTCATTTTCATCAAAGTACGCACAAGCCAGGTGCCGATTCAATCTGCCAGGGGAACGAATGAGACGACATGGATTCGCAGCAGAAGCAACAGCCAGCCAAGAAACAAGGCAGCAGTGGAGCTATTCGAAAAGAGTCACTTCGCACCGCGATTCCGGCATGACCAGGTTATGGGGATATTGTGGCATCGGTGATTGATTTTTGGGGGGGGGGACGTCGAGACGGATCGTAGTAATTCGATGGAACGAAGAAATTTGGGGGTGTTGCTCCTTTTTGTAGAATATACATATAGATCGCGGCAATCGAAGCCTTCACTTCCAACCGGCCAATCGTGCCGGACCAACGTGCCAATGTCCTCCCTAGGACGTGGCGTCTCTGAGGGTGCGCATGCTGATGTACATATCGTCCATGTGGTTTCCGAAACCCGATTGCATGCCGCCGTAAACGCCGTATATGGTGATATCAGTGTTGTTACATGTGTTGTTGATCGAATGATGAGCCGAGTTGCAGGTTCATTTGCCCTTCTTCTTTTGCTCGAGAAACAAAACCTTTCTCCGAACTGTGATATCGTCAGCTCTGCCATCCTATTCTCAATTTTGCGGCGTGATGCGGGTGACGTTGGTGGAAAGGGGTACATAGATGCCGGAATACAAGGGGCTAGAGGTGTCGTCGTACTTATCGGGTCGTATTTCAGCATGCTCATAGGCGATGCGGTTCGGAGGCGCTTGAAAGTGTAGAAGTATCCAGTCGCGGCCATGGACAAGAGCCGGACGATCATGACACGAGATTTGGCTGTTGTAGAAACCACAGTTAGCCTGGTAAATCCAAGAGATGCGGCTTCGTGTAACGAATTTTCCTAAAACCGAGTAACGAACCTTTCTTGGCCATCTTGGAGGGGAATTGCACCGCGCGATTGGTGGGGTTGGAGCTTGAAGCTGCTTGTACACGATCTGGGAGGCTGCGGGAGCTTCGCGTTGTGGTAAATTTGCGGTGGTGAGAAGCTGTCGGAGGGAAACGGGCCGCTCACCGAGATCTGGCTGGGGCTGCTGTCGGTGAAGGCTCGGTCTGGGTGGGTCGACTTTTGTACCCCAGTAGCAACAACTGGCATCGGGATGACTGCATACACTAGAGTAATGCAGGTGTCTCACATAGTGAACTGTTTTATTTAGTTTCTGTCGATAAAGATATTCTTATGACATAATACTAGTCAAGTGAGACCGTTTGGAAGAAGGCAAGCAGCGAGAGGCGTGAAGAGCGCACTGTCATACATAGAACCTTTGAGAATAGTAGTCGAGGATGGTAGGGGGACTAAAACGGTTTAGGGCCTGCAAGTCACCGTCCATCATGTCTATATTGACTATGCGGTGAGGATGTCTACACCGTAAGATGAAGTGAATGCGATGAAAGGAGTTGATCGACTGGACTCTCCGGGATCTCCAATACTTTGTCATTGAGCTCCCTCATCGATATCTACCCCCGAAGGCTACCCGGGATCCTTTTAGAGCTTGCAGGGTCCTGGCATCGAGCATCACCGCCGTGCGTTCGGACGGATAGACCATGACACTTTCGGCGACTGGGCTGGGTTCGCGCCCTTTCGTGCTGCATGCGTCCCTATTTGGATGCCAGCCCGCAGTTGATACAGAGTAGCTTCTCTCACGGCCCCTCCTCCGACTGGGCCGGCGGCCGGGCCTCTAGGCGGCCATGTTGTCTCGCAGCAGCTCGGGTCGCGGTTCCTAACAGAAGATGCAGCCCAGTGGGCCAAATGAGCGAAGTAGGAGGGTGTGCTGGATCGAGTGAAAAGCGGGTGACGGGTAAATAAAGGGGAACGAACGGACATTCTGTCTTGCCTTTTTCCCGTAGAGGGGAAGGAGGGTAAGATGAGCTCGCCGCTCATACTTTCTCTCCTTTCCTCTCCCCAACTCTTCAACTCTTGATGTTCAGCTGCTCGCACTTGGGCTATTGGGGCATCTTTGACACGCCGACAGCAGACATTCCTTGTCTTTCTCGTGGCCCATTCTTTAGGTATTTTTTCAGACCTCGATTGTTTCCATCCATCAGCACCGACGAAAAACACAAAGTGTAAGCATCGGAAACGGCGGTTCCCCCACGATAGTTCCCCGCCACGAGACCAACCGTACCATATTTCCTTGTGAAGGCCGACGGGCGCAATAAGCTCTGAAAAATGGCAACGAGCAGAGTGGCTGGCGCAGCTAGGTCGCTAAGGACGCCAAGGCGGCAGGCTGTCGTCGCGAGCCAGGTCCGAATGCTGAGCGGTGGAAACAATGGCAGTCACAGATCAAACGGTACGTCGCGGTGCTGTTGAAGCTTTCCCCCACATTATTTTGTTGCCCGCGACTGCATTCTGCTTCAGGCCGGTGCTATTTCCATCATCCATGCCAGTAGCTAGGTAGCTGTGTTGGCGGTGGAGTACAGCCCAGAGCCACCTGATCTCACATTCTCTTGCGGCCGCCCCCTCCCCTTCCAAGTGGAAGAGCTCCTATCTTCAGCTGGTCTCAGCTCTTCCAGGCTGCATCACCCCAGTTTTCTCACCTCTGCAAACGAGCCTTCACCGAACGCAAACAAAGGACGGACAATACGCCCGATTGGTCATTCGGGTCCCAGTCAACTGCGCTCAAGAATTCCACGTGGAACTAGGCACAAGACTCTGGATTGATTTCAATCCGCTCTGGGGCAGAAGCTCTAGGCCCGGCTTTCTCCGGTTTCGGACACAGGCCTTTGAAGCAAATCCACGCCAAACACGGCCGGGTTTGATCCCCTGTCTTCGTCTTCGACTCGCCAGCAACCAGCAAGTGCTCGGCTGGCGTCCCTCAAGAGGAGGGGGGCAAACACAGCCCGTCATAGACAGAAACGATGCCACGCCCCCTTCGCACCATTCATGGTGCAGGACCGTGTCTCGTGCCTAATGTCACAAGTCTCAGTATTGGCCTGGTTGGCCGTGGCTGTTAAATGTATTGAATAAGATGTCGGCTGTATCGGATGATGACGGGGAGGAAGTGCGCTGATTTTTTCCTCCGTCGCTGTCCTATTCTTGCCTCTGCTCGTTGATACCCCGTCAATAAGACATTGTACATTGCGCACACGCATCCGAGACTGAATTGCTCACAGCTTGTTCTTCTTGCCGGCCAAGAGTAAATTAAATAGCAGTCGAGTTGGCTGCCTACGTTTTGGGGAATTTCTGGAAATTCTTAATCTTCTACTCCTCCCTCGACATTTCCTATCTCTTACAACCCTTGCTCGGTTTCTTCCCGGTGCTATCGGTTAGAGTAAGGTTGCCATTTGTCCCTCCTTGATCTCCACTGTTGCGTGGTGCAAGCCCTCTTGACTAACTTTTATACGTATGACTCTTGCACAGATACCCCGCGGTCCCCTAAGGTCCTCCTCTCAAATACCCCGCCATCGCAGAGGCAACTTTTCTTCAGCAACAGAAACAGCCATTTGTCACCCCACCATCGAACCATGTCGACCACACCGTCCCGTCGGTTGAACGTGCACAACATCAACCAGCATGTTGTTGCCGCTGAGTACGCTGTTCGCGGCGAGCTGGCCGTAAAGTCGGAGGAATACCGCGCGAAGCTAGCCAAGGGTGATAAGGACCTCCCCTTCGATGCTGTCATCTCGGCCAACATCGGAAACCCCCAGCAGCTTGACCAGAAGCCCATTACCTTCTTCCGCCAGGTTGTCAGTCTGTTGGAGAACCCCTTGCTCCTCGAGCACGAGGATGTTCTGCTGAATCAGCTCGGCTACAAGAGTGACGTTATCTCTCGCGCCAAGTGGCTCTTGAGCAAGGTTGGCTCTGTTGGTGCTTACAGCGCCAGTGCCGGTGTCCCTGCTATCAAGGAGAGTGTTGCCAAGTTTATCGAGCGTAAGTTGCAAGTTTTGGTCGCCTTGTGCCGCGAGTGAAAACTAAACAAAGACCCTTTGCAGGCCGAGACGGGTTCCCCGCCGATCCCGCTCACATTTACCTCTCTGGCGGTGCCTCTTCCGGCGTCAACACGCTCCTGCACATTATTGCCAAGGACTCCACAAGCGGCGTTCTGGTCCCCATCCCCCAGTACCCGCTCTACACGGCGTCTCTCTCCGTCCTCAACGCCACCTGTGTTCCTTACTACCTCGACGAGGCTTCTGGCTGGGGTACCGACTTGGCCACCATCAAGTCTGCCTATGAAAAGGCCACGTCGGAGGGCACTGATGTTCGCGCTATTGTTATCATCAACCCCGGCAATCCCACCGGTGCCTCCCTATCCGAGGATGATATCCGCGCCGTTTTTGACTTCGCGGCCGAGAAGAGTCTTGTCGTGATGGCCGACGAGGTCTACCAGACCAACGTCTTTGTTGGCAAGTTCCACTCCTTCAAGGGCGTCCTTTGCAAGTTGCAGAAGGAGACCCCTGGCAAGTACGACCACGTCGAACTCGCCTCGCTGCACTCCATCTCCAAGGGCATGGTTGGCGAGTGCGGCCACCGCGGTGGCTACTTCGAGCTCGTCAACTTCGACCCCGAGGTCGAGGCCAACATTTACAAGTTCGTATCCATCACCCTCTGCGCCCCCGTCGTCGGCCAGTGCATCGTCGAGCTCATGGTAAACCCTCCCAAGGAGGGTGAGCCTAGCTACGAGCTGTACCGCAAGGAGTACGACGGCATTTTCAACGGCCTCAAGGAGCGTGCCACGGCGCTGCACAAGGCCTTTGACCAGATGGAGGGCGTCGAGTGCGGCACGCCCCAGGGCTCCATGTACCTCTTCCCGACCATAAAGCTTCCCGCCAAGGCCGCTGAGGCCGCCAAGAAGGAGGGCCGCACCGCCGATGAGTTCTACTGCATGCGCATGCTCGAGGCCACTGGCGTCTGCGTCGTGCCCGGCAGTGGGTTCGGCCAGAAGGAGGGCACCCTGCACTTCCGCACGACCTTCCTCGCCCCCGGTACTGACTGGATCGGCCGCATCATCAACTTCCACAAGGACTTTGTTGAGAAGTACCGGTGAGCGACGCTTGCGGGGTCTGCCTTTACCGTCTTTTACCAAGGGCGCTGTATGGAAAGGGGACCAGTGGGGTGCGAGGAGGCCAGCCGTCGTTGGGCGAGGTGAGACTCGCCTTGACAGCGAGCGCGCGGCTGGGAGTTTTGCAATGTTGCAAGACTTCACTGGGCGGTCTTGAAAGCACATAGAAGAGCATAAATATCGCATGGACAATATCGGATGTGTTAGAAGAAGCGGTGCGCGAGATAGGGAGCGAAGACTTCTTTTTGGACGCGGTATAGCTTTGCATAGCGCGAGGGGCATATTATATTCCTTTGGATTTAACATATTGTCGTCAATGCTTCGTTTTGGTATAGCTTGCGAGAATATAACACTTTCCGCTCCCAATCGTGGCCCATTGTTCAGCCTTGATTGGGCCTTCCGAAGATATCCGAAACAGCCTCTGCTTGCGAACTCGCCATCCTTGGTCACAGGCCACATCTAGCATTCACAAGATATTCTCACAATCCTGCCAAGGAGCAAACCGTGAGACTCAAAAAGGATGTCGAACACTGGGTATTCTGGCATCACAAAGGGGTGGTCGGCGAACTCGGTTCAAGCCAAGATTCCTCATATTGGCCCGTCTAATACGTAGGTATCATACAGAGTTGTTGTAGTAGCACACATTTGCTTACCCAGCCCCCCAGTTCTATTCGCCGCCTGTCATCTCTACGTCACCACTTTGGCCGTTCCAAGCCTGACCGGGACGTACAATCGGGTGAGCATATGGTGAAGAAAGCGCGTCTGCCCTCTCATATTCTAACGGCCCGGCCGGCAGCTTACGCCCGCTCACTTCCTCTCAGACGCACGGCCTGGCCGTACTTCTGGAGCTTGGTGATGAGCTGATCGCCTTGGCGAACAACATCCTGGTATTGCTTGTTCTTATCATCGGGGCGGTTGGTCTCGATGACGCCCTTGCCGCTAACGCGGTCAATTGTGCAAGGAATGCGACCAGCCGCGATGAATTTGGCGAGGTCGCTAATGAAGAGTCAGATCTCTAAAATCTAGTCAAGTCAGGGGTGGAGAACCATACCGGTCCAGGAAGTCAACGGTGACGCCAAAGTCGGTCGCCATCGTCTCCAGCCCAACTACACGGTAGCTTTGGAGAAGCTGCTGGTATGCGCGGAGGCGCATCTCGCGAATGAACCAGTTCTTATGCTCGTGCAGGTAGCGGTCCTGCGTGAGGAAGTTCTCCTCGACCTCGGCAAGAGCCTGGAAGAAGTACTTGTACTGGCCATTATACAGGCTTGAGACGAGCTGGGCCAGAGGCGAGAAATCGATAGCCATCTCAGCATCGGGCTGGTCAGTGCCTGTGCCGAGGGTCGTCAGGTTCACTGCGGTCTTGGCGGCTGCGGTAGGCGCGGGGGCGTCTTGCATTGTGTCGTCGGCACCGGGACCGGCGCTGAGAGCACCGGATAGAGCCAGAATCTTATCGTCTCCGTCGCCAAGGATAGCCTTAATCTCGGGAGCATCAACAACCTTGCTCTTGAAGTCAACGCGCTTCAAGGATACGGATCCGGCGAGAACAGAGTAGACGACGAGGGAAGAATAGGTGCAGAGTTCGTAGCTGGTGAAGGTGGACAAGCTGTCCAGCAGCAGCGGGGCCGCCAGATTGTACGACCGAACGGTCAAAAGGTAGATGCCCTCGTAGGCCTTGAGACGGTTGCGGCGGTCCCAGTCACCACCGGACTCAACCAGGGTCTTTGCGCGCTCAACATGCTTCTTCACAAGGAGCTTGTCACCGTAGAACAGACCCATCCGGATTATCGCGAGCACCAGGTCGATCTTGGTACCCAGGATACCGGTCTTCTCGAAAACGTCTTCGTATGCGGCGATCGCCCGATCCTAAATCAATCGTCAGTATTCCCATTCGGCCTCGCATCCACCTTTTTCGCACGCACCTTGTCACCAACTCTGGCCCAGAACTCCGCCCGTTTTCCCCGCGCAGCCTGGATCTCCGTATCGCCTGCTTTTTCGACGGCCTCATCTTCCTCCTTCTGGAACTCCTCGAACTCTCGATCGTTGTCGGCCTTAAGCTCTTGGTACCGAGCCTCGTCCCAGGGCAGGTTGACGGTGGTTGGCGTGCTCTTGGTGGCGATCATGCCCGCCAAACTCGACTTCCGACTCAGAGGCTTGCCGGGGGTCTGGCTGCCACCTTCCCCAACTTGGTTCAGAATGCCCTCGAGAGGGTGTGCAAGATAGCGGTAGAGCGGTGCCATCTTGTGCTCGGTGATGGCATCATTGAGGGCTTTCGCGGCGGTTTGTTGAGATGACCGGGAGGCGTAGGCATTTGTGAGGGCAAAGACATGCTGGGCGAGCGGGAGGAGAGGGTACTTTGCGTACTGGGGTTCTGAGCCCATCTTTGCGGTTGGGTTTTCGGGGGGCGCCGGGAATAAAAGGTTCTAGGTTATGGTACGTGAGGGAACAAAATGAGGATGCGAGATGGGTTTCCTGGGTGAGCACGAGGGTGATGTCGTTGTTTGGAGGCGCTTGGAGCTGGAGCTTGGGAAAACCCCCTGCAACCCGCAAGCGGCCAGTCATACAGTCAGTCTTGATTGGCCCTGTGGCGGGGGTGAGCTTAGTCAAGCTGGCAAGGCTGCAGTGCGACACGTACCGGACCTGCCTGGAATCGTACCAGCTTGCCCACCGAGGTCTTCATTCACCAAGAGCTATTCTTTCCCTTTCAGTCAAGTGGATTATTCTCATCATTTAAGACCTAACTCCCAATTGTTATCATCTTCAGTTTTCAAACTGCAAAGCCAAATGTTCTTGCCCTTTCTTATAAAAGCACCCCTGCCGTTTCGGTAACCATAGCAAGGTGGGTGGGTCCTTACCATCCTCAGCAAGACCCCAGTACTCGCGACGCTCAGCAGCTTCTTCCTTTCTCCGACCGTCCGTTATCCCATTTCCAACCCTTCGAGTCGGCGAGATATTTTCGACCAAATAAACCCTCCAAGGTTCTTTTTCTCTTTGTCCAATACAGAAACACTTATTCCAGAGCATAATATCCAGTCTTGTCCAGAAACTCGGGGACAATGGCGGGCTACGACGACGACGACGACGACTCGTATGAGCGACAGTCTCAATCTTACGATGCGAAGAAACGCAAGAGATCCCAGTCGCCATCCCGGAATGGAAAGTCCTCCTCCCGCCGAGGTGAAAAGCGCGAAGACGGCGGCACCGATGAACTCCCGCAGCCCTACAATGCAAAGGAACTTCAGCCCGCCAAACGACGAGCCGTCTCTCCCTCGGAGCAACCTCGCAAGCTGAAGAGACCTGGCGCTCGAGCTCGCATCTCCGAAGCCGAACGAGAAGCAATACGTCAGCGAGCATTGGAGCGAGAGAAGGAAATGGAGGCTCAGGCTCAGGCTGCCGCGGAACGCCAACGTAGCACTGCCAATAACAACGTCGTTACGCAGCATTATAACAGTGTGCCAGAACGAGGCAGGGACTGGAGACGAACAGATAGTAAGATCAAGGGGCTTCGTGCCTTCAACAACTGGGTCAAGAGCTGCATCATCCAAAAGTTTTCGCCGGATGAGGACCATACCCCCGGCTCTCGAGAGCAGGGGCTTTCGACTGAGAAAGAGCTGCTCGTACTCGATATCGGCTGTGGGAAGGGAGGCGACCTGGGCAAGTGGCAGCAAGCGCCGCAACCAGTGGAGCTCTACGTCGGTCTGGATCCCGCGGATATTAGTATTGACCAGGCTCGGGAGCGCTATCGCCAGATGGGTAGTCGCGGAGGGGGTGGTAGGGGCGGGAGAGGTGGATACAGACGACCGCCTCCGCGACTTTTTGAGGCACGTTTCCACGTCAAGGACTGCTACGGCGAAAACATCGAGGACATTGAAATCATCAGACGGGTCGGATTCGACACCAACCCCCTTAGCCGGCAAGGATTCGACGTTGTAAGCATGATGTTCTGCATGCACTACGCGTTCGAGACAGAGCAGAAGGCCCGTACCATGCTGCGTAACGTTGCCGGTTCACTGAAGAAGGGAGGGCGTTTGATTGGATGCATTCCCAACTCCGACGTTCTGGGCGAGCACGTCCGAAAGTTCAACGAGCAACAGGAAGAGAAGAAAAAGAAGGCCGCCGAGGAGCCGCCTCAGGAGGCAGAAGAGGGAGAACTGGAGGATGGTGAAGCGGAGCAGTCGGCGGAGTGGGGCAACTCCATCTATCGAGTCCGATTCCCGGGCAAAACACCAGCTGATGGCGTCTTCCGGCCCGCATTCGGCTGGAAGTACAACTTTTTCCTCGACGAAGCTGTGGAGGAGGTGCCTGAGTACGTCGTCCCATGGGAAGTACTCAGAGCCCTGGCCGAAGACTACAATCTCGAACTGCAGTACCACAAGACGTTCATGGAGATTTGGGAGTCGGAGAAGGATGATGAAACACTTGGTCCTTTGAGTGAGAGAATGGGCGTTCGGGAGCGTGGTGGTGGACGCCTTCTCGTCTCGCCAGAGGAGTTGGAAGCGGCAAGCTTCTACACCGCTTTCTGTTTCTACAAGGTGTAAGCTTGGGGAAAGCATGTAATGATAGGACGGCTCGCGGTACCTCAAAGGAACCAAGGCGCATATTTGAGGTTAGAATTATCGTTTAGACTCACAGACCGGTCTGAACGCATATACAACAGTGCAACTGATCAACATTTACCGACTTTATGTGTTTGGGTTGCGAAAAGGTTATATGTTGATGCAGTACACACATCATTCAGTTGAGTGAGAAAGGACTCTCTTGCCCCCTTTTTGACATGTCTTGTGTCCAAGTAATTTCTCTTGTCCCTCATGTTCATTTTGTTGCTGTTGTCTTTCTGATTACTATCTCTCTTGATCTATCTGGGCATTGCAAATAGGAGCAGGGATAAGAACAGAACGCCCAACTAGATCCCCCAAGTTTAAGGGGTTAACAGTCTCGCAATTTACAGGGCACGAATATCGATAAATCATTTGCTGCCAGTCTGGAACATGCCTGATAGACGGCTAAACTGTCTTGTTGAAAAGAACCAATCTTGTAAGGATCACATCGACGGCGTTGAAGGGCGATGATTATCCAAGGAAAGTACCACAACTTTGACTCCAGTACTAGGAAGTTCCAGTTATAAATAAACCGGTACGCCAAGGTACAATGAATCACGACGCTCAGTGCAGCCCGCTTTTGACAAGTGGATGTTGGATGTCGCCGTGATCCTGACAAACCCCGCCGAGCACAACACTAAGTCAAACCAGACCCCGAAGCCTCCCTTCGATCAAGAAGAATTGATCACAAGAACGCTTTGATATTTCTGTCACATTGGCTTCTGAAACTCTGCTGTTCTTTAAATCTATGTCATGTCGACCTTTCGGCCGTCATTATATGGCTATAATAGCCTGAAATGTACGTCAGAAAACACAAGTATCACTTGCACCAGACCTTGGCATGATCTGGTAGTAATACTAACGCACAGCGGCCAAGAATTTATTCCAATCCCAAGGTGGATCCACCCGAACTTGTGGTGGTACCGGGGAAGCAATTGACGTGGTTGGGAACTTAGGATCGTACTGAAAGCTGACTTTCGCCGAGTTGGCTGTCTGGTTTGGAGTGTTGAAAATGACTTGGTGTTGTTTAAACACATGGAATTCGGTCGTTGTGGTTTTCTAGAACATATTGTTTGTGATGAAAGCAATGTGTTTTCTGATGTTTGACGGACAGTCATATCGCATCGGAACCGCGAAAGAGTCGGCAGCGTAGCCTGGATTTGCATAGCCATTGAAGCCGAGTTCATTCGAGCCGTATGTGTTCAGAAGTTTTTCAGTGAAGTCTTTGACATCAAGCTCTGAGATGTTGTTGTAGAAAGTATTGACTGTCCCGCTTTGAGATAAAAAGAGGCGCCATGGTTGAAATCCCAACCCTCCATCGCGGTCCGGGCTTGGTTAAAGCTGACCGAAGTTTCTGGGGCGAGATAAGACGGCACAGTGCTCACCCAAGTGAATGTCGTTGTGAGGTAGCTCGACTCATTGCTTGCAGTAGAGTAAGTTAGTTGATCGAATGTAGGTTGAAGAAGGCCTGTTGATCTCCTGGGATGGAGAAGCGAGCTTGTTTCTGGGGAGAATGTCTGCTATCATAAATACACAGCCATGTGTATGCGTTGTAGAACCCACTTACAAGATTTATCGAATGGCAACAACGGGCTTGCCGAGCACGCTGCCTGCTTCCTCACCCTCCGGGCATTCCGATCAATCTTCGTACGTTCATCCCGAGACATTCCACAGCCCTTTACGAGCCGTTCAATGATAGTCCTGCCGACGACTATATTTCTGCCGTCCATTGCCGGTAGGCCATCATTTACAACAGCAAGTTTGCAAGAACCCAGGCCAGCTGGCAGTCGTAGCACTCTGACATTAACCCTGATGAACTCCAGTGATAAAACTCAGCCCTCGGTGGTCCTCATCTTGAGGTCTCCTGGTTTCTACGGTATGAGTTCTAGACCGCGGCTACCGACAAGCGAGAGCGACGCAAGCGTTTTAGGGCAGAAAGAACTACACGCAGCCGCAAGGCGAAAGTGCCTAGTGCGAGAAGGTTCTTGGGGGCCGAGTTCGACCAGCAAGCAGTCGTAGTCAAGACTTCCGGTGTGCCTGTTGAGATGGATGCCACGCTGAGTTGACTTTTTTTCTTTGTTGTCTGATCCGGTCCACCAGGGACGAGTTGGCCATGTTGCCGCTTGTACGCGCGGGGAATGAGATGTGTAAAGATGTCGGCTTCGAAGATCCGGCTGGACTGCTTACGGCTTGGATTGGTCGGCGCTTGGAGCCTATCTTCGGAGAAGCTCTTTCTATAACTGGGTGACGTTTGTCTCGTATTGATGATTCTTTCGGAATGCGGGTGTCCAGTGTACTGGTAGTGTAGATACTCGCTGTCGCGTCAAGAACCGGTCTTATGTAGCTTGCAGACGAGTCAGAGCGGCAAAAGGGGCGTCGTTTCTGTTGAACGGCATGATTATAGGCGCCGTTCAAGAGAAAGTTCCCCCGCATTCTGCGAATAACCTCCCTGTTGTCCTCAGAGGTGTTCTGTTTGGTAGTGGCTTTCAAGACACCTATCCAAGGCAACACGAAGCCTCATCCTGCAGATTAGAATGTAACGGCGGTTGATCGGAATAGACTTGCCAAAGTGCATCTCTAGAAACAGGTTCGAGATGCAGGATGCTAATGTGCGAAGTGTATGCCGTATCGTTACCGAAAGTGCCGAAGATGGGCGAGGATAGAATGGTAGTGTAGGGCGAGCGGATGTGACAAAGCTGTATATAGGGGGCCACAACTTAGAAGTGGGCGAAACCAACGAGCAGCCAGACACAAGAGACGAGCATCGGGCTAATAACTAACAACATCAAGCGGCTAACCACAGCAAGTGGACGTAACAGCACGAACGGCAATGCAGAGTTGTCTTTGAGTTTATGGAAGACAAGTCCGCAGATCACACGCGAGGTGTCTTGCCACTCGGCATTCGGACCTCCAAAAGAATAGCGAGTGGGAAATACATATACGACTTCATACCAAATACATACAGGGTGGTGTACTGATAATGTCCAAAGGTGCTGGATGAGATCCGACGCACCGCAATCAACCTTGGCATACTTCATGGACCAGGGGTGTGGTTGATGGGACTTTCTCAGGCATTCCCAGCTGTCTTGCCTCGTCCAGAAGTGCCGGTGACCTAAAAATCCAGACTCGCCAGATAAAGCAAAATCCGAGCCCATGTCGATCATCATGGGCAGAGCTATCAGAGACGTTTGAGAACAATGCAAGAGGCTGCAGGCCCTATCAGAGCATCGACACCTCAGATAGCAGTGTATGTCACAGCAGTAGACGGCAACGCTACGATACGCCTTCATCTTCCACAGGTGAGGATACACATGTTGTGGATATCATTACGCAGAGGCAGGAAACGAGTGGGGATTACGAGCAGGCCACGCTTCAAATCCAATTATTAACAACGCCTTCGTCACCTTCAGACCTAGGCTTGATACAACACCAGGATGACCGGAACGATGTAAACCTGGCTTATAGCAGCATCTCCTCAACACCCCTTACTCGATTTGAGGAGGAGCCATACGGGACTGAATGCTTGCTTAAACCAGGATCAAGCCAAGTTGGGCCCAAAGAATCCGTATGGGCACCGACCTCTGCTCTCGAAGCGTTTGAAGCCCACCCAAGCCATGACTCTTGGACCTGGGATATGAGGTCTTAATGACGGTTACCTAGAATCATAATTCTGGTTTGATTCATCAGCTTACCAGTCTTAACGTTGCACTCACCAGAGGGCGGTGGTTCAAAGCTATTCGGTGCGGTTATATGAGAATACAACTCTGGTATTGCTTTAGATGTATCAAATTGCTACTTTCGTCTCATTATCATGGGGAAACTCAGTCTGGAAGCCTAGAGTAGCTTCAAGTTCATATCATAAAAACGTGCCAATACCACCACAAAGGTTATAGTAGTCGAATCAGAGTCAGTTATGCAAATAGTACACAGCCCATCTGGCCGCGAATATGACGGAAGCGCCGGAGCTCAGCACCGTCCTCCTTGGTGCTGCAATGTCCGCGGAGTGTGGCAATACCGTAAATGAGTATGCAGTTGGTGTCAACGGCCAATGGGATGTTCCTTGTGTCCTAGGGACGAGTCTCAAACGAATCTAGCCGATTGTTCTCCGGGGAGAATGGAGAAGTGACTGGGAAGTAAGTTGTCGGCGAATGGGGATCGCGAACGTTGGGCGGGGAACAGAAAGCATAGCAACGGTGAGTCCCAGCCGACCAGGGTAGGTAGTCTTTATCTGATCTGGCTGCGCTATGTATACCTAAGTCATTTAGACCAGTACACGTGTACGGACAGACGGAAAGGAGTGATAAACTACCTACGGTAATTAGGTGGCTAGCCTCGGGGATAGTGATCTGTGCACCAACGCCATATAGGCTGGCAAGGTCAAACTCCACGCTCTAGACCCCGAGAGCTTGGGGGATAAAATACACAACTTCGTGAGCACTAGATCTTAACTGCGTCGGGTGGGGTCGCCAAACTAGCATCGCTCCGGTGCTAATGCAAGTTGCAACTGGAGTTGGTCGGTTGTGCTACCCCATATGTGAAGATGTGAAGCTTAATGCTGCGGTACCTATCCGATACCAGAGTATGTACATCGTATGTCAGGCAACAACAACCCACGGCTCTTGGGCATCTATCTCCCTGCCTCCTTCAGAAGAAGAAAGAAGAAAAACAAAAGCGGCTCCATACTACATACAGGACGGCAAGCCATTGCGTCCTAGCTCCTGGAGCCAAGTCGGCCAACGCATCTCTTTGGAAGGGGAGAACCCGAAAAACAAAAAAAGATAGTAACGTTAATAGCAATAAAAAAGTCTTGTTGTCATCTGACCATTTTCAAATAAGACACCCATGCCCCAACCTTTCTCATTTCCCGTCAGTACCGTGACAACATACTACCCGCGGAAGTTAGCTCCTTTCCCGAGCTCCTATGCAAATTGCGACCTGACAACTGGTGAGAGCCGCTTGGCGAGGTGCAGTTGCTCCCCCCAAGTCCTCACGATGAGCCCCACGATGACCAGGGGCCGGCCGGGGGAGCTTCTCCTTTCTCCATGCCTTGTCGCCGGAGTACCTAGGTAGCGTACATTATGTTAGGTACGAATACACTATATCCGTAGAGGTACTTTGATAGATTACACTACGGTACGCTAGCTCCAGTCTCCAGACCGTCGTCTCCAGCCGGGACAGGAACAGCACCCGCGGCGCTCAGTCGCGACATATCATGCCATGCCATGCCATGCCATGCCAGAGCTTGCTACTATACCCTGTCGCTCAACATCGCAAGCTACCAGCGAGCTCGATGGGCTTTCTGTTGGCCAGACACTACTACCGCCGTCACCGCTAGGACGTCTGCAGGCCTCTCGAGGGAAGTGGAATGGGCCCCCAGTTCCGGATTTAGAGCAACTGCCACCCCGGTAGGCTGGAAACGACCGACTTGGCGGTACACACTTGACAGAAGCGGGATGCTATCCAGTTCACCGCCCAGACAAGCTTCCGGGCACCCGCACTCTAGACTGCTGGAGTTGTCTTGGGTGCTAATGTGCCAAAGTCTCCCTGCTGAGCTGGCTAGGCGAGGAAGCGGACGGAATTGCTCCGTACCAGCTCAGGGAAGCCAATTATCAGCTTGTTTGATCACTCATCTATACCCCCGATGTTGTCTGACGGCGAGTTGTCCGTCCCACGTTTTCTCGTGCCTCGATGAGATCTGTCGTTTGAGCCATGGACGCTCATACCACCGCCAGGTAGGTGCTCCCGAAAGCCAAGAGGCATTGATACCTACACCACATGGGCCATCAAGCACAGGCTCTCGAGTCTTGTTCCCAGTCGTCCCCTCTCACATTTTACCAACACAGACAGTCGCAGCGTTGTTGCAGTCCGGGGGGCTCTGTTCTCGTAGACCATCTCCTGGTTGATACGAGAGTCCCTCGTGGCACCACGGTGTCAAGCTGGCCGTTCGGCAACGCAACTCAACAAACGCACTCTGACCACATCCTGGCAGTATCCTTTCCGACAATCATGGTATTGGCCAAAGGCATTAGTTCCATAGCCTTTAGCAATAGTCCTACCATTAGGGGTTCTTCGGCTACTATGAGCTGCTAAATTACGCACGCCTCATCCGCGCATTCTCCACCTAGCATAATATCTCATCATCAATCTCCCAGACCTAGCCAAACCGTAGCGAATCTGCATTACTCCCTTCCTCGAGTTGCCGGCATAGGATTTAGTTGATAGAGACAGGCCATCTTGCCAACGAGTGCGGTTCTTGACACTGTAGGTTTTCGTTGTTGGTACTGTAGTCGCTCCACATGCCACCACAAGCTTACCCAGAAGCAGACATGCATCCATCTGAGACCATGGCAAGCTCACAGCGCATACCGTAGACATGTGGGACGGTGCCCGATTCAGCAGTGAGCACCTATATAACGGATTAGGCTGTTTAGCGCAGCCAGGCCTCTGCAACGCCGGCATCTTCTGAAAGGCCTACAAGACGACGACATACGTGTGCGCATCCAAGAGCAACTTTCTCCTAGAGAGCCGCTGAGAGTTCCTAGTCCTCTTCGGAGTCTTGAAGACTCGACGTTCAAACGTGAGGAACCTTATCGCGGGGTAAATGGCTCTCTTCCGTCGCGTTCAACGCACAACAGCTAGCTCTTGTAAGTCAACATAATGAAACGTTTCGATGCGGCCGACGTCATTCTCCAAGGCCAAAGACCAGAGGGGCAATCGCGGAAAAGATTTCGAGCGACTCGAAACTTCAAAACCCCGTCATCTACCTACATCATAGTGCCCCACTGCCTGGCTGAAGCAACAATTGAATGGGGAAGCACAGCAACGATCGACACGCCGCTATTTTGCCACCCAGCCGTTGTTTTTGCCTCCAAGGTGCCACCGTTGCTGCCGTCTTCCGACCGTTCTCAGGGAAGATACCTAGTGTAGGTATGTCGTCCCTCGTGCTAGGTACGCTGAAATGGAGGATTCCCAAACCGACTTGGAATTAATCCAGAAGCGCTTCGGTCCCACCAGAAACAGGGGACCGTCACTGAGGTACATGCATACGTATTCAAGGTAGCCCCTCTTAGGGTCGCACAGGTATACAATACAGCGAGAAAAAGTGGTTGTTGTGGATTGACTATGACGCAAAAGAAACCTTTGATTGACAAGTTTTGATGCTACAAATTGGAAAAAAGAGATGTCGGAGTTTGAAGAACAGCAAGGGGGACAGTTTCTACTGGTGGCAGAAACTTGAGGAGGTGGTTTCTCTATCGCCGGGAAAGCGAAGTCCCAGAGTCCAAACACGGTTTCGTCAGAAACAAACCACACACATAAAAGAAGCAGAGGACAACAGACAAGCCATGTTGTTGGGTGGAACTCTGCAATCAGGTCAACAACTCAAGCGTCCAGAACGGTGATGGGCACGGCCAGTCCTGTCAGAGAGTTCCTGTCAGCAAGCAAGACCCCGGCAACTTTGCTGCAACATGTCGCTGTTACCCCTCCGTTCAACTCCACGGCCCACACGATGACGCCCCAGGCACAGAGCCGCCCCCTTCCCAGGTTTGCCGCACCCGCACCAGCTGATGATGGCAACCTCCCGTTCCTCGTGAAAGACAGATCGCATCAACCCGATCATTGCTCTCCCTCCTCCTTTGACTTTGGGCCGCGCATTGGGTGACAGCGGCCATATCCATCGTCCCATCTCGACCCGTTACGTTGGCGAGCGCAGACGGGCGTGCCCGCCGGCCCGCCCGCCTTGCATGCGATGGCTGAGGGACCAGCTGTCTACCTAGTGTAGCGGATTTGGCATACCCTTCTCTATCTACAGAGCTGCCCGGCAAGCGAACGTGCTGCAAAGGTAGACATACGTATCCGGACGGCTTGCTCTTCCAGACTCTCTCCATCTACAGCCCAGGCGTGTGCCGTAGGTACGGCAATGACCCCTCCTATACAGGACGGAAAAATTGAAATTGTTTTCATCGTCCGCCCCCTGTACCTATGTAGCAGCTGTGTGGCCGGATCGCCATGTCATATCATTGACATGGCCATCCCGGCTGGCCCAAAACAATCCCATTCACAGTCCGCACCCACATGAGCTTCAACACCATCAGCGCGTCTAGCAGCCGGTTTTCTTGCCCCCCCATGCTGTTTATGAGATACCTCAGTATTCGACTTCAAACCGGGGCCCTTGGAGCAAGCAGCCAGGCTAGAGCGGTTCCACAATCGCCGCACGCCACGCTCGCATTCTCCACGTCTATCAATTGCAACACTAAGTACACACTAGACTAGGAACTAGGTTAGAAAGAAGGGAGGTACGACGGTATCGATACGGACCCCCCCTTCCTTCCCTTCCCTCGAGCTTGGGGCAGCGTTTTGAGGCAAGACGGGCACAGCAGTTCAGACCGTTCCTTGCCCATTGCCTACCTCACGTCGCTTGTATGTACGTCTACCTGTCTTCTGGAGCTGTACCAACCTTGACCTCACCTATTTCCATCCGGATACGTACCGTACCGCGCCTTCCCAAGCTTCCCTCACCTCTTACCGTCTTGACCGGTTCCTTCCTTCCTTCTTTGCCAGAAGGTCGAGCTTACACGGGCCACGCCTCCCCCTCGGACCTATATCAACTTGGACACGCTCCCCCCCTCCCCCCTCTCCTACCTGCCCGTCCAACTTTTTTCCCATCCACCACCCGTTTTATTTATTCTTGTTTTCTCTCCCCATCAAGCTCGATCTCTGCACAGACTTTTCACCCTCGCACCTTCATCAGCGGTCACATACTTCCACTCGTCTACCAATCTAGCCCTTCCCCTCCATCCTCCTTCTTCACCACACGAACAGCTGTATCTCACATCCTTACCCATCGCCCGACCGATCGCAAACATGGCCGCCGCTCGCTCTGCCTTCCGTCTCACCACCCGCTTCGCTGCTCCTCGCCTTGCCGTCCGCAGCCAAGCCGCTCGTCCATTCTCCATCTCTTCTCGTACCTTGAAGAGCGACGTTGTCAGCGAGAAGGAGATCCCCGTCTCCGTCTACGCTCCTGACGCGAAGGGCACTGGTCAATCCGACCACTTCTCCATTCCCGTTCGCGAGCATGACTCTCGCCCTCCCACCGAGTCCCCCATTCCTGGTCCCGAAAACGACGATGTCGTTCCTCTTACCCGCAAGACCTTCGACTCGATGCCTCCCATGATGCAAAAGCTCTCCGTCATGGGCAAGACCATTGTCGTCACTGGGTACGTTTTGCTTTCTCCCCAAACCAATTGGTGATGGTTTTTTACTCCAATTGGGATCTTCCCAACACGCGCTTGGATGCAATTGCTTCTATTTTCTTTCTTATTCTTTCCGGCTGACTGGGATTTCACAGTGGTGCTCGCGGTCTGGGCAACTACATGGCTCGTGCCTGTGCTGAGGCCGGTGCTAAGGCCCTTGTCATCTTTGACGCTAATCAGGAGCTGGGCGACGAGGCCGCTGCTGAGCTACACCAGAAGACTGGTCTGCCTGTCACCTTCTTTAAGGTGGATGTACGTGACGGCGCTGCCATTAACGCTGCAGTTGACTCCGTGGTCGAGCTCTACGGTGCTCCTGATGTTCTGGTCAATTCTGCCGGTATCGCTGAGTACGTCATTCCACATACCTAATGTAGTGTGCACCCTGTGCACAGCATCCCCCCTCCCTATCCCCTTTGTTTTGCGGGACCCACTAACACACGCCTTTGAACAGCTCCAACATCAAGGCCGAGACCTACGACCCCGCCATGTTCCGTCGTCTCATTGATATCAACCTTACTGGTTCCTTCCTCATGTCCCAGGCCGTCGGCCGTGCCATGATGAAGGCCGGCAAGCCTGGCTCCATCATCCTGGTTGCATCCATGTCGGGCAGCATCGTCAACTATCCCCAGGAGCAGTCCTGCTACAACGCCTCCAAGGCTGGTGTCATTCAATTCGGCAAGTCCCTTGCTGCTGAGTGGGCCAAGTACAACATTCGTGTCAACTGCATTTCTCCCGGTTACATGGACACTGCTCTCAACCGTGTTCCTGCCCTCGACGCCCAGAAGAAGATCTGGAAGTCCATGACTCCCCAGGACCGCCTCGGTAATGTTGACGACCTCAACGGTCTCTGCGTTTTCCTGGCTTCCGATGCCTCCGGCTTCATGACTGGCTCCAACGTCATCATCGACGGTGGTTACACTTGCCTTTAAGCTCGTGCATGAGGACGCCTTTTCTCGCAGAGCTTCGCCTTTGCCGTTGGGAGGGTGACTGTACGAGTCTGGCGAGTTATGAGCTTCCAGTCTGCATCGTCTGTGGCGCATTGTTGCCAGTTTCAATCGACGTTATGCAGTCACGAATGACGAGCATCGTTGATCCGCACTCCCGGTACGTTTGCCTTGGGCAGATGTGGTACCCGTGGCATCAACACCCCCGCTCCGACAGGGTCGCGTACAACAACGCGCGACTTCGTGCCGATTTCCTAGTGTCAATCTTCTCTCTCAACGGTCGACTAGACAGAACATCCGGGACTATACCCGCTCCAGTGGCCCGAGGGTGGTACAACACCCAATCAACCCTTGACTTTTAACTCTCATCGCGCATGTATTCTCAAGCAGGCAAGGCAGTTACAGGAGTCAACACAGTAAACCAAACATTTGGGAATTTGGACTTTGGGCTGTTGGTGACTTTGGAACAAAATCCAGAGGATAAAAAGGAGTGAAACTTGGGCTCGGGCTCTGGTATTCCCGATAGATGAGAGAGATAGCATACATCACAATAAATTCTGACAAAAACGGTCACGTCATGAATGTTCTATGGGTCACCAACCCGGTGGAATCAATGCAGTGTGACAAGTATGGTTATCAGTGTTGAAATGATTTTAAAAATCATAATCCTCCGGCACAGTGCACCTAAGGTTGTCTTTGATACTCAAAATCTTGACCATTAGTCACACAGCAGGCATAGGGTGACACAAGTTTGAGGGCAGAGACACCGTACCGATTGTGAAGTGAGTGTTGTAAATTAAGAATAAAACCAGACATTTGAAGAGTCTACCTACCCACGCACAAAAAAAGCAGCCCTTTTAACCAAATATTGGTAGCGCTGGCGTCGTATGTGGTGACGGTGGTGGTGGTAGTGGTTGTTGCTGATCTTGCTACCCCGCCTATCAAAGCAAGCGACAAGACAACAGGTGCATCGTGAGAGGATGACAGGGCGTGATGGATCCGATGGACGGGGTGGAAGGGCCACAAGCCTTCGGCCCGGGCCTTCCCCCTCCCCCTCTTTGGTCCCGCACCCAACTGGGCCACCACCACCCACGAGGGCGGCGCGGCTAAGAAGCACCAGGGCTGACCATCGTGAACCCTGCCCCGGCCCAGGGATGGGGCTGCCGTTTCCTCGGGTCCCCTTCCCTCCCCCTCTTGACGGGAGCTCCACGATACGAGAGAGGGCCCAGATTTCTTACCTGGGGCTTCCCTTGACTCCACGGTGTCCTATAGTAGCCATCGTGGAGACGGTATCATTGGGGAGGGGTTGAAATTACAAAGCTCATCCGACAACAAAAAAACGGGGTCAATTACTACCCGGTCCGCCTGCGTTGGTGAGGATAGTGGCTAACTACGTTGGCAAGCAGCCGGCAACGATTTCGCGACTCGCAAACCTTTGCAGCTCCTCCCTTCCTGAGATACCTACACAACGGGTAGCACCAAGTCTCGAGTTTGAAGGAATATTATTCCCCCCACCAAATTTATTTTCAGGATTGGTTCTATACTACACAATGGCAACGTTTGATGACTCGTCTCTGTCAGACATGTTTCTTACGCCTCAATTGGCCTCGTCCTTCCGCAGCTTTCTCTCTTGCAAAGGTTCTCCTAGCCGAAGCACCATCAAGGCGAATGAACGCTGGAAAGCGTCCACCGGCCTCAGGGTGATCCAGGCGAAACGCAATAGAGCCTCTGTCTGGTCCGGAGAATTAAAGACAAAAACAGAAAATACACCGTCACACTGCTTGCTTATCCCACGTTTGCAAACGGTTTTGTGGTCAACCCTCCCCAACGCCTGGGTATTCGCCATCCCAAAAAGCACAAATGTGTCATGCCCCGGTCACTCACTGACTTCACGCCATGTTAGGCTGCAGTTCATGGCTGTGAATCGGGAACACGGACCGCACGGAACAATCACTCGTCTCATACAAAGAGGGAGTTTGTTCAAGGTCACTCGTACTGCCACCATGAGCAAGCACCCTTGCAATGCCACACAAGCTCAAGGTTGTTTACAATCCGAGATTGAGGAGCAAAGGTTAGGGTCTCCAAAAGGGCAGGGCTGTGCGGGTCTGTGCATTAGTTGTCCCTCTCTGACTCGGCGAACTGGATGAGTGAAAACACGTGGGGTCGCTGTGCACAAGATATGTTAACTTCGCGTGGCAAATTGTGATGCAGGCCAAACTTACCAAAACCCTGTTTTCAGTCATGACTTCGTAGAGACGGGGCAGCACAGTCCGGAATAGTCGCTCGTTCCAGCCCCCAGCCTCACCACCTAATTCATGGAGTTTGAGAAGATCCTCTTGCGCAGGTGTCTTGACAACGTTGCGGGCGATGTTGCGGAGAACCAACACCGCACTGAAGGGGATGCCAGCCGCTTGAGGAGGAGCCGAAGGGTTTTGCTCGTCGGGGGCTGTGGCTGTCTCTTCGAAGTGGACCACGAGATTGTCACTAGGCTGAGGTCCAGCCTGCGCCTTCCTCTCGTTGATGGCAATGCCATTGAAGATCTGGCAGCAGTGCGTCTGAAGATGATGGCCCATGAGGGCGAGCTTCATCTTTTCGGGCTTCGGGTACTTGGTGCAGTCGGCCCACCGGCATCTAATCTCCTCCTCCTTATTGTCGAAGTAACCTTTTTCGTTGCGAGTTAATCCGAGGTGAACCTTGACAACATGGTTCCACATGGTCTCCTTGTTTCCAAAGAAATGGCCACATTTCTCGTTTGGTCGACCAGACGCCGAGTCCCAAAGGCACCGAAGGAACACCTCACCCTTGATACCCACAGGTCGGACCCGGCATCGGATGCCATGGATAATGAATTTCTGCTGCACCTCTCCAGGAATACCGCTGCCCGCCCAGACTTCAGCCTTGGAGCCCTTATAGACCGAGCAGCTGTTTCTGATAAAGTCGGCTGGTGTGATGAGGGGTTGGCCAATGGCCTGGAGCGCCGATTTGAAAGCATTTTGGTATGCCTGCCATGCTGCAATCTGAGTGACGAAGGAATCCTTGTCCTCCTCAAAGAAGCACTTGACCCATTGATTGCATCGCTCAGGTTCCTCCAGCTTCAGCAGATCCTGCAACAGGTCTTCGGGCATGGCAGCAGGCTCGTCGGTCGAGGGCGGTTTCATCATAGGCCTCAAGAGCGTCTCCTCCTGGTATCGTCGAGCGTTATGGGAAAGGAGGCGAACCAGGTGCTGGACCAAATGCTCGCAGTTGAGGGCCTTGACTAGGTTGTCAACGTTGCTGACGACTGCTGTGTACTGGTACAGGAAATCGAGACAAGCATCCTTCAGCTCATCATCATTAAGCAGCATCAGTTCGCCGATCTTGGTCAAGACGGCTGTAGGAACCTTATCCAGACGGTTGGTAGCTTCGAGGTTCATTGAGATGCGTCCGAGCGCGCGAAGAGCCGTTAGTATGATGCCGCGGTCGTCCGATTCGTTCAGTTGCCACATGAGAACCTGGTACAAAGGGTCGCTAGAGTCGATTTCAATGTAGGGGGTCAAAGCCTCGGCAATGTCAAGCATCGCATGCTTCACTTCAACCACCCACTCGTGCCTTGGAAGGCTCAGGACAATGCAAATGAGGTCCTTGATCGGCAGAAAGTCGGCCAGATGAGCAGCGTTCTCTCGTAGCTGGGACATGTTTCTCAGCGTCAAAGCCGCCTCGTTGATAAGGACCATCTGATCCGCAAGGTCCTCGGGCACAATGTGTTCATTGACCTCCTTCGGTTCGAGATTGTCGATGCGCTCAAGGATGTCTTCAGTTCCTTCATTGCCATCGAGGGTGTCGAAATTATCTGCGGCCACCTGTGATACCCAAGAGATTTTCCACTTCACATTGTAGAAAATGCTGCCAACCTCCAAGACTTTTTCGACAAGGCCTTCGCTGAGCCCGGGAAATCCTTCGAATTTAAACTTGTCATGACGTTCGTATGAGATCTTGACAAGGTGATAGAGCGCAAACTGCTGCTCCTCGAAAGTGCCTGAGCGCAAGGCGTACAGACAACGGATGTAGATGTTCGGTCCGTCGTAACCGACTGAGAGCTAGTCAGCAAATGCGCATGGTCCACTCGCTAGATTTGTTCCTTACCTCCAGGATAGGGTCCAGTACGACGAGGGGGCTCCATAAGAGAGCGTCTGATCTGACGGCGCCGAGCAAATTCGGACGGATTGTTACTCGGCGTATCAACAGGGCGCATCGGAAGGATGTGTTGTTGCTGCTGGGGCTGCAGGGAGCGTGGGAGAAACGATTCAACACCGGTCGACGTGTTCTCAGCATCGGGCGGGTTAAAGCTGCCGCTAGGTCCACGAGGCGGGGCCCTGGGCTGGTGGGGAAGAGGCACTGGAGTGTGTTGAACCTGTTGCGATGCCGCATGATGACTGCCTAGCTGACTGACGGGAGTGGGTGTGTTACTGTGGCTCAGCTGCTGACCGGAAGCATGGCGAGTCGGTCTAGATGGGCCCGTATCTGGCTGGAAGATGACTCTCTGAGGCGGGGCTTCGCGCAGGCCTCGTGAAGCTCGAACACTAGACGTGGGAGCAGCATCGGGTGTTGGCCGCTCTCGGGTAGGGGTGCCATCATCACCAGAAGCAGCTGCAGAGTCACCGACAGTGCCGCTATCGCGCTTGATTCCTCGGAAGTTCTCCCTGGTGCGGCTCAAGAGGCCGCCACCCTTAGCCGACACGTCCTCCAAGATGTCCTTCGGAGGCGGTTCCTTGCCATGAACAAACTTGATTTCGTAGGCAGCGAGGTTTTTGTAGTACTTCTCCTTTAATGAAAAGGCAGTCGAGGCTACGTTGGAGGAATGAATACCGAGTTGCTCGGCCATCCGGCGCCAAGCCAGCTTTTCATCGGACACCTTGTCGTAGCCGCCATTGGCAACGATATGGTTGAACGTCTTGTAGAGATCAAGATAGACCGGTCCCACCTTGGGCTCGACCTCGAGAGTTGTACCTCGCTCCTGATGGTAAGCTCTCAGCTTGGCCATAAATTCCTCGTATTCGGGGGTCCGGTTGATGGAATGAAGCTCAACCTCAGCTTCCTTTGAGGGCGCCATGTCGGGTCGGTCGCAAAGACTGTCGAGCAGTATTTATTAGACACGCGAGATGGGTAGCAGTCGTGATGCAAAGGAAGTTGACGGATCACTCGAATGGATGCGTGTGTTTGTTGAAGGCCGTGGCCTGTGAGGCTCCAGAACGCGCCAGGAAGTCAAACGAAGAGTTGCGCGACGCTATTCCGGGTTAGGCCAGTCAATCAAGGGGTGCGCTCAATGCTGGTATGAAAAGTCGCAAAGTCGCAGCGCCCAATGAAGGGAGTGGGTTGAATGGGCTGTTGCGCAAGCAGGTTCGAGGCCCTTTGCGATCGGTCAGTGATGCGCCGGATGACAACCAACACAACCGTGTTTTGCCTTGCACTACGCGACGTTGAAAATTCCCCTGTTACCTTCTGTCTTATCTCCACGTGATCGAACTGGCTTTATCGGGTAGTTGTGTGCCTGAGCTAACGAAGCAGACACTTGCCCATATCTGGACGAGACCCACCTGAGCTGCATTTTCCCCAGAAGCTGCGCGAGCAGGGTATACAGTACCTACCTACCTAAGGTAGATCGTTGCTTGGCACTTTCCGCTCTCTACCCGAAGTCAATATTTGCATCTTCCTCTCAATCTTTCCTGATTCCCGCACGACAACCTCCAGGTTTCCAACGCCCTTTACTGCCATATATTGCCCTAAGACGGTCAAAAATCTCTCCGTTCAGAACGCAGGCCATCAATGCTATGCTTACCATCCTCCTTCACTACCCCCCCGCACTTGAGATATGAAGTTGTCATCAGCGGTCATATAAGCTACGGGGTCGCAAAGCTACAGATTTGCCTCCTCAATTATATTCTTGCGCCTGTTCCCGGTTCCATATCCCTCGTTCTCAAGGCATCTCGGGGGCCCTAGAATATGGCGCCCAGACTCCAGAGTTGGGCTTTCACGTTGAGCCAGGCTTGTGTTCGCCAGAAACTGTTCGATGCATTCGAATGGGACACCATTTCAATGCTAGACAATGCTGTTATTACAATCAAACAGGAGAAACTTCTTGCAAATACTGTGGGGCCAGGGCGTCAACTAACTAAAGAACCAAACCACGTACTCGTCGTCCCGTTGCAAGACCGCCCAGCAGTACGTCAGTCTACACCATATACAATATTCTGGTCTTAACTAGCATTTCAGCTCAAATTAGGTCTCGGTAGTCGTGATGGCAAAATAGCCCCTGAGTTCATCTACGGCGTTCGATACAAGCAGGAAAAGGGGTCTATGAGTATCAGAGCGAAGTCGCACGATGTATTTGTTGAAGCCATTTCATCATCGTCTACGTATGAAAGCTTACTTACTATCTACAGATGACCAGAGATCTGGTACTCCAGTTCAAGAACCGGAATGACCAGGACCAGGTGCTGCGACTCTTTCACGATCTTGCCATACGTGTCGAATCCTTGCGTGGGTTTACGCGTCAAGCGGCTTCTCAACAACCATTCAGGTCATCATCAGTGACCGACAACTACCCATCCTCGTCCACAAACCATTCTTTCACTTCCGGAAGAAGTACTGCTCCTCTGTACCAGCACTACTCTAGGCAGTCAGGCTCTTCTCTGAATAATCATATTGTTCCGGACGAGAGAATTCCATCATCACGAGCTCGCAACGTACATGGAAATGACCATCAACCCATGAGTTCTATAAGGCACCGCGATGAAAATTACCTTTCAATGGAATCCTCTCATACATATGAGAGAGCGCGTACTGCATTTACAGACCGCCAGGGTATGGGGACACATTTCAGATCCTCTCAAAACAGGCACTATGCACCAGTTCTCCAATCAACACCTATCACCTATCATAGGCGGCTCCAGAGCTTTTCCCCGCCAGTCGTCGACCAAGGTAGGGCTTGCAGTCCAGTCGCCGAGAGCCTCTTACTCGACATGATCGATCAACCAAGATCGCGGCCCAGCCCCGGTGCTGCGTTTCGTGACATGCTCCCTCCTCGGCGTGAGCTGCCTTTCTTGTCAGGAAAACAGGCGGAGCAAACTGTTCAGAAGCGATCAGAAGAACAGTCTGAGGTTTTAGACCAGGGAATTGGTTCGATGGAAGCGAGCCAGGGAAAGGAAGTCTCGCAACAACCAACACCACAGACCATCTCGAGGCCTCGATCATCAGCGGAACAAACTGAAAAGCCACTGCAGAAAAGGGTACTTGTGGTTAAAAGAAAGAATTGCGACCTCATCAGCAAGCCGGTCACAAAGAAACAAAGGTCTGATTCAAGCAAAAAACCCGTGTCCACCTCACCGATACCATTGCCGACTATTCCTTCTGCATCTTTTAAACGGAAAGCCATAGTACGGCAAACGGACGCACCCACTATTACCACGATTGATCAAACCCCTATTGATGCCGTTCAGAAGGTCAACGAACAACTCGAAAGTGAAGGCCTCGTGACTGCGTCTTCATTCAATACGACACATCCTACGGAGACCTTTCTGGCAAAGGGGTTTGAGGGTACAGACGTCACTGAGGCACCCACTGCAGACGCAAGCTTAACCTTGTCGGAAGAAGCGCCAGAAACAGAGGTTGAAGTGGACTCGGCTTTTTCTGTGGCAAGGCCAGAAAAGATATCGATGATAACGGATGGCAGCAATGTGCTTCCTAAGCTGACATTTGAGAAGATGGATCAGGGCACACAAACTTTGCCGGTTTCATCTGGTACTTCCGCAAAAGACGAAGAAATATTCGTGGCAAAATTTCAACTTATGTGGGGAATCAGAAATCTTCAACAAACTTGCTTCCAGCGACTACTGGCCGACACTGGAACATCACACCGCATGGAGGACACCAAAGTCCTCGAGGAACTGGAGCAAAATATCGTTCATCTGTGCCAGACCGCCATTGACAGGCATGGCATAGCTATGTGCGATATGCCTTACGAGAAGCTCGTGAACGCCATCACGCGACCGTGATACTGAAAATAGTGCTATGCGTTGAGTAGTACGTTGGCGCTAAAGGCAGTTATTTGACGTTGGAGGGTGCCATTTAATATTGTGCGGCATTGACTGTGTTGCTACGATGGCATAGACATTGCGCATGCTCGAGGTGGTTAGACGAGTGGCAAAGCCAGCTGTTCGATTAGACTATGAGATGATCTAAATTGCAAAGAGGCCATGACTCGTCATTGAGTAACCTCTCTAGGGGTTTCACTTGCGCTCCCACACTCGTTCGTCTCTGGCTCAACCCGAGCTGTGATCCTGGTTTCTTCAATAAACTTATTCGACAAGAGTGCTACAATTGTTGAAAGAGTGATGGCACGAAGTGTTCTTCTCTTCGCTGTCCTCGTGACCCCTCAATCGTAGAGGCATCGTGGAATCAACGCCTGGTGAACTTGCCCCAATCCTCCGTGGGCGTGGGGTTCTTGAGCAAATATTGGCAGAAGTTGCGGGGGCCGTACGATGGAGTAAAGCTGATTGCATCCGAATCATCAAGCATGCTATCGTCTGTGTTGTAGTAAGTGAAACCAACCAAGAAGATGGAGGTATCGGCCTCATCGGCCCCTTTAATAATATGCTCCGTGATATATACATCTTCAGACTGATCAAAGCCAAGAGACGGGATGGTTCGGGTCTAGTAGTAGATGAATTCAACAAAGGAGGTAGAATGAGTCTCTCCGTTAGCGTCCTCGGTAAAAATATGCTCTCTGACCTAGATGGGGCCAGACGGAGCAGAGTTGAGAAACGTCATGTTATCCGGCAAGTGCTTCTCGGTGGCAGTGTATGTGCCATGAGACGACCATGTATCACTACCGTCAACAGCCAGCTCTTCAACAGGGCCGGTCTGGAACACGGTTTCGAACAAATTTGCGGATTCCTCAGAGACGGTAATGGGCCGCGTCTGCAATTCCAGCTGTGGCACTTGCGGCACTTGCTCTTGTGTTCCAGACAGAAGACTAGGAGGCTGATGGGTGTGGGCTAGGCGTCGATGCCGCGCTTGTTTCCAGGTTGGGAGGAATTCATGGGCGAAGCCATGACATGACAGACGGCGAGAAATTTATTTCAGCCTCGAGGTTGTTGTCATGTTTAACGCTTGGGTCAATTTTAGCTTCTTGTGGGTTTGTCTGATGACAGTGGGTGGAGGACCGATGTAGTATGGGGTAGTGCAGAAAACTAGATGACTCGAGTGATTTGCTCTTGGCTTCAGACCTGAACCTCAATCAACCAGAAGCTTGTGATGTGGAAAGAAAGAAAGAAAAGAATACAAGGTTCGGGGGATCAGCATCGCTTCATATACGCTGCAAACATCGACTCTTCGGAGGTAGGGGTGTAGGAAGCGTTAGATGAATGCATAAGCTTCCTTCCATGGACCAAACTGCAGACCAGAGTGATAAAGATAGCAGCGCCTGGCGCATGGTTAGGACCTTGATCTGGGCGACATGTAATGTATGAGTAACTCATGGGCAAAGGCGCACCGATACCAAATGCATTCGTCACGAAAGATGAGGCGAAGGAAACGGTATTGTCATAACACTAAATTACAAGGCAGAAAATTCGGAACAATCACTGAGACGCTTTTTACCAATGTGATGGAGTATCAGATTCGACGACTATGGCCTTCTTACGCAATGTTTTTGGCTACCTCGTCCATGTCCGTTGATATAAAAACATTCAAAACCGTAGTCGTCAACCTTATAGTAGCATCTCATGCATGCCCCCCTGGCGCCTTCTCAACACCACAACACCAACCCAAACCTCGCCATCGTCAACGCCCTGACCAGATCACCCCGATTCATCGATATATCCATCCATCAAACCTCAAACCTTACTTTCGCCCTTCGCACCCTCGCCACTTCCCTCGCCGGCCTTCTTCTCATCCGGCGAGAACGTCAGGCTCACACTGTTGACGCAATGCCGCTCATCCGTAGGGGTGTCGAAGCCTTCGCCCTTGAACACATGCCCCAGGTGGCCGCCACAATTGGAGCAAACAATCTCCGTTCTCAACATGCCGAAGGCACGGTCCTCGTGGCGCACAACGGCGCCGGGCAGCGAGTCGAAGTAGGCCGGCCAGCCGCAGCCCGATTTGAACTTGTGCGAGGCCTTGTACAGCGGCGCGGAGCACCCGGCGCAGGCGTAGACACCCTCCTCGGGGTAGTGCTTATCGAACTTTCCGGAGCCGGCGGGCTCCGTTCCCTTCTCGCGGAGGATGCGGAATTGTTCTGGTGGAGGTGTCAGTTCCTATCCCGCTCCAAACCCTCACGACGATCGTAAGCGGAACTACGAACCCTTGTTCAAGACAGCCCGCCACTCATCCTCGGATTTGTTGGCAGGATACGACATCTTGTCCTGCTGCGATGCGGAAGAGCCGAACAGAGCACCAAAGAAAGGGATCGAGGGCATAGAAGCGCGGAGCGGGCGTGAGGCAGCGAGAGGAGGGAGGGCTCCGAGAGACTGCGCGGCGCGAACACGGGTAAGGTTGGAGAACGTGTAGACGAGCGTGGAGATGAAGGGTGAGAATCGCATTTGCAATTCGTCGACCGTCTCGTCTTGTCTTTGGTAACTTTCTCACCGGTTGGTAGTCGGCGAGTCTGAATAAGTAGTTTGCAATGTCAAGCGAGGCAGAAAGGGGCCTGAGCTGGGAGTCGTGAGGTTTAAATAAGGGAACTGCGTTGCCGTCTCGATACCGTGCGTCTAAATCGAATGTCACAACTTTGGAGGGGTGGTGAGGCAAGTGACAAATAGGATCCTTGGAGGATATTTACAGGGCCCGTGACCACTGACGGCAAGGAAGCTCGGCGACGGCTGTTGCGTCAACGACTTTTGGTTGGTGGGGTGGCAGACAATTGAAAGCCCCCGCCACAGCGGCACTGCAACGCCACAATGTGGAATCATTGTGTGGAATCATGCGCTGTGATTGATTCCATATTGATTCCATACCGCGTGCTTATCCGAGGATCGGCGGACTGTTCTTGTCGCATTCGGACCCCAACTGTAATTAGTTACCTATATACCTTTCTGCCGTATGCACAGCGCCAGCCACATAAAAAAATTGCTATCTCATCATCAGGATTGGCCATTCCAACCCAGTTTCTTTCGGAGCCTATCTCAATTCAGGAATACATCGGCAGGTGTATGCGACCGTCCTAGAATACCTGCTGGGGTTCACGACCTACCTACATAGTAGGTACCAGCAATCACTCAGGACCCGCCGGAACGGGCCCCATTTCATTACCTCTCACCGAATGCCGTTCCGCTTCGCCTCCTCGAGTCACAATCGGTTGTTCATCCCTATCCGATTAAGCTTAAAAGCTCTGGTTCTGAACAACCTCAACCCAGTAATTGTCGGGGTCCAGCAGGAAAGCAATGTTCTTCATGCGACCGTCGGTAAGGCGCTTCTTCCAGTTGCAATTCAAGGCTTCGAAACGCGCGCATGCAGCTTCGACATTGTCGACCGAGACGCCTGTTCCCCGTCCATCGTTAGCTCTCACACCCTTTGCCCCATCCAAATCCCCCAGATCATGTCCATGAAGGAGGTGAACTCACAAATGTGGCCAAAGCCCTGAGGCTGGTCATTGCCGTTGTGGTAGCTGAAGCCCTCGTCCTTCTCGGTGCCGTGGTTCCACGTGAGCTCGAGGATGCCCTCGCGCTGCGCCTGGCTCTCGCCCTCCTTGAGGTCGCCGTAGGCCAGGAAGAAGAGCGTGAAATCGCTGGACTCGTTCTTGCGGATCAATGACATGCCAAGGACTTCCTGATAGAACTTGAGCGACTTCTGGGGGTCCTTGACGCGGAGCATCGTGTGGTTCTATTAAACCGTCAGCCTCTGTTATTCCTCTTTCCGCTCCTCCATGCTGAAACAGCCCACCATTCTGTATGTCGTCACATCCGTCTCCTTGACGTTCTCCGTCTGCTCAATCGGCTTCTGCCCGATGATCTCGACCCAATACTGGTCCGGGTCCAGCACAAACGCGATGTGGCGCATCTTGCCGTCTGTAAGCTTCTTCTTGAAGGTGTAGCCGGCGTCCTCGAGGCGCTGGCACGCCGCTTGGATGTTGTCGACGCTGATGCAAGTGTGGCCAAAGCCGCGGTGTGGCTCCGTGTTACCGTTGTTGACCTTGTACTCGGGGTCATTCTCGGTACCGTAGTTGTGCGTCAGCTCGATGATGCCCTCCCGGTCTAAGGCGTCCTTGCCCGCCGACAGAGCGTTAGGCGAGTCGTAGGCCAGAAAGTAGAGATCGAACTTGGCCTCGGGCTGCGGAATCTTCCTGATGACCTTCATGCCGAGGGTCTCGTAGAACTTGACTAGTGGCGGTCAGTGAGGGGAATTGAGGCACGCCAGTGGCGGGGCTCTTTTATCATACCCGAAGCCTTGGGGTCCTTCACCCGAATCTTTTGCACATTGTTAGCTTCAATCGGCTTCCGGAGCTGGGATGGAATACTCACCATCGAGTGGTTGAATTTGTACTTCTTGATATCTGTCGTGGTAGCCATGGTTGCAAATTGACTGATTCGTCCTAACGGGGTTGACAGGAGTCAGTGCACACGCTCTCAACATGGACATGAACAAACCCAGGGCTTTTGAACCTCACCTAGTGGCCTAGCTGAGAGTATGTTTTGAACTAGCTTGATTCTCTGTAGAGCTCTGGAGGTGTTCATAGAAGCAACGGGTTTGCGTGCAACTGGTGTTACGAAGAAGTTGCAGCGGGGAATGGGTTCGGGAATTGAAGCTGGTGGGACGGAGCGCTTTTCGGACATACCTAACATGTACGGATACTATGTTAGTAGTAGTGCATGACGAAGTGTCGAGCTCCAACAATTATTACATAGCAGTCTGATTACCCCGCCACCAGTAATACCTACCTACTTAGGTACCCGGTACATATGCTGCCCCTCGCTATGCCCCACTGACGTCAACCGAAGCCTATAGAAGGACCGTCCACCTTATTGGTGCCGGTAACGAAGCCCGCCCCGGACACGGGTGCAGCAGAGGCTCTAAAGACACGGCACGGCACGGCACGGCACGGCATGGCTATCAATTCAATTTGAGTCGCAAGATTCTACGGTATGTATTTCAATTACTCCTGAGTGGAATTCGATTCAATCTATCACGTGACTGCTGTGTAGTATTTCTGGTTTCTGCGCGCCATCTCTCCAAGCTGCATGATGATCCAATCTGTTTTCGCCATATCCAGCGCATTTCTCCCTTAGATGTAATACATAGTGTCCTTCAAGTTCTCATGCACGCGTCTGCCCGTGGTCAGCCCCGATACACCACTAATTGTCGAGGCTGTGTCCGGTGCATCGAAGTGCTCAGGACGGTGCACACGGGCACGCTCGCATACAATGTCAGCGTAGTATGCAGGCGGGCAAATGCTGACAGCCTTGGTAGCTCGGCCGAACAAGTAGCACAGGTCGTGCGTCAGCTTTTCTAAATTATTCGCGGCAGTCTCGCCGACGCCGTACTTTCCGCGGAAAATCTCGTCCAAGAGGACTGTGTAGTGTGCCGGGCGGGCGGTTCCCTTCAAGGCCGTATGCGCCGTGAGGAAGAAGTCCCAGTAGCGGGCCTGGGTGACGCCGCGGTCGACGACAGTGCCGCTGCGGATGTTGCGTGACTTGGGGTCCATGGTTTGCTCCGAAGTTGGGTAGAACCGGGTCTGATGGCGCTTGACGGATACAATAATCGATAACTTGGGCCTGCGGCCGGCCGTGTAAAGCTTAGAGCACGCCTTGCGGATCATGGGCAGCTCGATTTCGAGAACCTGTGTAAACTGACCCTCGGACACTCCGTCACGGTAAATGACGATGTACTCCGGCAGCTTGTTCTGGTTGTGTTTCATCCAAAGGCGCAGGCGATCCTCGAAGTGGCCGGTCAGTTCATCACCAAGCATCTCTTGGCGACTGTTCTGCTCCCACGCCACTGCAGGCCACTGTCCCATATCCTTGTCGATGCTGGCCACCAACCCGACCAGACTAGGCGCAGCATTCTTATCGTTCGGCATGTTCGTGGGATGAGTCACGTCGTATCCGACAACCATGGTCGTGCCGGCTTTGATAATGTCGATCGGGTTCTTGACAATGTGATTGACGCCTCCGTTCTTCAAGTTCCACTTGAGTCCGACATTGGCATAAGTTTGTGGGCTGTCTTTCATGAAGGTCTTCTCTACCACGCATATTGTGTGAATACCGTACTGGGTATCTGCGAGCTTCTTGATGGTGCCGTAGAGTGCTGTGTCTTGACGTGGAAGGACGACAAGCAAGAAGTAGTTCTTGGTAATACCTTTGAGATGTCGTTTCAAGCCGGCAAACCAGTTGTCGATGGGCACGTCGTAATTGCCATGACGGACGTGGATCTCGCGTGGCGTGGCAGCCGTTTGTTGGTTGATTGGAATGCCGCTAGTCTCAAGGAACCGAGAGAAGTTTCCGGCAATACGTCCCACGTCATCGGTACTGACATAAGAGCCCTTGTCATCGTCAATGATGCGCACCCAAGTCCAGGCATCGATCTTCCGTCCAGACTTCGCGACCTTCACACCGTTCATGTTCCAGGAACCTGCTCTGGCTGTAATGTCCTTGTTCTTGTAGGACACAGGAGGTGGAGTGAGCTCGCGCCCAATGACCGTTAAAAGCTTCTTGTCCACCTCCAGACCGAAGCCGCTGAGCAGGTCGGTGTCAAAGCCCAAAGCCGAACAACTGTCGACCGTCAGGGACATGGCATTGGCGAAGGGAGACCGACAAGCAAAGTCGAGCATCACCGTCGTTTCGTCGCCAGTAAGCTTTGAGCGGACGGCTTGACCAGGCATGATGGTACATTGCTCGGCAGGGAAGAACATGGGCTTCTCGCGCGATCCAAGGTTGACGAGGGGCATGGTCTTGTCGGGAGCTTTGCCGTATTTCCACGTCCAGTACTGCTCGACGGTGTAGAAGCCGGGCGGCTTATTGCCCATGACTTTGTCTTTACCCTCAGGCGCCTGCAGGTTGAACTTGACCTCTCGAGGACCGCCGTGATTGAACTCGGGTTGGAAGAGCACATCTCTGCCCAGGACGGGCTGGGACACGTCGAATCTATCCGCAAGACCGAGAATGGTCTTTTTACCTGTGATCTCCTTGTTGTTGAAGTCACGGAACTTGACGAAGACTCGAGTGCGAGCCAGGAACTTGGACAAAGTGCGGAGGCGCATTCGAGCATTCTTGGCTGCGACTGGATCGCCCTGACCGAAAACGGCGACATTGAACCAACGGCAAAGTTCACTGACGTTGACCGGGGTCTTGAAGACGCCGTGAGTGACGTTGACGTTCAGGAGCATCCTACCAGTGCCAAGCTTGACACTCTGGAAGTAGCCCCTAATAGCCGTGAGCGGGTCATTGTAGCCAAGCTGGGCGGTGGCTGCTCCGGGACCCCACGGGAAGAAACGGCCCTTGCCAATAGCAGTGACCTGTTCACTACTCCGTGGAGCGTAGCCGAGAATGACGCCAAGAGCATCCACAGAGGTCGCGAACCTGGGGAAATGAGCTTCGTCCGGGTCACTCTTGTCGATCATGGTCTTCAGATAATCCTTCATGTCGTTTAAAGGAGCTTGCGTCTCGCCAACGATAGTGACCAAGTACGACTCTTGGCGATCAGATCCTTCTTGCTTGAAGATGACGGCGATAGGGTTAACGGCCAACTTGAGCTTCTTGAGCGAGACGAGCTGGCTTTTGAACTCGGTGGCGATAATGGCGCCGGGCTCGAGTCTTCGAAGCTCCTCGATAGCATGTTGAAGGATGATCTTCAACTTGCGAGCGGGAATCGTGGCGGGAGGGCCGTCGCCGCCGCCGCCCTGCGGTTTCCCCTTAGCCTTGCCTTTACCCTTTTCAGTGCTGACGGGCTCCTTCTCTTTGATTTCACCCTTGCGAACCTCGAGGTTGTATCGGTAGATAATGTTAGGGTTTACTGTCAAGCGAAAGTAGTTTGCCCAAAGGAGAACCTTGTTGCCCAAGGTACCGTAGGCAGGACGACGGGGCATAAGAGCGGCTGCGTTTGCATCGGTGATGGTCATGCTGCTCATCTTCTTGACAAGGTCGGTGTCCTTGGCCTGGTGGGACTTGATGATCCTGTTCTCGAGCTCGGTAATGCTGCTGTCGGCCTGGGGAATAGAGGGCATGTTGTGGCTATCACCTGTTAGCTGATCCTATGTGTCAAGGACGTGATGGTGAACATGCCCGTAGAATGGACCTTCGCCGTCGAACGGAGGAGGGCGACCGCCGCGGCCACCGCCACGGCCACCTCGGCCACCACGGTCGAAACCACCGCCGCCCCGGCCTCCGCGATCTCCCCCATAACCACCACCACGGCCGCCGCGGTCGCCCCGGAACCCGCCACCGCCGCCGCGATCACCACGGAACCCGCCACCGCCGCCGCGATCACCACGGAACCCGCCACCGCCGCCGCGGTCACCACGGAATCCTCCTCCTCCTCCTCCTCCTCCTCCTCCACCACCTCGGCCGCGGCCACGGTTCTCACCATCGCCACGGCCGCGGCCGCGGCCTCCACGTCCATAGTCCGCCATTGGATGAAATCAAATTAGATGAGTAAAGGTCCAACGAAGCATAAAATCGCGACCCGGGCGAGATTCAGAGCAGGGGTATCAAGCGATTGGGTGCTGTTTAGTGGAAGGATCAACTGAGCTGAGGCGTGGAAACGTCGATATATCTGCTTTGGATATCGTTTAATCAGCCGCCTCATGTGAAGAGGAAGGAGCGCATAAGTCTACCACCGCCAAACCCAAACACTGGATTGAAGATCAGAAGCCTGTTTGCTAGCAATGACGCGGCTGCAAACAAGCGCGTCAAGATGGGTAAAAATGCGGGAGGCCGTTCACTGCAGCGAGTCTGCGGCTGATTGGCCGGGGATGTGCTATGTAGTAGGTAGGTGCCGGGTAGGGGCAATAAGTTGCTAAAGTTCAGAGCATTTGGCGTAGCGCACAACCCTCCCTGCCTTGACTGCGGTACCTATCTTAGCACTCGAGTGGAGAACGAAAAAAAAAAAAGGCCGCGCTCAACGACGGTGAGTGTGAGAGCGACCGTCCATTCCTTTGTTTTTTTCTTTCTTTTTCGCCAGGGTCCTCAGCTGTTGCTATGATTGATGTTTTGCCGGCGTACTGTAGACACCCGGTAAAGATGACAACATACGGATAGAAACGCCGCATAACACTCGCATGTGATTGCCGTCCATCGTCCATGGGTGCGTGAGCGAAGACGGTGAGTGAGCTGCATGGACAATCCCAGCTGTTCCGATAGGCTCCCAATTGGCCCATGTAATAATGATGAAATGATTGCAAGACATCCCCCTCTCACTAATGGGTGTTCTTGCTACGATCAGATTTGGTTTATGGATTGTTTTGGGTCTATAGGAAACCCTACAGTTGCTGCAAGGTCCTCTCACAGCTGCCTCTGCTATTTTCATCTACCTAGCACCAGCTATCAGGCTGACAGCCCTCACAACTCATCATAAGGTACTCATTGTGTACGACGGGCCTGTGCGAAACAATTCCTAGAGCATTACTTTGCACTTTTGAAAACACCTTCAGACTGAGTATGGAGGAACAGCGCTGGCTGTGGACGACGGAACGCAACAGACCCTCTCTGGTCAACCGCAACACAGAGTTTCTGGCTTCTGGCCCTACCCCGCCGTGATTCTCCGACCCCTTGGATTGCTACGCCGCTTGCTCCGTTTGCCTTTCCCTTGCATGTCAATGCCAATTGTACCCGCATTTGTGATGTCTGCAATCTGTTTTCCTTCTCTTCCTGTCAGAGCAGAGTTTGCATGCCAGCAAAGAGTGGTATCAGTCGCTAGCCGTTTGACTCATTTGCTGTTAAGCCAGTCGCCCTAGAATCCACCAAGTATGGTATGCCGTGAATGAAAGCAAACGTTCTGTTGCACTTGCCAACGCTGGCAGCTCAGGTATTGATGAATATCCACTTGGGGGGGGGGGGGGGGGGGGGGGGCTTGGCCAACGACAGCCCCAGCAAGTTTCTCATGACGGATTCTTGATATGGCCGGCCGTAGCTACCTTCAGGATCTCGCCCTCTAAACCCTTGATGTGAACGAAATCGATACCAGCCCTCTCAAGAGCGCCCCGCCCGGTGTTGTCCCTGACAAACTTTTCCGGTTCCTGGACACCAACGTAGACAGCCTTGATGAGAGGCCGCAGCTGGAGGATCCTCTTGGCACAAGGCATATTTCCGCTGAGCCTGGTTGAACAAGGCTCCATGGTGGTGTAAAGAACCAGAGGTGTTTTGACCACCGAATTAAGCTCCTCCTCGGCTACCCCGTACTTCTCGGCTAGTTTAATGAAGCAGCATTGCTCGGCATGTGTGTTGCCAGGAAGCTCCAATGTGTACCCCGTTGACACAATCGAATTGTTGGCAGGGTTGACAAGCGCAGCCCCAACCCTGTAGTTCGTAGGCTTGGGTGGCGACCTCTCTGCGAGTGAGAGAGCATATTGAAGATACGCTGAGTGGTCGCCGGGCGTTATCGACACACGCTGAATATCATCGACCTCTGATGTCATCTTCGAGCTGTTCGAGAAGCGTGCCACGAGAGCGCTGCAAGTGCCTGCCTGGTATATGAGACGACTGGCAGGGGTTGATGTTCTATGCGTTGTGTTCGTGTTCCTCCAAACTTGTCGATACGTTTGTATACTTCTGGCATACAAGCTTAAGTAGGCAAGATATGTGTTACGACCAGGTCGGCGTAGGAGGGGTAGAGAAGCCTCTGGATTAAGGTATCGGTGCTGTACGCCCCGTCCCACCGATGATCCACTTTCAAGACCCCCACGTGGCGCACGGTCCTTTGGGTGGTTTTGGCGCAACAGGCCGTCGCGCTACTCCCACTCTAGCTGGCGCGTCTCTACCAACTTGAGCGCGTTGCAGTCATTCCCACTTGCCATCTTTCATCACCTCGTTGACATCAACATCGAGTCCTGGAAAAATGTCTTCTTCCGATGACCTCGTTGACGGCGATCCCCCTGTGATCGACCCTTATGAGATTCTCGAGCTCGAGCGTGAGGCCACGGCCGACCAAGTCAAATCAGCCTACCGGAAGGCAGCACTCAAAAACCACCCAGGTAAGCTATCAAGGCGTGCTCGCATCTTGCGTCGTAGCTGACGTTTCTCCCCTTCCAGACAAGGTTTCAGACGACAAAAGAGATGAGGCCAAGGAAAAATTCCAGTCCATTGCCTTCGCATACGCCATCCTCTCCGACCCGGCAAGACGCAAGCGCTACGATACCACCGGCTCAACTTCCGAGTCGATTGTCGACTCTGAAGGCTTCAACTGGTCCGACTACTACCGCGAACAGTTCCGCGATGCGATATCTGCAGATGCAATCGAGAAATTCGCAAAAAGATACAAAGGCTCCGACGAAGAGAAGGACGATGTCCTGCTTGCCTATGAAGAGCACAAGGGCGACATGGACAAGATCTACGAGACCGTTATGTTGAGCGACGTCCTCGAGGATGACGAGCGCTTCCGTAAGATCATTGACGAGGCCATTGCCAACGAAGATGTCCCGCGCTTCAAGCGATACACGATGGAGAGTAGACTGTCTAAAGCGGCCCGTGTCAAAGCAGCAAAGGGCGAGGCGCAGGAGGCCGAGGAGTACGCCAAGGAACTGGGCGTACATGACAAACTTTTTGGCGACAAGAAGACCAAGGGAAGGAAGAGGGCAAAGGACGCCGGCGAAGATAACCTGGCGGCGCTCATCAAGAGTAATCAGCAGAAGCGTGCTGGGTTCCTGGATGATCTCGCCGCTAAATACGGAACCACCAGTCAGCCGAGGAAGGGGAAGAAGAGAGCTGTCGAGGAAGAAGAGCCGTCAGAGGAAGCCTTCCAGGCAGCGGCTGCGCGATTGAAGAAGACCAAGCCGGAGGAGAGTAAAACCACGAAGGCAGGCCGAAGATCGAAGCGGTAGAATTGGCATTGTTGGTTTGGCGTCTTGGGAACTGGGTTACAATAGGCAAGGGACCACGGGAAAGGCTGGATTCGACCTAATGGCTATGACGGAGTTGAAATGAATTGACTGTCAAGAATGGCCGCGCTCTTCGGCCTTTTTTTCCTTCTTTTTTCTCCCTTCTTCCCTTGAAACCGAATCTAGGCGCATGGTGGTTCAGGTACCTGTCATGCTGCCTAGCGCCACAATGCGGGGCACCACCTAGCGTTGTGTTGAAAGACACCCACGTCCCCAGGTCAACCATTCACCAGTAAACTCCCCAGTGCCACACTACGTCGCCGCGACGCGTCCTCGAGTCTCACGACGAACCACCCGTAATTCGTAGCAACTCCTTATCAAGGTCATGGTCAGATCTGGATAGATAGAGCGCATCTGATTCAGGCGGACCATGCCATGACGAGCGACCGATCTGCAGGCCTCTATCCGCGATACTGCCTTCACCTCTCCCCAACGTTTAACACATGGTGTCTCCTGCACGCATCCGACATCCACGCCCTGGAATCCGTGCCCGAATATGAAGGTATGCCGCAGCGAAAGTTGGCACGGTATTGCGAGTTCATGCTGACAACCCTTTGGTCTTGCAGTCCAGAATTTCTATTTTCACAAGAACCTACCTATCAAATGGGCGCGCATCGTCGGCATCGTAGTCGCCATTGATGACTTCCCGGGCCGGCGCATCTACACGGTTGACGACAGCAGCGGGGCCTGCATCGAATGCGTTGTCGCGCTGAAAACGCCGCCGCCGTCGGACGCGAGTGCTCCGAAACCCGACACGAGAGGATGGCTCAGCAGCAACAGGCCGCAGCCGCAGCCGCCCGCGGATTGCGTCGACGTAGACGTGGGCAGCGTCGTCGACGTCAAGGGGGGGCTCGCGACCTTCCGCGAGGAGATGCAAATTAGGGTCGAGAAGGTCAGGATCCTCAAGTCCACGGAGCAGGAGGTGGCGCTATGGGAACGCCGTACACGGTTCCGGAACGAGGTGCTTCTACAGCCGTGGGTGCTCAGCCAGAAGCAAATACAGAAGTGCAAGAAGGAAGAGATGGGGGGTACCACAGGTGACGACAACGAGGAGAAAAGGCGCGCGGAGAGGAAGAAAGTGGAAGAGGAGATGCGGCAAAAGGCCGATGCCATGGCGACGACGGCGAAGGAAGACCAATACCGCGCCTACAAGCTGAGAAAGGAATCGCAAAGACTGCCGAAGCCTTTGCTGGCTTCTGCAGCTATGGGTTCGACCGTAGAAGATGATAGATACCGTATCCATAAGTTGAGGAGGTCCGGGGCCAGGAGCTCCGATAGAAGAACAGGTGTACCCGGCGGTCTCTTGCGGCAGGTCCTCGATGACAGCATCAGGGAAAAGGTCGACACCTTGGGACGTTGACAGTTGATGTGGATGGTATTGGCGTTCTGGAGGTGGCTTTTGTATTTGATACCCGAGGGTGACGCTGAGGTTGATGTTTCAAACAATGATTATACTCCAACCGGTAATTTCGAAAGCTTCATTCGGCCCTGTGGCATCTTTTGCTCTCTCGCAAAAACACACTTCACCTTGATTCTTATCATCATGTTCTTGTTACCAAGCCAAATCTTAGCGCAGGTATTTGCCAAGAAAATGCCAAGAGTCTGACTGACAGACAGGTAACAAACTGGCAAGCCCTGGTTGCGCCAAAATGATTGTCTGCATGTCAATGTAAGGGTATCGTCGCTGATCAAATAGAGAACCTCTACAGGCCTTTCGAACATGACCTGGAGTTGCAAATACCACCCCTATCCAGCTGGACATGGGAGGCAGTACCTACGTCACTGGCCTGAGTGCCTCGCCAAATGGCCCAACGTCTCCCTCCATGACTGGCAATCTGGCCCCCGGAAGAGACAAACTACCTCCTGTTAACGACTCTTAATCCCACTTGGATGTCATTGATCGCAATTGGGGCCAAGTGACCAGTTGCTCTGTCGATTGCACGATTTCTTTCTTACCATTGGATATTTTCCTCAATATTGTCTCAGGGCTATTTAACGGCAGCTTGGATGCCGAAGGGTACCCACGCCAAGGGCAAGCACGCGTCAGCCAAAGAGGGTCACTCGGTTCAACATTAGTCGTGTGTGTACGGACTACCTTCACGTCGCAGCTTCTTCATCTCTTAGCCCTAACATCAAAAGCACTTGTAACTTTACGTTGAACTAGCAGCTGACACTCAATTTCCTTCTTATGCCACGCCCCTCGTATCGTCTTTTCTTTCTTCTTTTCTTTCACCGTCACCACCTAGTTTTAGGAAGAGGCGTTGTGTCTTTCAACGATACCGATACATGACAGACTTATCACGGACGCTGATCGCGATTCCTCAGTACCTAATCCCCTCGTTGCCCTATTGCACTGCCCGCTTTGCTCTCGAACTTGGTTGAGTTCCCTGGTAAGACGCTCTACATTCCCAACAGGTGAGACCTCTCTATTGTTCCTGGAACACCCACATTCCTGCACTCTCGTGTTGCATGGTAACCACTCAACTTATCATGCACTGGGCTCTGGTATGCGGGTCAAGGAGCCACAACGCCGCCGATGTTTTTCATTATTGATCCGCCAGCTCTCAATATGGCCGTTTATATTAACCTAGGAGCACTGCCCCATTTTCCTGCTAACAAGTCGAGAAACTTTTCCTCGTTTCCCAACGCTCTATAACGTACCAGGGGCCAGAGTTGGGCTTGAAAGTCTCGATACACATTCGCCGAAACGAAGAAAACAAAACTCACCACCATTCCCTCCCGCAATGGCGGGCCTTCACTTGAAAATGACGATCGTAGGGCTGACTTTGATACAGGTCTTATTCTGCGAGAGTGCCCACGCCTTATCCCACCAGCAACACGTTCGGCTTCACCCCGCGCACCCAGGCCCGGAAATTGTTGGCCAGCTGAACGTCCGCTCCTTGCTACTCGACCGACGTGATCTCACCTGCGTCACGGAAACGGCGAATTTCACCGTTACAGTCAAAGTTACGAGAGGGGCGCAGCAAACTTCAGCATCAGCCTCTGGGACCATCGACGATATCTCAGCTATTACCACCGCAGATCCCACAGGAACAGTGATAATTTTACCCTCCTTGACTGACAAGATTCCTCAGACAACCGGATTCATTCCTAGTAGTCTGGACACCTCTGGCAAGGCAACATCTTGCCCTCTTATGTCAAATAGTATTCCGGTTCCTACCAGCTTGATCGACTCAACATCGCCAGTCACAACAGTTGCGCCAATCCCATCTGCGACAATGCCATCTGGAAATATCTTTGCAGAGCCCATCGCCACGATGGCGCCTCCTGGCTCTATTCCAGCTCGCAGCGACCATCCCGTTCCGAGGAAGGGCATCACGTCGACTTCACCGCTCCAGACAAACAAGTTCTTCTCCAACTTCTTCTTGGGGGACCAGACTGCGCCGACCTACACCTACCCTTACAGCATAGCATGGGGAGCAGGACGAGGGGCCGCTGCGAGCTTCGGTATGACCATTTCCCACGTCGAGGCGAATCAGCGTGTCTTTGGGCCTAATAAGCCTTCTGGTGCTGCGGCCTACTTTATCAACCCGGTAGGTATTCAATCAATGGTCATCAGCGCCCAGGAGCTTGGTTCAGACACCACCGTTGGAGTCGACAACATCACGGCCTTCTCTGCAACGGTTCACTTGAAGCCAAACGCCCAAGCTGTGCCTGCTGTATCATTTCCCCTCGTTCAAGGGATGCCCTTCGTCACAGCCCGGTACGCAGGCGCGACCCCGGTTATCAAAACGGGAGTGTTCTTCAAGACAGTCACACGAGTAACCCAGGATCCAAAGCCCGGCGTTGCCAAGTACAATTTTCAGCTTGAAGATGGCAAGATCTGGCGGCTGTATGCCTATGCAACCACTGGATCCCAGCTGAACTTGCAGGTTGTCAACAATGGACTTGCCCAGTCGACGCAGCCATTCTATGGTATCATTCAAGTTGCCAAGGACCCGGGAAACGGCGAGGCCTTGCTTGACCAGGCTGCTGGTGTTTATCCGACGACGATCGAGCTGGCTGGCTCCGTGAGCGGTAATACAGGCTCGTACAGCTTCAACTTCTCCAAAGAGGGCCATCCCGGGGGAAAGCTGGTCATGTTCGCGCTGCCTCACCACGTCTCCTCATTTGATCCCACGACAAGAAACGCCGTTCAGCCGGTACAGATGATGACCCCTACCAAGGGTATCGCGACTGCGGTCTTGGCTGATCAGTGGACAATGACCGAAGCAAACATGCCCATTGACATGCACTTTGCCCCCTGGAGTCCTGGTAGAGGTAGTTTGACTATGCTGTCTGACAATGCGCGGGCCGTGATCCGCGGGATAGCAGCCCAGGAGGTGTCCCAAGATATGATGGCCCAGTCCGACTTGGACTCCATGTATTTTAGCGGAAAGGTTTGTGTACTTCCCATAACACTGCAAAATGTTCACTGACACGGGTTCAGGCTCTTGCCAAGTTTGCCTTGCTGATTGTCGTGATTAATGACATTCTGCAAGACCCGGCCTTAGCACAGTCGGGTCTGAATAGACTCAAGGCGGCTTTTGCAAAGTTTGCTTCTAACCAGCAGAAGTTTCCATTAGTATATGAGAGTGAGTTGTGTTTCCACATGAGAGACGAGTCCTCAGACTAACCAGGATTGCAGGTGCCTGGGGAGGTGTCGTGTCTTCGGCAACCTACGTCACAGGCAACGACGGCGCTGATTTTGGCAACACGCAATACAACGACCACCACTTCCACTACGGTTATCACATCCTGGCCGCGGCCGCCATTGCTCACCTGGACCCGGGCTGGTTGAACAATAACAGGGACTATGTGAACACACTGGTACGAGATGTCGCCAATCCCAGCACAAAGGACACATACTTCCCTACGTGGCGAGCCTTCGACTGGTACCATGGCCACAGCTGGGCGCATGGGCTATACGCTTCGTACGATGGAAAGGTAAACATCGTTGTCCGCGCACGAAGAGCATCAAATGACATATGAAAAATAGGACCAAGAGTCAAGCTCGGAGGATATGATGCACGCATACGCGCTCAAGATGTGGGGAGACGCCTCGGGAGACGGTATGCTCTCGATGAGAAGCAACCTGCAGCTCTCAATCATCGCACGCGCACTCCAGCATTACTACCTCTACAAGAGCGACAACGTCGTGCAGCCGCCCCAGTTTATTGGAAACAAGGTGGCCGGTATCCTCTTCGAGAACAAGATCGACCACACAACCTATTTTGGCGCTAATATCGAGTTCATCCAGGGCATCCATATGATCCCCCTCCTCGCACCCTCGCCCTTTGTCCGCACACCCGACTTTGTGCGCGAGGAGTGGGACGTGTACTTTAGCGGAGGCCGCGTGGACAGCATTGCGGGCGGCTGGAGGGGCATCATATACGGAAACCTGGCGACCATTGATGGCAGGACCGCGTGGGACTTTTTTAACAGTACCAACTTCGATCCCGGCTGGATCGACGGCGGTGCGAGCTTGACGTGGTACTTGACGTACGCTGCTTGTATGTCGAGTTCTAGTCTACGCATGCCAAGAAGTCCGGCTACTGACCACGATATTTAGTGATGGGCAACATCTGATGCCCCACCCCCGAAGGAGCGCACAAAGAGATGCTATACCGACTAGAAACACCGAGATTGTTATGAACCCCTTATGATTGGCGGATGAGACATGAAGCTTAGGAGGTGGCACCATTTGTATTCGGTTTTTCTTTCCATTCGCAACGCAGACGATTAATGACGGGACGGGGAACGACCGCGACGAGCAGGACACTGTGCTTCTTGGACGACGATGACCACGACGATGACCACGACGATGACCACGACGATGACCACGACGATGACCACGAAAACGACAACACTAGAACCCCTACGAAAACGACAACAGACACCATCGGACAGTATCTTTTTCAATGAAAACGCGAGTTTACTACTTTGAACCTGAGCATCGTACAGCCCATCAACCAAGTGACCAATCTTTGTTTCCGTTCGTTTCGAAACGACCATCCAGTGAACTGATGATATGCAATGGGCCCCCAAGAGGTCCCAATAATCTGGGTCTGAACTTCCCCGAGTCTGATCTAGCAAGTTTCGTGACCTGACGCGTCTAGAGAATGACGCAGCAACTCGACCCTGCATTTCCCATCAGAGTGTCCCGATCCCTCGCAGCCTCCGGCCGGCAGGCTCAGCCATGCAGTAGAAGACGGATGCACGTCGCTAGCTCGATGCTCGAGGGTGGGGTCAGACGCGGAGGGGAGAGAGAGACATGAAGAAAAACCCGGACATTTCCAGAGCACGGATACAATCAGACCACTCTCCGGAGAATTAAGGGGGCCTAGGGAAACTCGCAGGAGGAATCCAGTGGTTTAGTCTCTGGCGTCCCGGTACGATGCGTCCCCCATCGGGTGACCGGCATCTCTGCCGCTTTTCAGGGGGGTGGAACCCGGGAGCGGAAGAGTGTTTTTTGTATGGTGGGCGGCGCGAAACAAGAGGGAGGGGAAAATAGAGTCAGACTAAACAAATTTGGGAGCCGAGAAAGCTTAGCTTCCAGGTCGCCACAAATGCTTATTATAACTGCTAATCAAGATCAGGCTGCGGACAGTCGAGGTCTGTAACCACGCGAGAGGGAGGGGCGGCAGGGGCTTCTCGACAATATGCGTAAGCAGAATCAATAACACGGCAAAAGTTGGTGTTGGGACGAGGGCGGCTGCGTGGCACTGTCCAAGATGGTAGCGGGTCCAGTAGCAAACACCGTGTTCTTACCCCGCGGACCGTCACCAAACACTGTACTCCGAAGACGTGCAGTATTACGTATCACTTCTTCAACAGTGGCACAAGCGTTTCCGAAGCTACGGTTGGAAACGAAAGGGCCATGACCTGTTGGATTAGCGCTTATGCAGTGCGCCCAGGGCTTGCCCGAGACTCACGGAGGGCGTAGCGACGGTGTTCAGGTTTGCATAGATATGATGCTCCGTAGGATGACGCGCATTGTGCCAAGCACATACCAAATAAAGAAGTAAAAATAAATAGAAATAACCAAATAAAATTCCGGTGCTTTTCAGCCCATTGAGGCTTTGGCTGGACCACACTAGATGACAACCTGCGTTTGGGGGTAGAATAATATGAGACGAATGGTCAACGGTCAAGCAGTTGCGGCTCGCGTGCTTACGAAAGCTGCGGCGCTCAGGCTGGCGTACTATGCAGAGGATAGGAACGGCCGCATTTCCCAACCGCAAGCCCCCCGGGAGACTGTCGTTAGGTACCTCGACCGGATACAGTCAGTCAGCCTGTGAAGAGTGTAGGTAGACGATCACTCCGTACTTTGCGATCTTGTGTGAGTGTGGGGCTATATCACGTCCGTAGTAATTTGCCAAGTGTAATAGTGTGAGCCCAGAGATACTTGGCATCTCGGCTCATCGAGGTGCTCGCTCCTCAACAGCCAAATCCCACGCCGAGGCGGTTGGTAGCGTTCAAGCTGCCACCGCCTCTTTTTGATCTGCGAAACAGCAAGCCCAAGTAGGTTTTACGAAGCGCCCGACGGAACAGCCTGCAGATGCAGTCGGAGTCGGGCGAGAGAACGTGGTCGGGGCTCAGTGGAGGGGCGCTATATCTGTTGAGTGGCTGCATGGTGGTGGTGGCTGTGAAATGCTAGCGCACGAAGCCGCCCGCATCGAGAGCGCGTGCGCGCGTTAAACAGAGTACCTATAGAGGATGGACGACTCGGAGGTTGGCTTTCAATGAATCGCGGTATATCTCAATGTACCCCTCCCCCCCACACTTCAGAGTTGGGGAATCTCTGTTGCAGCAGAGGAGTCCGGTTATTGACACCGCATCCGAGGCCTTGCTGGCAATATAATATACTCCTGACGCAAATCCTAATCTACGGCATTTGTAGCGGCTACGGCCAATAATCATAATCTATACGGAGTAGTATCCATAGCCACATTCGCCTCAGAGAGGCACGCCCCACGTAATAGTTCAGCTTCTGCCAAAGTCCGCGAGTGGTCACGAGTCGAAACACGACTTGCAGAAAGGGATCAGGCCGACGCGCGCGCTTTCGTGCCCTAGATGGTGATGTATGCGGAGCGATAGAGGGTCCGTGAGAAAGGGAGACAGAGACGGCAGGCAAGCTTCTATCGATAAGAGCAATGTCGACAAGGGTCCAGGGGCGTTGCGGGTGAGGTAGGTACTGTACGTAGTGCGCCCAGCGAGCAGGGCCCCATGCCTGGTCCAGCGTCGATGCGGTTGGGGGCCCGCAGATCGGTGCATGGGGCTCGGAACCCGCGCGGACAGGGTGGGCCCCCCGACTCCCGGCAAGCCAGGAGGAAGTTTGGTAGGATAACTGCAAACACCGTTTCCGGGACCTTCTTGCTCTATTGTGCTGTTCTGATCTGGAGCTTGTTTGCGGGATGTCGGTCGTGAGACATTATGGAGGGGGAGAGCAAGGAGGCAGGCTTATAAGGGCCCGTGGTTTACACATGTATACCTAGATGAAGCAATCAGCGAACCTAGGTTTTGCGAGTGCTCCGTAGCACGCGCCGTGGCAACTCATTGTTTGGTCGGAGTCGACAGGGTGATGCGATCAGGAATCGGCCCCTCGTTTTGGAATTTTGAAGAGAACCTGACACGAGCCGACCGGAAATGGAGAACTGTGCAACAACATTGGTGGGCGGCTGGGAGAAAGGAGCTCGAGCTGTATGTCGCACATCGTCCGATCTCCGAGCCGAATGTCAGGACGGATTACGTTCCAAGGGGAAGGGTTGGTCGAGCTAGACTTCAAGGCGATCAATCTACCCCCGCACCCTCCCCATTTTTTTTCTCCTTCTTTTTTGTATGGAAATAAAATAAAAACAAAAAAACTTTATAGGTTGCCAAGGCAATGCGTGGCGACTATGCAAAAAACTGAAGTGGAGTTCGGACATGGCTGGAAAAATGTGATCGCTGTTGTGCTTAACTAGGTACCTGAGCGGGACGAATTCTTTTTTCAGCGAGGGATATCTCAGGGAGAAACAAACTACCTAGGTAGGTATTGAAGACGCCGGAATGCCGACTAGAGTCCTCCAAGACGAGAGAGGTAGGCAAGACAGACAGACAGGCGCTCATCGGCGCCGGGAGAGTACCTAAAGCGTTCCGTCCACAAGCGTCGCTGGCAGAAGCGGTACCTGTAGTACCTACTGTACGGAGTACCTCGGCGTGGCAGCGCGGAAATGTGGGAGGGGAAAGATCCAGATGGAGGTGGAGGGCACGCACCACTCGGAGGGGCGGCAATCTCAACCCATGTGGGTAAATGGGCGAGCAAGCGTCGGACAGGAAACAGCGGAGAAATATCAGAAGCAACGCCAGACAACACAGCCACGCTTGGCACCACTCAAGAAGCTCCCCATTGGGCGTCGCAGAACCCACTTAGCTACGTACCGAAGGCTGAAACCTGTTCGTGACTGGCTGGGTCGCTGTATGACGTTTAAGAGGAGCTCGCAGAGAAAGAAGAGAGAAGGGAGCGGCGTGCCCCTCTGAAGCTTGTGTTTCTTGCTTTGCTGCTTGTCATGGACGTGGAGGGGCTGGGCTTCTGTAGATCATTCTGACAGCTGGATGCAGTCATGCGAGAGCATAGCAAAGCGCTAGAGACGCGCAGTAGCTAGGTAATACTGGCAGGAACTGAATGCAGTCATTGCCATTGAAAGCCAAGGATAAACCTGAAAGCCATGCGACTGGTCCGCCGTATGCCCGCCCGCCCATCCGGTTCGTCCTCTCATCCTTGGAGGGAGGCCGCCCGCGCACCCAAAAGCTGTGATTCCCACCGAACTGCCACTTCCCTCCTGTTCCCGCAACCGAGTGTGTGAAAGCCAGTCTCGTCTCATCCTGTCCATACCATACCACCCACCCACCCACTTCTCTCTTGGGTACCACCGTGTCCGTCCCACGTTCCATATCGCCTGACAGGAAAAGGGGGCTGTGTTCGTTTCTTGTTTAAGCACTCTCCCAAGTCTTTCAAACCAGTATCTGCACCCATTTCGCCATCGCCTGAACTCCTGGAACACGGCTTTGTCCAACAGATCGTTGCCGTTGCTACTTTTTTTTTTCTCCCATCACACCAACAATTTACACTACTACGCCGTTGCTTGGAGCCTGTCTCGCCCTTCTTCTACATCGCCGCGCTGAGACTACCAACTGGCCTTGCGTTCGCCCGCACACCATCTCCCCAAACGGACAGACATCACTTGCAGGCAAGCATCCAAATCCGACTCGATACTCCCTCGCCTCAACTTCCCCCTCCCCATTCGACTCACCTCGCCCCCTTCCCGCGCTCACTCCACTCTAACTGCTAACCGTCGAGCGCCGCTCTTACAGCATCCCTCACGCCCTTTCTGCACGTTTGATCCAATCCACTTGGACCACCTTTCGATACAGATCCCTCGTGCCCTGGACTTGGCGCCCAACGTGCTTCTCATAGCTCCGCATCATTGGACCACTTCGTCGACTGACCGATCGTTACCCCACTTTTTTCCACCGTCAGGCGCCGCAGGCATAGGTAAACCTCGTCCGGTCCGTGGTGACTGACTAGACCGACTACCTTATCGACTATCATCGGAGATACCTGAGTTTGGGTACGTGTTTGCCGTCTGTGATACTGAGCAAAGAGAACAAGCACCGACATGTTGTGTAAGTACTTGCCTCCGCTCGATATCTCACTGCCTGCCTCCCTGCCTACCCATTCGTGCATATCTACTCTGAGCCCGCCTTGTTTGAATTCGTACACCCGCATTTCTTCCACTTTCCCACCATTCACTGCTACCTGCCTTAGTGCGACCCTGGCAAAACCCCATTGGACCTTTCGTCCCCCAATGTCCTAGAGCTGCACCTCCGGGTACCTACCCTGAGCTTGGCACGCCCAGGCTTGGCCTATCTCTTCCCTCTGCCGCAGCCAGAGTCATTCACCTCTTTTCTTTCCTCCAAGCCACACTTTCTGGCATCGTAACCACCACCCACTACTTTTCTTCTTCCATTCTTCTTCTCCCACCCACTGGCTACTACGGCGCACATTATTCTAACCTGGGTCGCCTTATCCCGTCTATCGTCATTCCCTTCTCACCATTACATTCCCTTTTTCTTGTCTTCAATTTCGCCCCCCCTCTGGCTGCCTTATTCTGAGATACGCCTGCCCACCCACCACGAGACGCGCGACAGCGACGGGAGACATATCTCTCTACCTTATCTATTAGGGCTCCGGCTAATTATGAGGGTGCGATGTCCGACAACTCAGTCAACCAGCATTTCCGCGGACAGGTCCGCTCTTGGGGCACCGCCAACAAGCCCAATGGCGATGTCGACGAGAACTCGCCACTCCTTGTAAACGGCAACCATGAAACCCATGTCGCCAACGGCGACAGCGGCAACAAGACGCTCAAGTTCCTCTTCAACTCGACACATACCCCGGGCACCGACAGCCCCAACATCGCCGTGAGGTACTCCTCCCACGCATGGCACGTTACCAAGGTGTCCCTCTTGAGCAGTAAGTAGTTTCATTCGTCTCTGTTTTGCCTTGGCCATGTTGGCGATATTGCGACGCGACTGCTAACAAGTCCCCTCTCTGCCGCAGACTATGTCAACTTTCTTCTTATCATGGTTCCCTTGGGCATCGTTGCCGGAAAGCTTCACTGGAGCCCGACTGCCGTCTTCACCATCAACTTTTTTGCCATTATCCCGCTTGCCGCTGTCTTGTCGTTTGCAACCGAGCAAATTTCCATGAAGCTTGGCGAGGCCCTCGGAGGATTGCTTAACGCTACCTTTGGCAATGCGGTCGAATTGATTGTCAGCATTGTTGCTCTGAAGGAGGGCCAGATCGAGGTTGTCCAGTCGTCTATGCTTGGCTCCATTCTCTCGAATCTGCTTCTCGTCATGGGCATGTGCTTCTTCTTTGGCGGCATTGTCAACATGCGCGACCGGGTCACCGGCCAGGGCATGGAGCAGAGCTTTGCCTCTGCCACGGCGCAAACCACCTGCTCGCTGATGACGCTTTCTTCTGCCTCGCTTGTCATCCCTGCCACGGTACGCAGCATCTCAATGCGCTCACTTACCCTCGTTCATTCACTAACGGCGCATGACAGCTTTACTCCGTTCTTGCCAAGGCCGACAGCCTTGAGAAGGAGCACAGCATTCTAGTCTTGTCTCGCGGCACTGCTATTATCTTGCTGTTGCTCTACGTCCTCTACCTCTGGTTCCAGCTGCGCACTCACCCCAACCTTTTTGATGCTGAGATCCAACACCACAACGAGGAGGAGGCCGAGGAGCCTATTATGGGTCCTATCGCCGCCGCCGCCGTGCTCGTGGTCACCACTGTTCTGGTTGCGATTTGCGCCGACTACCTCGTTGAGAGCATCGACCCCATTGTTGAAACGGCCCACATCAGCAAGAACTTTATCGGACTTATCCTCATCCCCATCGTCGGTAACGCGGCCGAGCACGTCACAGCCGTCGTCGTGGCCATCCGCAACAAGATGGACCTCGCTATGGGTGTTGCCATCGGCTCCAGCATCCAAATCGCCCTTCTCGTCACTCCATTCCTGGTCATCCTTGGATGGGCTGTTCTCGACAAGCCCATGACTCTTCACTTTGAGACGTTCGAGACTGTCGCCTTTGCATTCTCTGTGCTGGTAGTTACGTACACTGTGCAGGACGGCAAGTCTAATTACCTCGAGGGAGCCATGCTGCTCGGCCTCTACTTCATCATCGCCTTGGCCTTCTATGTTAGTCCGAGCGATGCGTTGGACAGAGTCTTGTCCGTTGTCAGCCTTTGAAGTAACCAAGGGCTGAGGATGATGAGACAGGGTTGCGATTTGCAACTCAAGAATCAATTAACCAAGGATGGCCCGCTATACCCATGTAGGGCGCCTTGGCATCCATTGCATTGTTACGAAGTCGTCTATCAACTGTGGTTACTGAATTGAAGTCAGCAAACAAACCACTCCCTAGACCACAATTGCGCAATCAAACCCACATGTGTTTCTTTGTGTACTTGACTGCGAACTGTACTATATTTCTTCGGCTGGACTTGGAGAGGCTCGCATTCCAGGTTTCTTTTGCGAAACGGTAAAATCGGTAGGAGCACAGACGAGAAAGGGAACACGAAGTCTATTTCTTTCGGTCTCAACTTGGTGTTTCGATCGAATCAGTGAACAAGAATAAAGATGAAAATAAAATATTGTCTGAATATCGGGAAATCTTTTGCCTTTTTTGTATTGCCAACGGCGCCTGTGGTACCACGCCGAATACCGTCATAAAGAGTTCTATCCCACACCAGCGACCTCGAGAGTTCAAAGCAGTGTCCGCCATCATCACCATCAACATGCAACCAATGCTTTTCTTGATAGCTCCTCCCATTCCATCACATGGTCGGCCTCAACATGGGCGCGATGATGCCTTGCTTCTTGAGAACGCGCGGCTTCGTCGCCTCCTGGTGCGATTCCTTGGTGACCCACTCCGGGCCCAGGGGCAGGCGCAGCGAGCGCTCATACTGCGCCTTGGATTCGAAGGGATGGGGGAGCTGCGTGGCGAGATACTTGTCGTTCTGGATCCTCGATTAGCAGGGACCAACAAAAAAATTGATGAGAGAACTCGTGAAAGGGAAGCAGGAAAGCTGAGGGTTTAGGGGAAGAGGAGGAGGGGGAACCAACCTTCTTGATGCGCTTCTCGCTGATGATGACCTTGTCCAGCTTGGCGTCCTTGCGGTCCGCCTTCTTGACGCCCTCGATCTTTGTCACGAAGCGGCCCTGCTGGCGCTTCTTCTCGCGGCCGCTGACGCCCTCGCCAACCCACCCGCCCCACCCGGGCAGGGTGTTGTCGACGATCTTGTCGTCGTCCTCAATCTCGGCCTTGGCCTTCTCGCTCGCAAAGTCGACGACGACGTCATCGCCCGCGAACGCTCTGTCCATGGCCGCGACGTCGCGGATTGCGAGGGGGAGGTGGACGTCCGGGGAGTCGGAGCCGTCGTCCGAGTCCCCGTCGGCGAGGGTGGCGACGGCGGACGGCTTGGACTTGGGGGGCTTGGACCTGCCGGACGAGGCCACTGTCGCCGCCGTCATGGCGACGGTGTTGTCTAGGTCCTCAACGCGCGGGCCGCCGCTCTTGCCGCCTGTCTTGGCGGACTTCTTGCGCGGACCCGAGGACCACGCAGAGCCTGACGTCGAGGGCTCCGCGGTCAGGGAGTAGCCCGTGTTGACGACACTGTTGTCGGGGGCGTCGCCGTCGTCCGAGTCGCCTTGTGCGACCTTCTTCTTCTTCTGCTGCTGCTTCCCGACCGATAGAGCGGGCGCCGTGATGGCTGGCTGCGCGGCGCTGCCGAACTTCTTCCGTCCCACCTCGGCGACCTCCGCGTCCGAGTCGCCCTCCTCCGCGTCCGAGTCAAGGTCCCGGCGGATCTGCGCGATGAGCTCGTCGTTGGCCTTCTTCTGCGCCGCCTCGGCCTTTCGCATGAACTTCATCTTCATCAGGTTCGATGCGGGGCCATCGTCCTCCTCCTGCTCGAGGCGGTCGAGCTGCCTCAGCAGCTTACGCTGTTCGCCACCCTCCTCGTCCGACCTGTCGCTGTCGCTGCCCTCGTCGGCGGACCGGTCCGAGTCCTCTTCGTCGCCGCCCGCGCGGCCCTCCTTGCGCTTCCGCAGCTCCTCCTCGCGGCGTGCCATGTCGTGCAGGCCAGCGCGATAGTCATCGTCCCACACGGCGCGCTTGTTGCCGGCGCCGAGCTTGGCCCATTTGGAGTCCCTGTGCCGGGCGCCGACGCGCTCCAGGGCCCTCGAGCGGTCCTGCGCGTCACGCTCCGCCTCGGAGTCTATCTCGCCATTCTCCGCCATGGCCTCGTGTAGCTTCATCTCTTCGCGCTCCTTCTCCTTGCGGTGCACGCGGTGGTACGCCTTGGACTTGATCTTCTTGATGCGCTTCGCACGCTTGGCCTCGCGCGAATTGAGCTCCCGCTCGCGCCGGCGCTGGTTAACGAGGTCCTTGAGCGCCTCCTGCGAGAGTCCTTCCTCCTCCTCGGCCTTCTTCATCCTGTTCTCCTCCTGTTTGTTCATCGCGAGCCCAGACTTCTCCATGATGCCAAGGATCGTCTGCTCGAGCTCCGACGTCGAGTTCTTGGCCGTGATGGCTTGCAGCTCGTGGTTGTCGAGGCCCGCGTCGGTGGCGGTCTGCGGCAGCGGGAACATGAGGTGCTCGGCGCGGCGGTTTTGCTTGACCGTCTCCTGCCAGCGTGTGAGCGTCTCGTTGGCCTTGTCGTACGCCGCCGCGCGCTGCAGTTTGTCCTGCTGCCGGCGTGACAGAGGCAACTCGAGCTTCTTCCCTGCGCCGTGCCGCGACGTCTCCTTTTCCTCCTTCGCCATGAGCTTGACCGACTTGCGCATCTGCGCATCCTTGACACCCGACAGCCCAAGGTCCTTGAGGTTGATCTTCTGCTTCTGCTTCGTCGGGGCCGTGTCCTTGTCGTCTTCGCCGCCGAAACCGGCGATGAACTTCTGGAGGTCGCCGAGTTTCGATGGATCGGCTTCCTGATCCTCGTCGTCGTCTTCGTCCGAGGATGGCGGGCTCTCGGCCTCGGAATCAGACTCGTCCGAGCCGTCCGAATCCTCCCCGTCTTGGTCGGCCATGGACTCGTCGGACTCGTACTCGTCGAGGGCTTGCGCCAGGTCTATCGCATCCTCGCCGAGGGATTCGTCGTCGTCATCTTCCTCCACTTCCGAATCATCCTAGTCGTGGTATTAGTGAAGTGCCAGCAGAAATACATTCCAGATCGCCACAAACCTCGCTTCCCTTCTTGGCAGTTTTGCTGCCTCTAAAGGAATGACTCTGGAAGTCCTCTTCGTCACTCTCTCCGAATGCCTCGTCACTGTCGAGCTCCGAATCCTCATCTTCATTCACACCATAATGCCACTCGTTGCCCTCACTGTCGCTGCCGTACTCGTCCGAGTCGTTGCCACCAGCGCCACCAGCAGAGGGCTTTACCTTCTTTCGCCTGGGCTGCTCTTCGCCATCGTCGTCTTCGTCTTCATCCTCGTCCTCGTTTGCTCGGCTGTGCTTCTTCCCGGTATCTGGTGCTGCCTCGATTTCGCGAAACCGCGGTGTGCGTTTCTCCCTCGTCGGGTACTGCTCAGAGGCAATGGTGAAGGCGTCGAGAGCCTTGGCCTGGGCCTTGGCTTTCGACTTGCGAAAGTTTTTCGGCGCCGGTTTTGAGGCCAGCAGCGACCGACCGTGGGATTGTCTTCCGGGCATTTCGTGTGTGCGTTATGGAGGAAAACGGGGGAGGCGGTCGTGTTGGATGTGGTCGTGGGCTTCAACCTTGACTTGTCCCGCCGCAGACGCTCGCACGCAACGCACATACCCGTTCAAGAAGAGCATGGGCAACTTTTTCTGATTCTGCCATGGTGGGCGTAAGGGCGGTGAACGAGAATTTACAGTGGGGCCTAAATAACCCCTGTCGTTTTTTTTGCCAGTGACACCAATTCAAGTACCTAGCACAGATTCTCTCCCGCGCGCTGTTCCGCCCTTCGGCGTTCAGGGACCCTGCGATCGAAGAGTGGTCCCACTTTCCACAGCGTGCAGGCCGAAAGGGCCCGGAACTTACTGGTTAGGGAGCCCCGAGCCACTCGGCTGCTTTGGATTTCCATTGTAAATAAATTGTTCGATGATTCATCTACACGCCCAGAAACCTTACACCACCGGCGCATCTCTCTGTGCGATTGCGCAAACAACACAACACAACAACCACCCAACATGGCGTCTTTCGCACCCGGCTTGCGGAGGCTCGCACTGAGGGCATCTCCTACGCTCTCTGTATGCCGACAATGCCAGCGCCAGCAGCCGCAATGGCAGCGCTCGTCTCCGTCTCATATCATCGACAGAATCGCACGATCCCAGCAGATCCGAAGCTTCAACCAGACTAAGGCGCCATTGAGCTTCAGCAGCAATGCCATCGCCGAGAAGGCCTCCCCGATTGCCGAGCAAGCTGCCGCGGCGGCGAAGGAGGGCATTCAGACGAGCGCGTGGCCCGAGACAAACTCCAAGTCCGTTGGCTACTGGCTCGTTGGCAGCGCCATCAGCGTTTTTGGAATTGTTGTCTGGGGTGGCCTCACGAGGTTGACTGAATCTGGGTATGCCTCCTTCTACCATTGGCCCATCTATGACTTCTGCGACTTGAAGCTAACATCAATGCAGCTTGAGCATCACGGAATGGCGTCCCGTAACCGGCTCCTTCCCGCCACGAAACCAGGAAGACTGGGAATCCGAGTTCGAAAAGTACCGCGCGTCCCCCGAGTTCAAGCTCCTCAACCCGCACATGGACATGGCCGAGTTCAAGAAGATCTACTTCATGGAGTGGTCCCACCGCCTCTGGGGTCGCTTCATCGGAATGTCTTTTGTCCTGCCTACCCTGTACTTCATCGCCCGCCGCCGTGTCACCCCCAAGATGGCCCTGAACCTCTGTGGGATCTCCTGCCTCATCGGCTTCCAGGGCTTCATTGGCTGGTGGATGGTCAAGTCGGGCCTCAAGGACGACCTTTTCGCTCCAGGGTCCCACCCGCGCGTCTCCCAGTACCGCCTGACCGCCCATCTCGCTACGGCCTTCGTCTGTTACTCTTGGATGCTCCTCTCGGCCCTCTCCATCTTCCGCACCCGCCGTCTGTTGGCTGACCCCGTCGCCGCCACCAAGGCCTTTGCCGCGCTACAGAATCCGGCCATCAAGACGTTCCGTCGCCTCTCATTTGGTCTCGTCGCCCTGGTCTTCACCACCGCCATGTCCGGTGCCCTCGTCGCTGGCCTCGACGCTGGCCTCATCTACAACGAGTTCCCCTACATGGGTCTGGGCCTGACTCCGCCGTCCAAGGAGCTCTGGGACAACTTCTACTCCCGCAAGGAGGATGGCTCTGACCTCTGGTGGCGCAACATGCTCGAGAACCCCAGCACCGTCCAGCTGGACCACCGCATCCTTGCCATGACCACCCTGTGCTCCATCCTCTCCCTCTTTGCGTACTCCCGTACCCGCCGTGTCGCTGCCGCTCTCCCCAAGGACGTGAAGAAGGGTGTTCTGGGCACCGTTCACCTGGTTCTGATGCAGGCCGCACTCGGCATCAGCACCCTCATCTACATCGTCCCCGTCCCCTTGGCTGCGGCTCACCAGGCCGGCGCCCTGGCACTGCTCACCGGCGCCTTGGTTCTGGGCCACCGCCTACGTGTGCCCAAGTCCACGCTAGCCATGATCCAGAGGCGGATCAAGACTGCCAAGTCCCAATAAGCTTTCGCTCGAGCGATCTCTAAAAGTTACAGTTGCCTTGGTTAGCTACACTCTAGAAGCAACAGCATTTGCATTATGGCACCTGATTCACACGAGTAAATATGTATAACAACGCACTGTAGCAATACCCGTCGTTGGATGGGCACGGCCAGACCCTTCGAGGTGGCCTTTATGCAATTCCTGTCTATCCTATTTCAATTTTTTGTTTTTAAATAGAAGCTCAACTCCTAGACTATGGAATGTCTGCCGGATATCACTGGTAGTACCTTGATGTGCTCTCACGAGTAAACAATCATACAAGGCGATCTGTCTTGACATCCAATCCCATTGTTCCGGGCGAATCTTCTATTTGTGGGCTGTAGTTTGGCATTAGTCGAGGTTTCGTAATGACGAAAGGGTGGGGGTTTGACTCACGAATTCCCTCCTCAGGGACGGGCTTGACACCGACAACCTCGGCGGCAGAAGCCTTCTTCTCAGCTTGCTTCTCCTCCTTCATGAAGGGGAAAGCAAGCACCTCACGGATGCTGTAGTTGTCGGTCAAGAACATGACCATTCTGTCGATTCCCATGCCCCAGCCACCAGTAGGCGGCAGACCATACTCGAGCGACATGCAGAAGTTCTCGTCGATGAGCTGAGCCTCATCGTCACCCTGGTCCTTCTGGCGGGCCTGCTCCTCGAAGCGAAGTCTTTGGTCGAAGGGATCGTTCAACTCGGTGTAAGCGTTGACAATCTCCTTCTTGCACACGAAAGCCTCGAAACGCTCGCACAGACCGGGGGTCTCGCGGTGATACTTGGCAAGGGGACTCATGACCTGCGGGTGGCCGAAGATGAAGGAGGGGTTGACGCATTGCTCCTCGATGTACTCACCAACAAGCTTGTCAATCATGCGGGCGTTGGTGAGGGGCGGCGAGCACTCGAGCTTCATCTTCTTGAGAACCTTCTGGAGGAACTCGTTGGTCTCTGCGGTGTGCAGCTGGTCGGCCGGGGGAAACTTCTCGCCCGTGGCCTTCTCAAGCTCGGGGATCATCTCGAAGCGCTTCCAGGGCTTCTCCCAGTTGACCTCGTACACCTCACCGTGCTGGGTGTGGAATTTGGTCTTGTAACCGCCAGTGAGATGCTTGACGAGGCCACTGACCAGCTCCTCGGTCAAGTCCATAATGTCGTAGACATCCGCGAAGGCTTGGTAGAACTCGCAGGTGGTGAACTCGGGGTTGTGGGTAAGATCAATGCCTTCGTTTCTGAATTGGCGACCGATCTCGTACACGCGGTGGAGACCACCGACAACAAGCTCCTTCAAGTAGAGCTCGGGAGCTATTCTCATGAACATGGTCATATCCAGGTCGTTGTGGTGTGTGACGAAGGGAGCAGCGGTAGCACCGCCAGCAATGGGGCCCATCATGGGCGTCTCAACCTCGATGAAGTCTCTGTTGTCGAAGAATCTTCTGATGTAGGTGATCATCTTGGATCTGGTGATGAGGATCTGACGGCTCTTGTCGTTCATGATGAGATCCAGGTAGCGCTTGCGGTGGCGCTCCTCGTGGTCCTTGAAGCCGTAGTACTCGTCGGGGAGAGTGTGCAGGCAGGGGGTAAGGAGAACGAACTCGGTGGCAAAGATGGACAGTTCACCCTCTTCACCCTTCTCAATCTTGGACTTGGGAGCCGTGCGGCCGGGGTATCCGATGATACCAACAATGTCACCACGGCGGAGGTGAATGTGCTGGTCCTCGAAAGACGGGCTGCCCTCTCTAACCTCCTGTGCCTGGGCCATGACCTGGACCTTGACGCCCTCGGCGCGGATGTCGTAGAAGAAGAGCTTGTTGCCGGAGGCACGCTTGTTGTAGATACGAGCGCCCACGCGGACAACCTTCTCCTTGTCATGCTCGCCGGACTTGAGGTGGCCGAAGTCCTTGACGAAGTTGCGCAAGTCGTAGTCAGCTATGTATTGGGATCAGTATATAGATTCGTCCAGGGTCACGTTGCGCAAATCTCACTGTGGAACTTGTGGGGGTAAGGGTTGGGAGACTTGGTCTCGCGCAGCCTGTCGCAATATCGTCAGTCCCGATGCACGTAGCACGAAGGCCTCCTTAATAACACGCACTTGTTGATGGCGCGAGACCGGTTCTCGAAGTACTGGCTAGGGTCCAGGTTCTTCTCGTCGGCTTCGGCGTTGCCCTTCTTGGAATTGCCGGCGGGCTTGGGAGGGGCGGCAGCGGCCTTCTTGGCCTTCTCGGCTTCCCTTTGACGGGCCTTCTGGCGCTTCTTCAGCTCCGTCTTGGATACCATCTCGCCGGTGACATCATCTGTGAGAAGGTTGACGGTCTCTTCGACCTTGAGGTCCTTGACCTGTTCGGTGGGGGGCTCGGGAGCGCTAGGGTCGGCCATGATTGCGATTTGCTGTGTCACGGGGAACCTTGTCAATAATGACGATGCCGTGGAGGATTTTGGTATTGTGAATGGGCGCCCTGGTAAATTGAATCGACTCACCAAAATTTCCTGCGTCTCGCTGTCGAAGTTTTATAAAAAAATTAGTTACCAGTTGGGACGAGGGGCAGCAGTGCATTGGTTACAGCGGGGTAGTGCCATTGACTCATTTGCCCTGACTCACCGCCTTGGATGGAGGGGCAGTGACCTGTGTGGGGGAGGGGTACTTTTTACCGTGTCGTCCTTCCTACGGCACTGTTCTTTTCGCACTGCCACTTGAGAGGGTTCCCACTGCGGGTTTAGAAGGCTTTTTCTACGAGCTGAAATCTTCTAATTGGATATGTACATATGATAGTTACAATAAGGTTCACCGGATTTTGTTGGTGCAGGGAGCCATAAAAGTCGGACTATTACCAATGCCAATGCTCGCTATTCAGTTTCGCTGCAATGCAGATCCTGGGGCTTCACAATCAAGCCAAATATATATCACACCTGATAAACCTTTCTATAAACTATTAGCCAGAGTAACCTCTCAATGAGAAAGTAGACGTACACTAAAATCACTCCATGATACAGTGCCAGAACCACGCAGACTCAAGGTCAGAAACTCATGTCCCTAATAATAATGATAGACATTCCGCTCCAGGGTCTTCCAGGTTTTCAGCATCACTTTTGAATGACAGTCGTTCTAATTAATGTGAATCAATTGTGATTTTGCAATACAAGTACTATCTGAGAAGCTCTTGGCTCATCAGAACACAAATTAGACACAGCGCTAAATGTAAGATCATTCCTCCCCTTTTCTTCTATCTCTCAACTGTGCCTCTAAGATGTTATCCAACCAATGATGTTTTTCAATCAAATCAACGCATGTGAATTGCCATCCACACTTCAACAAAGTACACAACCCGAATAACGGGAACTGACATCAGTCAGACTTCCTCAAAGCAAAATATTGGTAATGGAAAAGAAACAAGACGATTGCGGCCCCTCTGAGAGCCATGAAGGAAAGAGAGTTGCCGACCTTATTGCTCAAGCATATCACATCCTGTGAGATACCTTTAATACATCATGCGAGACGTCCTATCTTACAAAATAATCAGAAATCGCATCGCTTACCGCCTTCGGGTTCTTCACCATATGCTTGCCGGTTTGAACATGAACATCAATGCCGCAGCAATCCCACCTGACGACGAAACTGCCCCAGATGTGTGGAAAGTGAATCGCCAAGCCCTCAAGTCGCAAGTTTAGTATTTTTACGATGTCGCTGGTGCAATTCTCACCATGGCATTGGCCACTGAAAACCACCTTGACGCCGGATGGTATGAGCAATTGATGAGCGATGTTCTTCATCTTCGACAGAGAATATTCCTTCTCATGACCCAGGAGCTATATGACTGCCTCGTCGGCAACGGGAAAGGAGTCAACAGACACAAGTAGCTGCGGGGGTTACTTTAATGAATCGAGGCCGTGGTAGAGGAGATGATGTTCAGGCATGGGAAGTGGCAGAGGGTGGGCGAACAAAACAAATAATTAGAGGAAATCGTAGAAGAAGTTGAAAGCGAGCCAGAAAACCCATGTCTCCCTCCTTCAAGAACAAGAACTCGTCGGGAGGCAGTCTCCATGGAATCTTACGAATCATACTTGTTCATGATTTCCTTCAACCGGTCAAGAGGCAGTGCCTCGATCTTGTGTCCACAAAAACCCGTCATTGTCTCGGCCGAGCACAAAGCGTTATATATGCTTTCTTCCGTCGAATCTGTTGCCGCTTCCAGCAGTCCATTGATAGTGCTATCGTCGATCGCCTCAATCTTCAGCGCCTTGGCCTTAAAAGGGTCACTCCTCCCCTCCCTCTGAATAGGAATATGATTTCCCGTTGAGAATGCAAGAAAGATGTCGCCGGAGGGGTTATGGCCGTAGCCGCCGACCCTCGACAGACCAACCGTTGCCCTCTTGGCAAGTCTTTCGCATTGGATCGGTGTCAGAGGAGCATCGGTCGCAATGATGACGATGATGGAACCATCCTTCTTGTCCTTGTGACGTGCCACATCGGCTTGGGCCTCGGCTTTCTCCTTCTCGAGTACACGGCCAACAGGGAAGCCGCCAATTCGTAGGTGACCCGCCCTTCCATAATTGGCCTGCACAAGCGCGGCGACGGTATAGTTCTTTTTGTTGCCCTCGCTGTCGTAGCCTTCAACAAGACGACTGCTGGACCCTGTTCCGCCCTTGAAATAATGGCAGATCATACCCGTGCCGCCCCCGGTGTTGCCCTCGGAAACAGGTTCATCTGTCACTGCCTCAATTCCTTTGACAATGTCGGATGATTTGACCGCCAGCTTGGAGATATTGTTCAGGTACCCGTCGAAAGTCTCGCCAACTACCGGCAACAGGAACCACTCCACTTCGCCTTTATCGTTGGAATAAAGTTTTGTGGCGTGCTCGTAGATGCCACGGTAGGCATCGCCAACCGAGAACGAGTTGGTGAGTACGATGGGACTAGAAAGGAGGCCAGTCTCCTCGATCCAATGGGAGCCGGTTAGCTCCCCAGAGCCGTTGAAGCGAAAGATACCAGCGTAGCAGGCCTCGGTGAACCAGTTCCGGCGAGGGACGATGACGGTCACGCCGGTGTTGACTCCGTCTTCGGTGTGGATGCTCTGCGTGGAGGCCAACACGCCTGGAACGTCCGTAATGGAGTTCTTGGGCCCCGCTGGCCATGTTCCTAGGTGAAGTTTCGGAAGGATATCGCGGATACGGCCGCGGGGAGTTGACTGGGGGGTCATTTGGACGCTGTTGGCTGGAATGATATTGGGATACCGAGATACAAGAAGATGGCCGTGCAATTCAACTCCTCAACCTCCAGTCACAATTGTGTCGGGTTGCGGCTCATTTTGTACCAACGAGCATGATACATACCTCGATTTCCACTTATATTGACTGACTGCTCATACCTCGATTTCCACTTATATTGACTGACTGCTCATACCTCGATTTCCACTTATATTGACTGACTGCTCATACCTCGATTTCCACTTATGTTCACTGACTGCTCATACCTCGATTTCCACTTGTATTCACTGAGCAGTCAGTCAGTCACCACGCTCCTTGCAATAGTCCGACTTTTCCGGGTGAGGGATCTAATTGGCACTCACATCTGACTCACACGGAGAGTACATTGTGGTCCATTGGCCAATAACGCAGTTTACCCGCTCGGCGAACTCTTTTGGGCAGGTGGGTTGGAGTAACGTTGCGGATACGAGGGATGATTACGCTACCGGCTTGCGCTTCCAGCGGGGTTATTGCAAATGGGCCGATCCACATAGTTCTATGCTGGTAGTCCCAGCTATGCTTGCGGAAGCGTTGTTTATCGCCGAGTTGAAATTGGTGTTAATGCGATATGAGATATATACTCCGTACCTCGGCAAAGGACCCCACTTACCGCTTGGCCGGCAAGTGGGGCCAGTATGCGGGGAAGCTGCTCCAATAGCTGGGGAAGCTGGCTACCGGTATGGTAGGCATGAGGTCTCAAGACAACTAGTCTGAGCGCTCTGTGCGGAGGTGGTGCAGGGCGTCAAGACCGACATCGCTCCTTTCATCGCACGTTGCTGCTTCACATTCCCCTCGAGCCGTCATCTCTCGTATCTCGTCTCTCGTCCCTCACCTCACATCTGGGAGCAGTCTTTGGCCACAATTCTTACACCTAAATCTGACATATCGCGTAAACAACTGACTACCAGCACACGCATCTACATCAGTCATGACGCCCTCACTTCGAGTCGTTCCCAACGTACGTTTCTTCCACTTCCGGTCCAGCTTTTCGCTTACGATGCCTCCAGGCCGCGTCTCGTGCCGTCTCCCTTCTGCGGACGATCCAGGCCCATCCCCCTTCATGCCCGTGTCACACCAACCCTGGCCATCACCACCACCATAACCCATTGAACTTCACCCCGCGACCCTTGCGAACAAGAAACAGCAGCCGCGGGTTTGCCACCCCGGTGGATGGACCTCAGAAAGAGTATGCTTTCGAGATGGCAGCCTCCTCCATTCGCTTCGGCCCGGGCTCTACTCAGGAGGTCGGCATGGACTTCGCCAACATGGGCGCCAAGCGCGTCGCCGTAGTCACCGACCCTGTCGTTGATGGTCTCTTCGCCATGCAGCAGGTCCGCGAAGCCCTTGACCGCGAGGGAATCAACTACAAGGTCTACAACCAGACCCGCGTCGAGCCCAAGGACAGCAGCATCCGCGAGGCCATTGACTGGGCCCGTCCCTTTTCCCCGGATGCCTTCTTGGCCGTCGGTGGCGGCTCCGTCATTGACACTGCCAAGCTGATGAACTTGTACTCTTGCTACCCAGACGCCCCCTTCCTTGACTTTGTCAACGCGCCCCTCGGCAACGGACGTCCCGTAGATAAAGCGCTTAAGCGCCTTATCGCCGTGCCCACTACCGCAGGAACCGGCTCCGAGACCACGGGCACCGCGATTTTCGATCTTGTCTCTAAGCGTGCCAAGACGGGCGTCGCCCACCGCAACCTCAAGCCCACGCTTGGCATCTGCGACCCGCTCAACACTCGTACCATGCCCGCCGCTGTCAAGGCGGCCTCGGGCCTCGATGTGCTCTGCCATTCTCTTGAGTCCTGGACTGCCATCCCCTACTACGAGCGTGTGCCCCGGCCCAAGAATCCCATTTTACGACCGGCGTACCAGGGCGCCAACCCCATCAGTGATGTCTTTTCCTTCCACGCGCTGAGGGCTACAGTCAAGTACCTTCCCCGTGCCGTCAAGAACCCAGATGATTACGAGGCGCAGAGCGAGATGCTCCTCGCTGCGACGCTGGCTGGTGTTGGATTCGGTAACGCCGGCGTCCACCTCTGTCACGGTATTTTGCTTCGAAACGCCCCAGAGTGAACTGAACGTAGCTAACTCGAGTCTTCAGGCATGTCGTACCCTATTTCGGGTCAGAACCCAGGATACCAGCATGCTGGCTACAAGGTTTCCTACCCCATCATCCCCCACGGCGTATCCGTTGCCGTCACCGCACCCGCCGTCTTCCGCTTTACAGGCGCCTCCAACCCGGAGCGCCACCTGCAGGCCGCCGAGGTTTTTGGTGTAGACATCTCGCGGGTCCGCAAGGAGGATGCTGGCGCGGTGCTCGCCGACGCGTTGACAAAGTTCCTCGCGGAGCTCGGTGATCAACCGGCGGGCATCAAGGCGCTGGGCTTCGGCACTCAGCACCTGGATGATCTGGTGGAGGGAACGATCCCTCAGGCCAGGGTGTTGATGATGGCGCCGGGATTGGAGACGGAGTTGGAGAAGGAGAGGGAGCAGTTGAGGGGCTTGTTTGAGGATGCTTTGGTGCACTCATGATGTTGGCGAGAATTGTCGTGAACTGCAGAGCATAGGAACCGGATTTGATCACGAGATCTTGGGTAACGAAAAAGGAGAGCTGGCTTACGCTGTGTTATCCTGCCTGGGCTGCGGTGCTGGGGACTGGTCCCAGGGAACAGTTGTGCTGACGTTTCATCACGCATTGTCAAAATGATCGACCCCAAAACTGAAGCAGTAAAAGTGCTCGATTCAAAACAGCGGCGAATATGCAAGAAAACCCTTTTTTTCGACTGATGGCCGTAAATGATATATATATATATATATATACAATGCAGTTATTACAGCTAACCACCCCAGTAACAATCCCAGCGGAAGGGGAGAGCGCTCTAGTACACCTCGAGGACGTAGCGGCCATCTTCCTTAAGCTTCTCAATCTCGTTGCGGGCGTTGACCTTCTTGCCGCTCATCTTAGCCTCGGTGTTGATGGCCTCCATCAGCACGTCGGTGACGTCGGGTACGGGCCAGGTAGGGCCGCACAAGTAGAAGCTGCCCTCGTCGCGGATGTACGACTGCACGACGTCGCGCATGGACTCGCGCATACGGTCCTGGATGTAGATCTTGCGGGGCTGGTCGCGGGAGAAGGCGGCGCCGAGGTGGGTGATGACGCCGGCGTCGACGTAGGCCTCCCACTCCTCGCCGTACAGGTACTCCTCGCGCTGGTGTCGGGAGCCGAGGTAGAGCAGGATGGAGCCGATCTCCTCGCCGCGGGACTTCTGCAGGGCGCGGTACTGGACGAAGGCGCGGAAGGGCGCCAGGCCGGTGCCGAGGCCGGCCATGATGAGGGGCGCCTTGGGGGAGGCGGGCAGCTTCATGACGGAGGGCTTGACGGAGGCGACGACGGTGGCGCCGACCGGGAGGGCGGAGAGGTAGCGGGTAGCGTGGCCGAAGCGGTTGCGGCCGCGGGGGTCGACCCAGTCGACGACGACGATCATGAGGGCGACGGAGTTGGGGGTGACGGCCTGGGCGGATGCGATGGAGTACTCGCGGCGCTTGAGCGGGGAGATGATGCGGGCGAGGTCGTGGAACGCGGGGCGGGCCGAGGGGAACTCCTGGAGGATGTCGACGTAGGTGACGTAGTCGACCTCGGCGCGCTTCTTGAAGTCGGCGGCGCCCTCGGCGCCTCCGAGGCTGGCCAGGACGGCCTTCTCGCGCTCGTCCGAGGCGAACTCGGACAGGGCCTCGTAGAAGCGCTTGGGCGGCTTGCCGAGGACGTCGATGTTCTGCTTCAGGGACTGGTAGACGGTGCGGGTCTCGAGGGCGTTGGGGTCCTCGCGGGCGGGCACCTGGACGACTGCCTCCGGGTCGAGACCGTACCACCCGATGAACTCGCGGACCTCATCCTCGTCGTTCTCGGCGTGGATGCCGAGGGCCTCGCCGATGTTGTAGGTGAGGCCCGAGTCGCCGAGGTCGAACTCGATGTGGAAGATGTTTCGGTCGTAGGTCTGTGGGGTGAGGCGGCGGTTCTCTTTGACGGTGATGGTGTGCGTCTTGACGGGGAGCTCTGGGCGGAGCGAGGTCTGCGTGCCGTAGGCCTCCTTGAAGGCGAGCCCCTTGGCGACGGACTGCCAGTCGGCAAGCTGGGGGGTGTCCTCGGGCTCCTCCTTGTCGAAGCCGACGAAGCTGTTGGGCTTGATGGTTGCGGGGAGGGGGCTGGCGACGACGTCCGCGGGCAGTTCGGCCCAGGCGGCCTGGGAGTCTACCTTGCGCAGGGACTGGCCGAGGGCCTCCTGGGTCTCAGTCAAGGAGAGAGCGAAGCCCTCGGAGAGGGCGATCTTGGCGACCTCCTCGGCGGTGATGTCGGGGCGGGCGACCTGGAGGAAGGCGAATTCCAACAGGACCTTGGCAGCCTTGGCCTCTTTCTCGGAGACGGTCGACTGGGTGGTGTCGAGGACATAAAGCTCGACCGACTTGTCCCGGACCTGTTTGAGGATGACGGCGGAGAGGCGTTTCTCGAGGTCCTCCTCCTTGAAGCCAGGGAGGTTCAGGAGCAGCTTGCCGCCGGCCTTGACACTCTTGAGAATGTCGAGGTCCTTGAAAAGCTTCTCGTCGCCGACGGCGACGACGTCGGCCTCCTCGACGGCGTACGGGGCTTCGATGGCCTTCTTGGAGCTGCGGATGTCCGTACGGACGACGCCGCCCTGGAGCAGGTTGTCGAATGACTCGTGGACATAGACGTTGCTGGTGGACTCGCGGGAGAGCAGGTTGCTGACCACGACGGGGGCGTCGGCGACAACGGAGCTATCGACATCCCAGAAGGTGTACTGATGGGCCTGGACGAGGGCCGGGAAGGGCTTGGGCTCGGCGTTGGCGTCGAGGAGCTTGCCGAAGATGTCGGCAATGGCCTGGGGAGTCGGGGTCTCCGAGGCGGCGTACTTGACGTCCGAGACCGCGGGGTCCTGACGCCACTTTCCGGAGAAGGAGACGGAGGCCAGGACGTCGGTGTAGAGGGCGGACTGCAAGGAGGCGTCGTTGACGGACAGCTCATCCTTGACCTGGCCCAGGACGGCAATGGTCCTGGCGGACTCGGGGATGCTGGCGAGGAACGCCTCCTCAACAAAGGGCCGATAGACGCGAACGTTTACGGCGCCGACCTTGACGCCGTCGGCGGCCAGGCGGCCGACGACCTGCTTTGCGAGCTGTGCCTCGGCGCTGCCGAAGACGACGAGGACGGCGTCGGCGTCGCTGTGTCCGTGGTACTCAAACAGGTTGTAGGCGGTGCCGAGCTCGTTGTTGAAGAGCCTCAGGAGCTCGACAACCTTGCCGGCATCATCGAGCCTCTTGTTCAGGGACTGGACCTCGGACGAGATCTTCTTGTACGTCTCGGCGACGCCCTTCTTATTCAGGGCGTCAGAGGCCTCGAGGGTCTTCTTGGCCAGCTTGACGCCGTCCTCGACGCCCAGGTTGGGGGTGAGGGCGGTCATGAGGGTGGCCAGAAGGGCCGTGTGCTGGCTCTCGTGGTCCTCGGTGGGGTCGAGGTGCTTGTTGAATACGTCCAGGAGCCCGGCTACCTTGGAGGAGATGGCGGCCCTCTCGCTGACGCCGGTAGACTCGGAGGTGATGCTGTTGTACAGGTCCGCGATGCCGCTCCGGCTGAGGGCATCGACGATACGCGAGGTCTCGCGGGCGAGCCTGACACCGTCGTAGATGTGCAGGGTGGGCATCAGGGCGGCCATGAGGGTCGCGAAGAGCGCCATGTGCTGCGTCTCGTAGGCGCTGGAGCTGGCGACGAGACCGAGACCTAGGTCCTCGGCGGTCCGCAGAGCGGTGTCGTAGTCGGGCACCAGGCCGTTCGCGACATCGTAGTCGAGTGCCGCGACGTGGGCAACAAAGGGCGGGGCCACACCGTACAGCAGGCTCAGCTGGTCCAACGCGCCGCGCAGGTTCTTCAAGCTCAAGCTGGGAGTGAGCAGGGTCTGGGGCAGGTGCCTCTTGGCCAGGTCAAAGTCTGGGCTGAAGATGTAGCCCAGGGCGAGGGCGCCAGCACCGGTCCTGGTCTGCAGCTGGACGAGGTCGGTGGTCTCGCCGTGGATGTTCTGCTCCTTGGCCTCGGACCAAACCTTGGCGGCGAGGTCGAGGTCGAAGGTCGGCGCTGAGTAGGAAAAGATCTTGTCGGATAGCAGAAAGGCGACCTGCTGGACGAGCAACTGGGCCGTCACGTAGGTAGGCCCGGAGATGGAGGAGAGAGCCACGGGCTGGCCGAATGGGAGGGTGGAAGAGACCTTGTTCTGGGAGGCGGAGGAAGTATGCGACTTGGGGGCGTCGAGCACGGCTGCGGAGCCGTTGCTCTCCTGTTGCTTGAACTGCATTTTGGGAGGTTTTCGAGACAGGAAGTTGGGAAAAACAACAAGCGGAAGACAATGCGACTGATGATGGCCCAGGATATACGAAGGACCAGGAGATAGAACCTTAGCACTTGTAAAAGAATAGTGGCTACAGAAGCGATTGGCACACTCAAGAGCAAGTAAACTTCACTTGCGCCAACCCGAACGAGAGCCAAAAGGAGCTTCTTCGTTCCTAGGAGGCAGGACCTTGAGGTTTGTGGTAGGAAAAAAAAGAGAAAGGTGCGAGTGAGCGATGAAGTATAGTCTCGATAGACTACAAGCAGGATCCGAGCATATAAAAATAAAAAACACCAAAGAGATGACGGGACAAGGGACCTACCTCTCCACGCGTAACCACCGAGTACCGAGGAAAAAAGAGCATGGCCATTTGTCAAGCAACAGGGGACCGGGCCTTGGGCAGCGCCGTTGGCGTCTGCCTCTCTCACTCTCTCTCGTGGACTCTTTTCCAATTTGGCGTGCGAAACTCGGCGTTTGGGAACTTGGTGAAGCTTAGAGAATTGCGACTAAGGAACAATTGCGCCATCGCGCGCCAATGAGCGCCCCGGCTGCACATGCGACGGGCCCACATTGCACCATTTCCGATCCACTCGAGCCCCCCCGGATCGGTGGCACTTGGATTACCAAACCCATCTGGTCTGGGCTTCGCGATTGCGTGCTCGACCGTCCGGAAATGCAAAGCCTCTTGTTGCGGCCCTTTCGCCCCCATATTCGACAACTCCTCGGTGGCAATCCTTCCTCCCGGCGCGTACCTCACAGACCTCGAGGCTGTCGGTCATCCCGCCCCGGCTCTCGGGCGGGCGGTACCCGCTCGGTGACGGTACCGGCTTCCGCTCCCGGCGAGACCAAGATGATGCGACGAATGCTCAGCACCTGGATTCCCAATAATCCAGACGAGTCCAAGAAGGTGGGGCTCATAAGTGATAGCCATTGTCGGGTTCCCAAGTGCTAGACTAAAGGCAGTTGGAGGAGGATCTGGTTGCTTCGAGGTAATACCTCCAACGCCATTTCATGTCAAGGAAGAAGGCGAGACACCATTACACATCTTGCTCGCTTCTTTGTCCTTCGTATTCTCGGCTCAGTTGCAACCTTTGACCGGAGCAAACAAATATATCAGAAGCATTTGTAGCAACAAAGTCATTGAACGGCGCAGCGCTTGTTTCCTCGCCTGTTCACCCCGAAAGAGACGCAAAGACTAGTCGGTACAGCAGCATCTGCCCCGACACGCGTCTTCTCTTTCCTGTAACCATGTTCTCGCTTTCTCTCTCTCTCTCTCTCTCTCTCTCTCTCTCTCTCTCTCTCTCTCTCTCTCTCTCTCTCTTTTTGCGCTTCCTTTTCCCCCTGGGCAACGGCTCAACTGGCTATCGCCTGCGCCCAGCTTCTCTTACTTTGACATAATTAGTAGAGAAGATCCTAGAATGAGCAACCTAGTCATCGGCGCATGTGCGCAACAACGTCTTCTCGTATATCCCTGGGACGCATATCGCAAGTCGGAACTTGATGCTTTTCACGATTGAATCTACTGTACAGCTGCTCTATATCAATACAAAACGCAATAATGCACCCTCCATTACTCAATCTTCTTCGCCCGGAACCCTACCCATGGGACCTTACTCCTCAAGGCCAAAGAGCTCAAGACCACACTGATACTGCTCAATGCCATTGCCAGACTAGCCCAAACCGGGTCCAGCCGCACATGTTGCCCTCCACTCGTCGTAATCGGATACAAACATCCTGCGGCAATTGGGATCGCGAGGATGTTGTAGATGACTGCCCATCCAAAGTTGACTTTGATGCGCCTAAACACCGTTCGGCTGAGCTCTAGCAGCGTTACGACCGCGCGTAAGTCGCTGGTGACGAGGACAAAGTCCGCACTCGAGATGGCCACGTCGCTGCCGCTTCCTATGGCAATACCGACGTCGGCCTTGGTCAGCGCAGGGGAGTCGTTGATGCCGTCACCGACCATGGCGACCATTGCGCGGTTCCTAGCATGCTCGCGGGTTCGCCCGACGCGTGCCTTGAGGACCGTCTGCAGGTACGTGATCTTGTCCGCCTTCTCCCAAGGAAGGACCTCGGCCAGAACATTCTCCGGGTCGATGCCCACGAGGTTGGCCACAGCCTTGGCGGTGACGACGTTGTCGCCGGAGAGCATCCAGACGCGGGTTCCTTGTTCCTGGAGCGCCTTGACGATGCGGACTGCCTCCGGGCGAATGGGATCAGAAATGGACAGGGCTGCGACGAGGGTCCAGCGGGCGTCGGGCTTGGCCATGGTAGGTCTGACAGCCACCAGAGCGACCGACTTGGCCTCACTCTTCCACTTTTGAAGCTGATGAGAGACATGTTCAGAGAAGTCGGCAGCGTGATCGCGCATGAGAGATTCGTTGCCCACAATCATGTCGAAAGTCTCCTCTGGCTTCTCTCCGCGGTTTGTCGCCTTCATGCCCTTGCCTGGGAGCTCCTGGAGATTATCGACGTGGACCCAAGCGTCCGTCTGTGCGATGCAGAACGACACAATCGCCTTTGCCACCGGGTGGCTGCTGTTCTCCTCGATTGCTCGCAAGGTAGCCCAGACCATGCTAGACTCCAGGCTCGTGCCGTCTTCTGTGTCGAGATATAATTTCGAGTCGGTGACCTTGGGCTCTCCGCCGGTGGTCAGTGTACCAGTCTTGTCGAAGACGACAACGTCAACGTTGCTGGCCTTTTCGAAAGCCTCTCCTCCTCCCTTGGCGAGGATACCATGCTTCGCGGCGAGACCGCCACCGACGAAGATGGCCGTCGGAGCCGCCAGTGCCAGACCACAAGGGCAAGCAACAACAAAGACGGCAATAGCGAACTGCAGAGCAAAGGCCGCCCATCCGCTCTCCGAGTCAAGGTACCGTCCAGGAACAACACCAGTGTATCCGAGAATCATCCAGGTGAGCCAAGTGAGAACGGCAATCAGAGTGATGATAGGGACAAAGTACGCCGTCAGCACATCAGCGACGCGCTCCATAGGCGCTCTCTTGGTCTGTCCCTCGCGAACGATAGAGACAATCCGATCCAGCATGGACGCTCCAGCAGCACCCGTGATACGAATCTGAATGGCAGAGTCCTTGTTGACAGTGCCGGCATGAACCTCGTCGCCAGGAATCTTCTTGATCAACCGGGACTCGCCCGTCAAGCTGGACTCGTCGAAGCTGCTCTCCCCCTGGACTACAATGCCGTCTGCCGCAGGCGAAGCGCCATGGGGCACGCGAACGATGTCACCGTACTCGAGCATGTCCACGCCAACAACCGAGTCGCTGGTCTTTCCAATGGAATCTTTGGTGACGAGAATGGCAGTGGTCGGACGCAGTTTTCCCAGCATCTCAACAGCGTCACCTGTCTTGGACTTGCTGTAAGACTCGATCAAACGGCCCAGCAGGAGGAACAGCGTAAGGAAAACGACCGAGTCGAAGTAGAAGTGAGTGTCGTCGATCTCAACAGGCTTGCTGATAGCAGCAGAAATCATCTGGCCTATGGACGAGACGTAGGCGATGGTTGTGCCGAGAGACATGAGCATGTTCATGCTTCCGAACTTGTAGAAACGTCGAAGGATGGGCGTCTTACTTCCCCGACGCCACAAGTTCCTGATTTCCTTGACGGCTCGGGTATGGAATACGTCGGCTCCGAAGAAGTAAACAGGCGTGGCGAGAACGAACAGGGCAAACTGCGCTCGGTTGAGACCCGAAGTCCATGGCTTCATGAGGTAATGCTTGCCATGGTCCGAGTCGGGAACCAGGCTCATGTACACGATTCCAATGATGAAAGTGGGAATAGTCACCAGGAAAGTCAAGTAGACTCGTCGGAGAAGCTGTTGTTGGTGCTTTTGGGTGATGAGTTTGGATCGCTCTTCGAGACTGGGAGGGTGGTAGATGGACGCCTTGAACGAAGGGTCGGCGGCATCGACGGCGGACAGAATGTGCCGGATGGTGAAGGACGGGGCTTCTGGTGTGTATCTGACGGTAACCAGAGGCTTCTCGTGAGTAGGCTGAGAAACGACCTTCAGTTGATGCGTGAACGATGTGAGAGAGTGCGTCACTCGGCTGGGACAGTGTTGACAGTAGAGGCCCTCGATCAGAATCTGGACAGTACGCTGCTGTGCGCCCTTCTCCTCAGACCTGACCCTCGTTACGGTATCCAGGGTTGCGTCGTATCCCATGTCGTCGATGGACTGGACGATCTCGTCCTGCTTGCCCTCAACGGTGTAGTCGATCGTGGCATTGTTCGCAACCAGGTTTACCGAGACATTGGAGATCCAATCCTTCTTACTCAACTGTTCTGTGATGGTGTTGGCACAGGAGGCGCACGTCATGCCGCCGATAGCCACAGTCAACCTCCACTTTTTGCTCTCGCCGTCTTCTTCACTGTCTCCATCGGCATTGTCGGCGAATTCTGTGAGAGTGTCGAGGTTTGCATCATAGCCCATGTCTTGAATGGCCTCGGCAATCCTCGCGGCATTCGACTTGTCAGCAAAGTCGACCGTGGCGCTGTTGGTGACCAGGTTGACGGCGGCACTGTCGATCCAATCCCGTTTGTTCAGTTCCTCTCTAATGGTGTTTACGCAAGATGCACAAGTCATGCCGCCGACAGAGAAGGTCGCTCTCCATTTTGTGCCGTTTGATGTCATGTCCCTCACAGTGGCAACGCCGTTGCTTTTGCTCCTTGATTTCCGCAGGCCGTTCTGTTGCGGTGTTGTATGTGATGGCGCACCTCGATCCTCGCTATGAAACGAGTCCTCGGATTCACGGCACTGCTTACAATTGAGAATATGGGCCTCCCGCTGGGCTTCGGGTGATTCCCTGGACCATCTAGGCGAGAAGCAAAGCAGCCCGTCAAGGGCACTGCCGTGAGCGGGAGCATCCGCCACGGGTTGCGGTTGGCTCTGAGTGATTGCCTCTAGGTCCGTGTCGGTAGCAGCCGTGGTAGTGACACCGCAGATCTCAAAGCCAGCATCTTGAAGTGACTTGGCCATGCATCGGATGGTGATGTCAGGGGTTGGCGTGTGTCTGTGTTCAATGGTGACGACGGAAGTGACAACGTTTGGTGAAACCCATATGACATCGTGGCCAGATGATTCCTGAAGAGCCTGCTGGATCGAAGAGACACATGACGGACAGTGTAGGTTCGCCAGCAGGAAGGAGGTAGTGATGCGGGAGCTCCTTCCGTCGTCCATAGTGACAGGTCTGCAGACTGGTCAGTCAAAGAGTCTTGTGATAGTGGTCGTGGTTGTCGCTCTAGTATCTGCGCCTGATATACGAAGGAATCGACAGGCACGGTACACAAGGGAGGTGAGCGCGGTGCTGGACAGCTGCCAGGAATGTAGCGAGATAGCTGTCAGTGAGTACGAGCTTACCGAAAGGGTGACGGAAAGATATCAGATGGTTGAATGTGCGACAGAAAGATGCCCCCTCCGGTCAGGAGTCAGCGGCTATCTTCCCTGTGATGAGTATTCCTGCGGTTCGGTACAGGAGGTATACAGGAGACTCTCGAGGTTGATAATGGAATGAAGCAAAAATTTCAGGGTCGATTGATGGGGAAAGAATGGATGGATATGGTGTTGTTTGTGCTGCGAGCACCGTGTCCGATTTTTCCCAGTGTCTGTCTGACCGTGCAGGCCCCGATTCCGCTCAGGGGGAAGGAGATGAATGAAAAGCACCAGGAAAATGGAATCTACGGTTTCATATCTGGTGCCTGGCCATTGCTGCACATTGGTTTGACTTTTTAAAAAACAACTTAGCGGCAATCGTGCTGCTTTGAAATAAATGCTTGACAGATTTCGGTCTTGCCTCTTTTGGGTGCGCGTTTTGTGCGGTGCAGAATTTCTCAGGTGTTAGAGTCAGCGGCTCACTATGCCGCTCCTCAACAAGCACAGTATACACACTGTAATGATGTCCGTGGGTTAGAGACATGGCCACTGTGACTGCACTGTGGTTCAGGCACAAAAAGCGCAAGTTCTGACGTAATCTGCTCAAAACGGGTCTGTTCGAGTTTCATTCTGCTGTCTTCAGGGGCGCAGGACAGGCACGTTGACACGTCAAACCGAGCGCGCTTGTGGCATGGACCTGCTAGGAAACGACGTGAAGCTTCCGACGACATTCCATCTTCGCAGCACCCAAGCTGATATGCCATGGTGTAGCGTAAACGCACTATACCTACTACTGTGTATCCGTACACTACAAAATTCAGTTGCAAATCTGGCCTGCAGCGCCTAAGCGTCTCTCTCCGCAATGCGCTAACCGCTAGCCGCAGTTGGATCCACTCGGCTCCCGGTTTCTACTTGAAAGCACTTGCAACACCCACCTAAGCAGTCCAACCCTCCCCCACGGATCCGTCGTTCCTGTCGATCTCGGAACCTGCCGTTCGAACCTCTTGGAGTTGTCGTCGTGAGCAAGTCGCTGGCAATCCAGGTCCCTTTGCTTCTCGAGACCGTGCGGGAGGGTGCAACACGCCGCCTATCCTCTACCTGGGCGATGGTGCTGGGCAAGGACGGAGCCCACAAGGTGAGTGGATATGCCACACGCAGGGGCTGGCCCACGAGCAACCTTATATTGTGCCGGCATCCGAAATGGCCCTGCAGAGTGCTCTGTTGCGTCCGACTGTGAATCGTCTATGCATCTATGCAGGGGCACCAAGAGGGACTTGCTTGGTAGGAGCTCGCTAGGGCACACACCTTCCAATCGTCCGGGTCACAGGATACTTGACCGACGCACAACGCGAACGTATTCGAAACAAGATGGCCTATCGAGTTTGACGATAAGAAACGCAGTTCGAGCCAGGGTTGTGTCGAGACTGGATAAACCGCTGAGGCTGCGGACGCCCTTGACACTCCACGATCATAATCGACAGACATGGCGTTGGACGTGGTATTAAGCCTCTGTAATTGTCAACGACGGGCTGATCAGCATACTTTCAGCGTCCTTGCCTGTGATCCGGCTTTCTGGGTACCATATACGGGCTGCGCCAGCTTCAGCCTGTCCAGAATGGTTGAGGAATAGTGTACCCTAAGGTTTTTTAATGGCTGGTAACGAGAATCTTTCCCATGCTTGTGTCGCCAAGAAAACACAAAAGCATTGGTGACTATGCGATGACGCCCTCGACCTCGACCATCCTCCCGTTGGTATTCGTGAGGCTGAGCCGGCGCAGCACCGCTCAGCGGGCTGTTAGGGTTTAACAGAGCCTTGGAACAAAGTGGCGCAGGCAAGCAAGATTTCACACAGCTACTCGGGGTTGTTTGAAGAGGTGCGCGTGTGACCAAGGTAAACGAATGAATGGTGAGAGCCACGTCGGCAATGAGCCTAGACGATGATGCCCGCAGCAGACCCAGTTCTCGGTTTGCCCAGACGGAGCACTCGGGGCTTGCAACGCGGCCGTGTGTGGCGGAACCTCGGACTACCAGACAAGGATTCGGGTGGGTGGAACTGTGCACGAAGCGACCTGTGAAACGGCCCCGTCTACGAATCCGGGAGGGGTGAAGAGGGGGCGCGGTTATGCCAAAACCGCGGCACCACGGGCGTTGGGTAAGCTGATAGGCATACTCGTTAACCAACAACAAGGAACTTCCGTAATGCATTGCGCACATCAAGCGGCACAGGTGGCACATAGTGCATTGCGGGAATGGTTCAACCTCTCTCACTCAATAGACAGGCATCTGACAGCCAAGCTGGTTGGCTCCGACCTCGTGACTCATCCCCAGCCCCCGATCCGGACTACAGACCCGCCCCGACCGCCCGCCGGCCAGCCACGGTGAGTTCCTCCCTCGCCCACAGGCACGACACGGGCAGGCCTCCCCTAGGCACTAAGGGTATGATGGCTACCTGCTACCTCTGCAAAACATCCCTCATCGACACGGTCGTGGACTGTGGACATGGACGGAAACTTCATCCACTTTCGCGAATGACTCCCCAGCGCCCGCTTTAACAACGATGCACATAGGTAGTAGATTCGATCCGCCCGCGTTGGGTCGGAGCCTAACTAGATCCTGATTCCTGCCATCGGCACCCCCCAGCCACATCCTCCAACGAATGTTGCACGCCCGACGACGCCCACATACACAGACACACACACACACACACACCCCTCTGTCGAACCCCCTGACCGACTTTTCCCCCCCTTCCAAAGGGACAACGGGTACACGTCCACATCCAAAGCCCGAAAATGGCCAAGGATTCGGTGCATCTGCAACGATAACGGCTGTTGGTTTTCCTCACCTACCTGGTCAAGGATTCGTCCCGTACGGAGCACACACGTGTACCGTCGCCGACAGGCAAGATCCCCGCGTCCCGTCCGCAAGGCCAGGACGCCTAAGCAGGCAGGCATAAGGATCGAAGAAGACGGTATACCGCCCTCCTCGCCGTACAATACCGGTACCCTCCCTACCCAAACCCTTATCGAAAAACGTGTCCGGATTGGGCCCCTGATGGTGACACTTGTCAGTGACGGAGCTTGCATGCTGCATTCCGGAACCTTGTTCTGTATCGCCCATTCTGCCATGCATGGCATGGCATGGCAGTTTGACAAAACCTCTTTTTGCACTCGTCTCCAGACCGTTATTCGTCGACCGTGGGAAAGAAAAGAGACGCGGGCGAAAGGGTGTTGCAAAAAAACCATCTTTTGATTTACACTATACATGCCACAGTGAGCATTTTGGCTACCCCCCTACACGACGTCATGAACCACATTCCAGTCGAAATTTCCCGCTCTGGAAGCAGAAACGAAACGCCTCCCGTGGGAACGACGAAGGCCCATTGTTTCCGGGATCCCCCCACAAGCCCGCCCCCTTCTTCAACAACTCCAAGATCAACGCCCGAAACCCTCGGAAGGGCGGTGTCCGTCGGCGAACCCTTATCCCTCCAGACCTGCTAGCTCCGTACGTACTTTACCTATGTAGGTAAATTAGAGCGGCAAAGATGATTTGGCCTCTCGCCCACCGCCCAGATCAGAAAGACCGCCCCAAAGGCCCAGGCCTTTTCTCCCGAATCCACTCACCAGCACCCGGCGTTGTCGACCGCTAGTCTCGCCTGACTTCTACCCCCGTGTGGTCCCCGTTCCGTCCGTCCTTCCGTCCCAGCCCGTGCATTTAGATCTCTCTCTCTCTTTCATGAGTGTCTCTCCCATCACGCTCCGCCCCCCTCTCCCTTTGCCTCCTTGGCCTTTTCCCCGTTCGAGATTCAAAAAAGGAGGAGAGGAAAAAGCCCCGTCTCCGGTTTGCAGAATGCATCCACCATAAACGGCGTTCCCCGCGTCATCCGCCTTCGGAAATCCAAAACCCATTCCCTCCGCTAATGCTAACCGCAAGCCATCGTCGGCACATAACAAGCCCCGCAGCGAACAAGACCGTTGCGACCAGTCCGTCGGCCTGCGATCATGATTCTCCCGCCCCCCCCCCCCCCCCCCCCCCTCTCAAGCCCGGGTTGGGGGAAGAAGGGGACTGTGTTTTTTTTTGTGTGCCTCCCCTTTCCCCAATAACATTAAACAACAAGTAATTTAAGAATTGAAAAGGCCTCCTGTGCATATATCGCGCGCACATACACCCCCCCCCCTCGTGTGATAAGGTTGTAGCAAGATTTAAACAACCCGACTCATGTCCGCGGGGGAGGAGGAGGAGGAGGAGGGGGGGTGTGGCTGTTGGTTCCTCTCACGACCGTCGGTGCAATATCGCGAACATGGGAGGAAAGAGGCCGATAAACTCTCGCGCACCCAGACGTGCATCGTCGCGCCAGGCCAAACACACTCCCTCTCGGGACCACTAGGGTAAAAGGGCAGAGGAGGATCGCTGGCTATGTCTTCTAATTCTCCGCCACTCTTTTTTCGTGCAGAAGGACTCGGGCGAAGCACAGGCACTAAGAAGTGGTTTTTCTGTGGGAAAAGATATTGAACTCGGCACAGGCAGCGGAACGTGATCGAATGCGTACCTCTTCGAGAATCCATGAAAGCAAAGGGGAACAGGGGAGAAGAAGAGAAAAAAAACCCCCAGCAGGCAGACTGACATGGGGGGCCGTCTAGATGACCGCAGCGCAAGCATGCCCAATGTCTCGCATGTGAAGCTGAATGCAATCCATTTCAGGCCCGCTGCCCGCACCCCGCTGGCCGCATTCGCAATCACGAGGGCATCAACTGAGGAGGTAAGCCGCCGCTAGCGTCAACCGTTCTCGACCACCCACCCGGAACTCAGACTGGCCCAGACTGCAAGCGGGGGAGAGAGAGACTGTTGTTCACGAAATCAAAAACTCGGGACAGATGCAATTGTTTGGGAGCGGCTATGCCGCCATGTTTGTATTTGATGGGTGATATCTTGCATCTTGTCAACCCCGGGCGTATTTCTACTACGCTATATCATGTGTGCGCTGGCCGTTCTGTGCGGGCAGCGTTCCAGAGTCCAATCCGAATCCCGCATCCTCCGTCATGCGAGAATGCTAAACAACCTGAAAAAGTGGGGAAATAACCCATGTCCATGAATGACCGCCCAACACCAATCCATATATGCAAATGCCCGAGGATGCTCTATCCTCATTCGTATTCCATGTACCAGTATCCATTACTCAACCCAACGCCCTCGGGGAGACTCGAAGAAAGTGAAGAAAGAAAAGGACAAAAGAAAGGAGAGAGGGAAAAAAAAAAGTCTGTCTGTCGCCCCCTTCGCTGTCTATAGCACAATCCAACACCATGCTTTTGTGGGGGTGGCTCAAAACGCAAGAAAACGTAAAAAGATGAGGCTGTAACAGGAGAAAAGATCCGGGTCATGCAGTTTACCGCACTGTCACGGCACCGCCGAAAACGCGACCCCACATGCCACGGCCCATGCGTGCTCTCTTGGCCTTGGTGCCGTCTTGCATGTCGCGAAGCTCCTCGGTGCTGATTTCGTAGGGAAGAAGTGGTTTCCGCTTCGACAAAGTGGACGCTGGGTGCTCGATATGAACCTCGACCGGCGAGTCATACAAGCTACCGTTGGGCACGTACATGTACGGCTCATCAGTGGGGTTGTCCAGCGGCGTCGTGGCCCGTGACTGGGAGCGACTTGACGCTACAGAAGGAGCAAAGGAGCTGATCGAGCTGCCGTAGCTGCTGCTGTAGCACAGGCCAGGGGGGGTGATGGAAGAGCCGCTGCAAGTGCGAGTATGATCCGGCGTCTCTTGTCGTGAACGAGAACTAGCGCGAGAGGAGGGGGGGCTGGGGTAAGTGGTCATGTTGTACATTTCCTCCTGCCTCCGGCGCATCTCCTCCTCCTGCTTGCGACGGCGTGCCAAGCGACGGGCATGCTTGGCTTCGATTTCGGCGCGAATGGGCGCGAGGAAGGGGTCAAGCTCGCGGTAGAGATCCTCCTCGGTAATTCTCAGGTCCCAGTCCAGCAAGAAGAGAAGCTGCTTCTCCATCAAGTTGACTTCCGTTCTGCTGAAGCCAAAGCTGGAGAAGTCGTTGTTGGCATGGCTGTAGGTAGCCCAGTGCTTGTTCTTGGGCGAACTGTCGTTCAGGTACTTGGCGGTCAATATGAGGGCGGCAAGGAAGATACGGTGGGTGGTGCACCGGAGACCACGAGCCATGGGCTGCAGACGAGACTTGAGCCGAGTGAGGTATACGAGTGTCGACATGAGCGTCGGGACCTGGACGTTGGACGAGACGACGAGTTGGGTGATAAAGGCCTCAAGCGTAGGCAGGTCGGCGTCTTCGGAGCGGACAGGGCGGGGTTCGGGCGTCCTGGGTGGTGTCGGGGGGAGCTGCTGTTGACGATATGCCTCTGCGGATGCGGGAGGCATCAGAGCGCTGTCGCATGCGATGACATTATAGGCGGCGCCGGCCAGGTAGGAAATCATCGACTTGCTGACGGGTTGGTAGACGAAGTGGTCAAGGGCAGCGGCGTTGAGCTCGCTCGAGCTGAGATATGACCGTGACTCCATTGCGTCGCGTGTGTGTGTGTGTGTGTGTGTGTGTATGTGAGAGAGAGAGGGTGGTTGGTTGGGGTATCCTGTGGGTGAGGATGGGAGGTTGGGTAGTCGTATGAGTAGGGCTCCTGAGGCGGGAGGGGGGGTCAAGGAAGGAGGATTCCTTTGGGTTATTGTTGAGGTCGTTGAAGAGTGACGAAATGAGGTGAGAGGAAAAGAGGTCGCAGACGGGCAGCCTGGGCTGATATATTAGACGAAAAGGAGGGTGCGAGTCTGGTGTGCGGCGAAGCTCATGTGCCTCGTCGCAAGTGCTGGGGCTAGGCTTTGGGATGGGCCTGTCTGGTAACAGCGGCACTGAGGGATGCGGAACAGCTGGGTGACGTGCGGTCCACGAGGCTGAGTGGGCAGGTTGTCAGGGGGTCGCTAGTCAAGTGCTAGCGTAGTAGAGGGGGGTTAGTTTTTTAGGGAGTCTCAGAGGACGCCGACGGCAGTGCCTGTTGGAGGGGCTTGGATGCTTGGAGTGGGCTGGAATGGTGCACTATGTACAATGTACAATGTAGATCCCAGGGGTGCAGGGGTGTGCAAGCGAGCAAGGGCGTGGGGGGGGGGTTGCTTTAATTCAGGTGGCAGGGGTGTAGTTCTTTTTTCTAAAGGGGTGTGATTAAAATTAAGTCTCCGTGGTGTGGCGATACAACTTTCTTAGAAAAGAAGCGAGGTCGCAAGGGACGGACTAGCCGGCAGGGGTGTGTCTGGATTTGGCGGGTTGCAGTGAGTCGGTGGTTGCGGATTGCACTTTCTTCTTGCTGCTACTGCTGCTGTTGCTTCGGTTCTCTGCCCAGACAATTAATATTTGTCAGTTTCAAAGACCTCGTGATGGCGACTCTGAACGTATGGCCTTGGCAGTGTAGACTGATGCGTTGCGGAACACACGACGGTCTAGCTGTTGTGGTTTTTGGGTCGGTTTCGTTTTTCGTTTTTCTCTCCTTTTCTGTACTGTTGTATCTTGATAATGCGAATGTGATGATGGGAATCCAAGGATACGCAGCAATACAACCTTGAGCCTTCTGGAAAAACCACCCGATGGCCTGCGACGGATCGAGCAATGGTCAAAGTTTTGAATGTCTGCAAGCGGACGTGGTAACAGAGTCAAAGCTGCCAAGTGCTTGGAAAAGTTGTGGGTGAGGAGGTGACGCCGTCAAACAAAACGACCAGGGCGAGTCTGGGTGTACGGTTTTGGGGGTTGGGAGAAAGGATAAAGACGACGATGGAATTTGTTTTGGTGCTCGACGAAACGAGACGATGCGTAAAGCTGTCTAGGACAGATTGAGCCAACGGACTGCAAATTGAATTCAACCGGACTGATTGAAAGATTGATTGACGGTCAGATCTTGCCCGCTCGATTGGTTGCTCGAGGCGTTAAAAGCGGCAGAGCGGGATCAGAGGAAGATCGGTGGTATTAGCAGCTTTGGTTGGACTGTTAAAACTGCAGGGTCTCCAAACCAGCGGACGGCGTTCGATGATTATAGATTGTCGATGAATTATTCTCGGGACCGCGGCTGATGCGTTGTTGATGCTGGCAGCGGGTGTACGTGTAGGTCAAGCAGCAGGGACCACAAAGAGCGAGTGCTTATTGACTGGGCTAAGTTCGGCCGGGATCCGAATGCCGAAAGCGTGAGGCAGCGCACCAGGACGGGGAAATCTATTGACGCTTCTTTGCGCGCAAAGTGGGAGGGAGCTAGAGCCAGGCTCGCTCGAGCTCGTCCGGCAGCGTATTGTTAAAGATGAACCAAGGCGAGACGGATCAAGTGTAAAGGTTGGGGATGGACCTAGTCTGGAATCTCTTGATGCGACAAGAAACCCAAGAGGCAATGAACGAGAGTTGGAAATGACGACGGTCGACCAACTTCCAGAGGAAGGTTTGAACAACGTGCTAGGATGGTCAGAGGGCGAGGCTTTCGTAATGCGCGTTTCCGAGGCGAGCCCGCTCTCCACGGAGATTTGAAGCGGTGGGGAGAGTAGAGAGTACGCAAGATGTGGCTGCGGGAATGCGGGGTGGACAGGGTAGCCCGTACTTGTTGACTCGCAAAGTGCAGGTTCAGGACAGTTGGGCGCGAGGCGGTGCTGGTCGTCTTCCGCGAATGGAAAGCCGCAAGCAGGGGTCTTCCAAGTTGGGCAGATGGCGTCGACTGGATTGGATGGCTGGGGTTGATTCAAGACCACACACGCTACGACGCAGGATGTGCTTGTCGAAAGGTCGAGGCTTTCGGGCAGAAACGAAGGCGGAATTGAACGCAATGGGGGTAAGGTGCTGCTTTGGTGGCGTGGCGAGTCTTGACCTTGTTGATGCAAAACTTGACGCACAACTATCGAGTTGGTGGGCTCGAGGATCTGGAGCGACGTGCCTCGGGCGGGAAATGTAGGCGAGACAAGGACACGGAAAAATGCCTGGGCAAAGTGATGTTTCGTGGTGATGATGGCGATGATGGTGGTAAGGATGACTGATGGGATGACGCGGCTGGCTCGACCTTTTTAATTTAGACCCGCGTGAGCGGATTAGAACGAGGAAGAGAGGGATAGACGACGGTAGGATAGTGACGATGCCCGAGAGTAGAAAAGATTCAATAGATCCAACAAGAAAAGAATCTATTTGATTCCAACTTCTCCGTGTTGTTGGTTCGGAGGGGCAGCAGGAGGGAGCGACTGTGCGAGTGCAGCAGGCGGAAGGCGCTGTGCACCGGAGGGGGGTGCGCAGCTAGCTGTTGTGGGGCAGAGACACCCGATTGGAATGCACAGTCGTTGGAAGGGGGAAGGAGCTTGGGTACAGAAACGCGATGGCCAGCAACGGAGGGTCTCGAATTGAGTAAGGGTAGATCGGACGAGAAACCAAGTGTCGAGCAAAATGAACGGGGTAGTTGACAATAAAGCCGGCACGAGGGGGATGCAAAATGACAGAACAGATCTGATTCGTATTGGCCGGGCCGGCTGTTGATACAGATGAATCGAGCCAAGTCCTCGGTGTGGTGGTTGACCGGTCGCTGCGACGGACTGCGGTGAAGCTCGGTCAACGATGCTGCCGCTGTTGGGCACGGGAAAAAAAGAGCCAGGTCGGTTATCGTATTCAATACAACAACCCTCGAATGCCAATGACGTTGGTGATGACGATGATTATGATGAAGATGATGATGCAACTGAATTAATAAGAATGGAAAAAATCAAAGTCAAGTCCTGTCAGACAAAACTCGAGACTCAAGAGGGAGGAGGACACAGGGATGAAGACTAATAGTGCAAGAGGCGTCGAGGTGAGGGATGACTTTGGATATATTTACTTTTGCAAGTCCAAGACCAAGACCACCTATTGGCTCAGACCATGCAAGATTGCTTCCCCGTACCAATTGCCATGAACCGAAGCGGCTGCAGGTCGTGACCCGCTGGTTGTCGACGGCGACGACGACCACCATGACCAACTTTATTGAGTGTCTCACGCAGACCGTTGACTGGCCATCGCAACTCGGTCGGTAGTGCCACCTTGTCCACCCCGGTTCCGCTTCGCACCGGAATCGATGCTATTTCAGCCAGTAATTGCAGAAACATCAAGACACGATCCCACAAGCAAGGGCCCATGTCTCTCGTACCAACAGCGGGAACATTGGCTGCAGCAAATATCAGCAAAGTATACGCTCACCCGGGCAGAAAAAGGAATGGAGGAGAAACCAGCTTAACCCGTCCCCAGCCATTCGTTTATTCTCCCCTTTCACGGTATACACTATCTACCTACCCAGGTAGGTAGGCAGCACGAAGGTAGATAGGTACCTTAGTGTAGTCTGCGTGGCCTGGTCGTTATGCGTCGTTCTGGTTGGTTGTCTCTCTCTCGTATCGGACCGTGGCTTCTTGCCGTCTGACTGGCCAACAACGACGTACGATGGACATCTACCGGTGGGTAACTACCTACCTAGGTACGTACCTCGCTCCTCCTCTTCTCTCCCTTGCCTCGTGCCTGCATTCATTGGCGAAAGAAGAAACCACTCATCAGCCGCCAGCTCAGCACAAAAGAAAAACACATCCAAGCATACACAATAGGGCCGGGGTAGGTCAACGCACGTCAGCTTTCCTCCCGTCCTCATCCCAGCCCGCCTGTTAGGGTCAGGGACGGCGTTTCCAAAAGACTTTCGACTGACACGACACGACAGATGCACGCGGCTCATTGGCGGCTGCGTCTTCCGCTGACTATGCAGATGAAACAAGCGATAGGCATGTCTCCCTCCATCTCTACACCAATCGATCCAAGGCTAAGAGCCACAAGAACAGGGCTTTCTGTCGACTCGAACTGGGATCCGCGTTGGCGAGAATACCCCCCTTCTTCATCTATTCCCGTACGGAGTTTGGCGCCTGGTCCAATGGGCGTTTAATCGCTGCTATTCTTATTCTCTGCCCCCCTGCACTGAAACAGCGTATCGACGTGCCTTGCCTCTTCGCCTTACCTGATCAAGACGAAGCCGTCGACGTGCGACAACATGGCCAACCCACATCTAGCACCACGCCGCGTGGTCGCCGACCGCTGAAAGCAACCGGCCCGCGTCACGACCGACCTTTCTTGACCAAACGCCGACGCGCCGCCGTCTTTCCCTTCGCCTTCTCGTGGCCCCCGCTGCTCCTCGTGGACTGTGGACCAATTTCCTTTCTTCCCGGCCTGCTCCAATCTAATTCAACCGCTGTTGGGCTGCCGCCCAGGTCTGGCTGTGCTGCCTACTTTGCATCGAGAGACAATTCTGCTACCTGCCTGCAATATCCTTCCTCGTCGCTCCCGTAGTCGCATTTGGCAGCATCAACAGTCCTGCAGCGAGGCCTGTCGCATCGTCGCAAATGATCGGATCAACCAGCAAACAATCAAGCGCCCTGCTCGGGCCTCTTTGGCATTGTTTTTGCACTCTGGCCCGCACACGGAACGTCGGAGTCGTCCAACAAAGCCACGTATGCTGCGGCCAACGCCGATTTGGTACGCAATACGGCTTTCTTTC